CTGCTCAACTTTATAATTTTAACACCCAGCGTCATCGACTTCTGAAGAAGTGAAGAAAGCAACTCCGTCATGGTGCTGCCATCATCACATCATTCTTCTGGACTTCTGGATCATGATCTTCGTCTTTTCTTTTCAAGTTCATTAACATGACATGGTCGCATCTTATACCACACCATTTTCCCCCGCCCCTTTGGAATTCCTGAACTTGAAAAGTGAACTTCCCCCCGAGCCACGCCCCCCTTTTAAAGGAAGGCCCTTTGTTGGGACAACATGTTCGTATCAAGAGGTACTATACATATAGAGTGTTGATGGCCCGACCAGATTGATACTCACATTTAGTGACAGCTTCTTCATAGCGAATGCTTTTCTGTTGCTTGTTTTATGATTTATTTTATTTTCTCGAGGCGAGACGAGAAAGAAGTCGTTTGTTTGGGTTTCTAATTATTGTATAATGTCGAAACGAAATGTTTGCTTAAGTACTGGTTGTTTGCTGTTTAAGTACTCGGGTGTAACACAGTTTTTAAGTTGTTTGGCCGCAGATGTTTGCGTTTAGCGTTGGATTATTGGGTTATCTAAAATGGAAATAAAAACGTTAGCTCTGCTTTCCCACGAACTTTAATTTAATGCGACTCTAATCACTCGTTTCTTATGCAACCTGGATAACCGATCAGCTTGGGCACAAGATTGACAGCAATCACCGATCAAAGTCGAAGTCAAAGTATCTCCCGTTTGACATCTAAATTGGACTGTATTTCGTTCGGGTTCCTTACAAGTCCGCATATCCATATATCCATATGCAAACTGGCATGATCGCTGATTGTCATTTATTGTTATTAATGTTGCTGCCGCCGCTGTCGTTGATTAAAATCATTTATATGCATTGGCGAAGTCAGCAAAATCAGCAAAGTCGGCAAAGTCGGCAGAGGGCCCAGTTGCAACTGCTACTGCAGTGAGATGATGTTGATTTATTTAGCCGGTTCGCTGGCTGCATTTAAAATGTCGGAAGTGTTTTTCAGGCAAAAAATAAATACGGCACATATGAAAAGCAAAAACAGTGTGTGTATTTCTCGGTTTGCTCGGTTTCCCAGCATAAAATGCGTACTGTATTTCCTGTTGCACACGCACTATTAAAATCAAAGCGAAGTCAGCGCTAGACGCCGGCGATTAAAATGCGAGATTTCGAGGAAATGCGAAGTCAGCAGGGATTTTGGTTTGTTTTCGGTATCCGAATTCCGAAACTCCAGTTCCCTAGGGTCACTTATGACATCATCGCCCGGATCAATATCGTTTTGAGCATCGAACGAAAGTTGTTCTGTTGGCTTGACGACACACAAAAAAACATATAAAAACCAGAGAACAAAAAACCCGGAGGAGGCGGAGAAACACTGACCAAAAGAGACTCGGACTGAGATTGAGATGGTTTAAGGCCCCTGCTGCAAGGTGGCAACATCATGCGAAAAGGGCCTTAATATCATATAGTAGTTGGCCATAAGCAGCAGGTAGTTGAATTCGAATTCGGTCAACTGACGTCTGACAAAGCGGACAAAGATTACAGATAAGCAATTGGATGTGGTACAGGGGGTATGGGCGATACAATGTAGGATATTGGGTAAAAAACTGAGCAACTCCTGGCGTTAAGCTCATAATGACCATTTAATGTCTCGCCAGTACTTTTCCACATTCGATTGGGATTTGTGCCATTTGTGACTTTTTATTTCGTTTATTTCGACCCGGTGTTAATTGCTGCCAATCTTGAAAGCTGCTCCAAGTTTTTTATTTTGTTTATAATTAAACGTTTAACGTTTATTACATTTTCGTAATTCTGTTTGTTGTTTCTCTTTTTCGTTTTCGACGGATTTCGATTTTTCAGTGCTGGGCACCGACCGGCACGAGATTTTCGGGATTTTCGGCAGGGGTTACAGGTTGTAGGTTGTAGGTTGCGGTTTTGTGACCTTTTCTCAAAAGGTTTTCCCTCGTTAGACGTTATAAACACACTTTGCACACACTTTTGGCCCGGCCTTTTGGTATATATTCGATATATGTATGTAGGGAAACTCAAAACTGAGAACTGAAAACCGAAACCGGAGTATCTGAGTATCTTAGTATCTCAACTTGGCTGCAATGCGCTGCGCTGCGATGCTTACTTGTTGCTTTGCGTTTAAGGATTAATATTCAACTCGGCGGTAACATTGTATTTTAAGTGAGCGACCCGCTGCGCAGTCGGCGCCGGCAGAGGCAGAGCGACAGCGCAACTGCGGCAGAAGCAGAGGCAGCGCTCTCGCAGCACTCGAAACTGTATCTGTATCTGCATCCGTATCTGTATGAGTGTTGCGCCGATCGAGAGCGCCGTCTCTCTCCCTCTCTCGCTCGCTCTCTCTCTCTCTTTTCCCGCTTTTCTCAACCACTTGTTGCCTTTACGCCGGTATAACTGTTCTTGCTTCTTGTTTAGGGTTTCCCCTACATCTATAGGTATGTATATTTATATGTAATACCTAATTGCTAATCAATGCAATTACCTATTGCGATAATTGCAGAGCAATCTCCATTGTTTTAAGTGAGTAGGGGAAAATCATAGACCAAAACTCTCAGGCGAACGATGACAAGGCTTTTTTCACCTAGAAGCCGGAACTTCGTCTATGCGAACATGATCTTAAAATAGGTCCTGTGAAAACCTTTGAAAATTACTTTACAATTCAAATTCATTAAAATATTTCAACAGATATAATATCAGAAAAATCTTTATGTAAGCAAATAAAACAATATTATTTCATGTGAATTATTTGTATAAATATTTTTCACAAAATTTCATATAGGTAGTATATATAAATATTGTATTTGCTATTAAATCCTTTTATTAAAAGTGTTGAAATAAAAAAAAATATTTAAAAAATATTTATTTTAGTATAAGTCAAATACTATTGAAAGCGAAAATCTCGATAAGATGTGAAATATTTAATATTTAACTTTTCATATAAAATCGGCACGCCAATGATATTCTTTTTTTCTGATATAACTACACCCAAAAAAAAATCGAAAGTGTTAACTCTTCTATACCGAAAGTTTCAATTTAATACTTTTGAAAGTATTCATTTAATACTCATCTTACTGATGCAAATTTGACACCCAATAGTGTAGAATTCATGTAACAACAGTTTTGTTTCTATGGCTTTTTTTTTGGGTGTACCTGCGTTTTACTTGGAATTACTCCTTTTTAGCCCCAAGAGAACAGAATCTCCCATGAGGAGTGCTAATCAAATTGATAATAATATAACACCTTGCTGGAATTGTGTAGATATTGACGACGCGTCACCTGTCTGCCACTTGCGATTGCACTTGCTGTTGATCAATCTAATTAGGCGTAATTCATCATGCAAGCGTACCTTTTCACCCCGCTGGACATTCCCAGTCCCAGTCCCACCATTGTTGTTATTAAACAGAACCGAATCCAATTAATGACCAATTTTGGTCATTGCCGTATCGGGTGGGATATCGCCGCCCAATTAGCATAATTCAATTCGAGGTGCTTGGGGTCAGAGGATCCCGGGGTACTCTACACGTACTTAGTCTGGATGACTCAGTTCCCCCAGATAAACTGGAATCCAAACAAATGGAAAAAAACCGATCGATGGAAAAATATTATTCAACGGACTTCTGTGACATTTTATGGTCTTATATAACTGACGTAAATGTTCTAATTTATATTATGATCGTATTTCTCGTAAGGTAACGTCATTATATAAGCTGTCTATAGGGCTTAGGAATAATACATGGTCTTTATTTATGATTTAGATGCTCCGAATAGTATGCAATAAAAAAGTCATCAAGATAGTAAGAGTAATACTAATTTTAGAGATAAGAAAGCTAAGAACGAACATGAGTACTCTCAATATCGGAAGTTTATTATTATGAATAAAAGCTTTGACATCGGCATAAAGTAAAGATCATAACCGAATAATATAATGACTCAATTATAAGAAATTCGTAGACAAAATAGTTAGTTAGGGATCCGGTATATAAGTAACGACATAGTCATACCAAAGTAAACATCAGAGCCCCTAAAAATGTAGAAAGTAAAGCTTATGCAAAGCTTAAATAAGTAATTTAATAAAACGATTTAATTTAACAGATATTAAGACAAATTTGATGATCAGATTAAAGAGTTTCCCACAGGCAAAAGCTGATCAATTGGGATGTGAATTATATATAATGGCCGTGGCATAGCGACACTTTACACGCACACACACACACACAAACGAACATAATGGAGCACCCATTACAGATTTAAATAACGGAACCGGAAATTGCCTCAAGAGAATCTTGACTGACATATGAATGTATATGCACACACTCACTTGGATTAATTTTAAGCCTAACCGAAATTATGATGAGTAAATATGCATATACCGCTCGAACTCAAAACTACTGACCTTGTAACAATTTCTTTTTACACGAATTTGTGCCCCTCATTTAAGATACATAAGATACATAGTCGGAAAAATAATGCAGGGCCAGGGACAGGGCCGCCGACTATTTACGGAATTACGGATCCACTGTACTTGGTGGCCACAATGTTATTAACCTCCAAGTGGGCCAGACCCCCGATCCGATCCGATCTGATACGAACAAAAGCTGAACTTGTAAAAAGGGTGTGACACCGCTAAATGCGAATGCAAACAATCAACAAACGGACAAATTCGCGAATGTCGATCACAGCTCACTGAGCGAAAATCAATGAAACCCATTGAAGGTGGTCCTGTAATTCTCTTCTATCGATAGTGAATTTACAAGAAAGTTCTATAATATATTTCTGGCTAAAGAAAGTGCTCAGATTAAACTCAACTCGGTTTAAAATTATAATATTATGTTTCAATATTCCTCTTTCCCTGTTCTGGAATAAAAGACTTTCCTGTATTATCTTCAAGATTCGAAATCCAGCTTGTTTTTCCGAGTGTTGGAATGCGAAATGGTATTTCGCAGCGAAGAATCGAAATTGAGCTTACCTTAGGCGCTTGTTTCGGGTTTGGTGCGGGGTTTTCTGTGGACTGGGCCACCCAAACTTTGGGATGCTTATCGCTGATTCTGGTGGGTTCTCTTGGGATCTCTCTCGGGATTTTCGGGGGGGTGGTATTGTTGTTGTGGGGCAAAAACGAGTTTGTTTACCTCCTTCTTTTTTGTTGTTTTTGTTAAAGAGAACGAACTTTTTTTTGGTTTTAGACCCGCGGCGATTCTCTGGCACTCGAGTTTATCGCCATTTTGTGTGGATTTTGGTCAGGTCTTTGTGTTTGTTGTGTTTGTTGGGTGTCCGCTGATAACGCGTCACAGGGGGCGTCATAAGGGGGCGTGCCCAGAGCGAACTTTTCGATTGTTGCTGCTTCCTCTTCATTCGCTTTAATCTCCTTATCCGCTCCCCCCTCGCATTTTCCTACGGTTCACACGCGACACTCTCTTCTCTGCTCTGTGCTTTCCACTTTTCCACTCTTCACACTCTCCACACTCTCACTTCCACTTCCTTTCACCCACTGATTCGTATTCGTATTCGTGGTGCGTGGTGAAAGAGCAAAGCAAAACTGACGATAATCGCAGCAATGAATGGAAATGAATGTGAATTGTCGCTTGTTTGTTTGTTTGTTGTTGCTGTTGTTGTTGCTGTTGTTGCTGGCGGTAACTGATCTACACGCACTGGAAAGAGAGCAGCCCCACTTCCACTCCCACACTCGCGCTCTCTCCCCTTCGCTCTTTTAGTGACATTCAGTGCCAGGAGAACTCACTCACACACTCACGCACTGGGGGGCATCTTTGTAAATATATTTCCACATAATTGACACTCCACATCGATGTTACAACAACAACTGCACTGCGAACTTGCAACGCCAGCGCGATTCTCACGTTCGCAGCGATTATTCACACATATATTTATTTGCAGACAGTATGTGTGTACTTGCGTATTTATCCAGCGCACTTAATATATTTTAGCTCAAAATATTTGCACATCGGTGGCATCTATATAGATGTACATATATAGCCAAGGCAACGGACGCGATCGCGAGACAAGGATTTTCCGGCGAAACCAAAGGAAGGAAGGAGGAAAACCCCAAACCGCATGAGAAGCGAAAGCAGACTAACTGCAAACATTAAATGTCAAAATGCTGGGGACCGTTCTGCCATGCACACACACACACCCGCAACACACACGGACATTGTGGAGGGGTCGAGGGCGGATCGAAAAGTTGTCAAAATATTATTAAATGTTTTTTCATTTAAATCAATATTATTTTTAGCATTAAACACCTTTGATTTACTCACTAATTTTAAAGAGTAATCACTCTGATCATTCATAAAAACGCTTCTTATTGAGTGTTAGATTAACAGAATTTCTCGTATGTTTATTTAGGAATTTTATAACTTTGAATGAATTTATTTTTGAGCCTATTTCCAACAAACGTAACTTAACTATCCAGGTAATCCATCCTTCTTTCAGGCCACTTAAAATGGGATAACAAACCTCTGTATTTCTCCTTCTTAAAAGTTTAAGGCAAACTCCAAGATCTCCCCTCGCTGGATATTTGGAACGCTGGTTGCTCGAAAGAGCACGCATGTGCCAGCGGTTTGATTCGCTTTTCGTTTCATTTGCGAGTGTTCGTGTGTCTGTGAGACAATGCGGCCCCAAATCTTGTCCACCCACCCCACTGTGCCACCCCTCGGATCGCCCCGCCCCCCTCCACCACCCACGGACGAGGAGACAAGCGCCTCTAAGGGGTCTTTAGACGAACAAAGGAAGTGGCTCTCGAGGGTGATAAGTCCACATGCACATCCATAACCATATCCATATCCATACCCACACTCACAGCCACATCCATATTCACAGCCGACGCAGAGAGTCATGGTCGTTGTTTATCGGGTTATCGGGGTAATTGGCCCCCGTTCGCCTGCATTTGCTGGGCGAATCGGCGCCCCTGTCCACTGACTTTAGCTCACCGTGTCACACACGCACACATGCGCACGTTTCGCTAATTGAAATTGAAGCATGTAACTGTAAGTCGGGCTCTCGCGAAGAAAACGTGAGCATAGGCCGCTCCCTCTCTCTTGCGCTCTGCTTCTTCCAGTGGGAGGGGAGCGACTCCTCCCACCCATACGCTCACACACACACGCAGCTTGGAAAGCGCAGAAGAATCGCCGGGAAGTTGGAGTTTGAATTCGAGTTGCCTGGAAGTGGCATGTAAAAAGTTTGCGTCGCAAATTATTGCCCATTTCCGTTCTGTGCCTTTCCCTCCCTCCTTCTTTCTGTCTCTGTCTCTTCCAGCACCCGCAGAAGCTTATAAATGCAACTCAATTTACAGACCCATTTCCAATATTCCATCTTTTCAAAACCGACATTTTCGAATTTAAAATTTGGGTTCGAATGTGAAATCTGACACTTTTAAATTTTTTTTTAAATTTATATTACCATTTAGATTTAAGCTTTTTTATTTAGTATTTTTAAATTTTAATGTTCCCTGAAAGCTGAAATTACAAACTATTTAAATATACTTTTATTTCGAAGGGCTCTAAATCGGATTCGAAATGCTTTGGGGAACCATTATATCTTGAGTTATGAAAGTTGGGGTCTGTACTTTTACGAATGCGAATAGAAAGCATTACGGACACACATTGTAGACTTGTTCGCGATTAGATTTACGAGCATTCTGCGCTCCCACTTTACCCCCAGCTCATATATCATGCCTTTCTTATATGAATGGCACATTCAAGTTTTGCTTGCAATAAAAAATTACGTATACGCCGCGGCGGAGTGTCAACAAACTTGTAATGTGGCACAAGTGTGATTCAATAAGCCGATCGGGGGGATCAGAATATATAGTACACCCATGGGAGTTATGTTATGCGGTCGGTAGAAGGTTATATAATGCACACTGCCCAGAGAAAATGTGAATAAGAAACAAGAAACGCTGCACTCGACTTGACTTTGACCGGTCGGTCAATTTAGCTGCAGTTGAGCGGGCTAATTGCCGCTTTTTTAAACTAAATGAGCGGCGCACACGCAAATGATAGAAATGGAAAAAATGGTACTGGTACTTAAGGAAATGCCAGGCATTTCGGCTTTTAAGATTCGAGATTCGAGATCCGAGATCCGAGATATACCCCAATTCGCGACTCTCGACTCGCGGGCACTTTCTCAGAGCCTCGCAAAGGTCAAAGCGAAACGAAAACGATCTGCAGATGTATCTGTATTTTCGTACTTTGTATCTGTATCCGTATATCTCGGTTCGTGACTCTGACTCGTGATGGGCACTTAGGAAATCCAGATATAACCGATGCCATTTAGAGAGACAAGACGCGCCGCAACATAAATAGCAATTCCAATTCCAAACAATTTTCAATTGCCAAATGCCCGGGACGATGGCTTTTCCTCTCTGTCTCACTGCCGCCAAACTAGTTTCCACTGTAATTGAAACTAGATCTATTTTTAGACCCAGTCCGGCCAGACGCCAGCTCAGAAAAAAACTACATAAATATATTGCCAAAGCCCAAAGCCGCCTAATCGACCACAAGCGATCAATCGATCGATGGGTTAATGTGTCTGTTTCAGCGGCTTTTCAATCCCACACAGAAACGCAAGTGTGATATTTATGGGGATAGGTGGGGGAAAAGTTCTATTGAGCATTAGGAAAATTAAAAAAAAATATCTAGGCATTACAAAGAATATATGATTATTAAAAAAATATTCTAAAAATAAATTAACCTTTTTAGATTCGAGAACAAAATATAGATTGTTCTAAAATCGTTTTGATACATTTAATTTATTTTTTAAATATTCCAAGTTGGAACTCAACGATCTTTCCTTCCACTTACCATTTTAAAAGTCCTTTTGCCGGTTTGACGGATTCGCAGAATGAACAAGAGAGATAGACTAGCACAAAACTCAGTCGATGCCAAAATGTTTGCGAAACTTCTGGCCAAGTCGCTTTTATACGCTGCGCCACTTCATCTGCGTCCAATAGACGGATGCAAGGGCTCTGGGGTGGTATAGTGGCTATAAGGGGGCATATGGCGGTGGTGCCGATGGTTTTGCATAATACGCGGTTAGTATTGGCTGATTACAAAGAGCCCCGAGACACAAAACGCAAAGGCAAACTCAAACTCGACACACAACTCAAACTGAACTCAAGCCAAGAAAAGCGTATAAATTATACGATTGTGGCCCCTTTTGAATGTCTGTTCTGGTCATATGATTATGATTACGTTGATTAAAACGCGCTCTTATCGCCACTTTGTCCGCTGCTGTGTGTTAATGTGTGTCTTGTCGTCCCATGCCGAGTGGGGCTCCGTCTTCGCCTGCTCTCCTTGGTATCGCAGCATCCCATGCCCAAGATATCCCCCATCCGCCCCGTGCGCCCACTCAATTGCAATTGCTCATACGCCGCGTTGGCGACAGGACAACCGGATAGCCAGATAACCAGTCCCGCCTTTCAATTTGCGCACAAAAGGACATCGTTAGGCGAACTCGGATGATGGATTCATTATGCACATCGATATGCGCTTATTGAGGGCCCAAGGTTGTAGGTCACATTAACTAAGGGAAGGGGAATGGTATGGGCTAAATGAAACCCCTTTCACTTTCTTTATTTCATTCATTTTGGAGGAGCACAAAGGACTAAACATCTTGTTGTTTTAAAGTGGATAAAGATGTGTTCTTTATTTACAGACACATGGATCCCAACGCAAACTTTCTAAACTTTAAAAATTATTTTAAACTTTTTATATTATATATCCTCCATAGATTTTGTCGAATTATTCGGTTTAATCAGGAATTGTTCTTGTTACTTTTAATTTTAATTATTTAATTGTATTAATTTTCTATGCTTACTCGTCCTGTTTTCTTGGTTTTAGGATTTTTTCTTAGTTTATAGGCTTTGATTACGAAATAACTTTGTTTTACAGCCTAAAAATTAGAAACAAAACTAAGTTAAAATGGTAGAGTTATTTAGCAATTATTTTTATCATTTTATTATTTATTTGTTGTTTTTTCCAAAAATAAAATTTGAAAAAAATTCTCGTCACACTTATAATTATTATTAATTTGTAACTCCCCTTATAAATATACTTTTTCATTCGGTTATCTTAAGTTTAGGGTTTGCCATGATGTCCATGATGGCCATGATGCCCATGCCCATGACCACCACCTCCTCCGCCGACGACCACGGGTTTAATCACCACCACGGGCTTAACAACCACGGGTTTCACGAAAACGGGCTTAGGTTTCACGAACTTCGAGAGCAGCTGGCTGGGATCCTTCAGAAAGTCAGGCTTTGGTGGCAACTTGGCGAGTAGCTGGCTGGGATCCGGAAGAGCTGGCTTGGATTTCATGAGTTTGGCCAGCAATTGACTGGGGTCCTTGAGGAATTCCGGCTTTGGTGGCAGTTTGGCGAGCAGCTGACTGGGATCCGGAAGGGCTGGCTTGGTTTTCTGGATGACCAGAGTGCCCTGCACACAGGCACATAGCCAAAATCCAATGACCAGGAGCAGCAGGTTCCTCTTGAGCAGATCCATTGCGAGTGTGGCGGAATCCGTGAAGAAGGCATCTATTTATGGTGGACGATGCTCTGGCATCCAGAAACCAGAGCTCATTGGCATGCCGCACCTGATGCGCCCGATCTTGGCGAGCTTTTATTCAAATTTCTGGCGATCGATTCGATCGAAACTCTTCATACGGCAGGCGGCGGCATTCCGTTCCACGCGTCGTTCTGTCGGAAGAATTCCCCCGAGTCCGAGTGTAAGTTGAATTCACAATTACCGGCTGGGCGGTTCGAAGCAGGGTTTTCCTTCTCGTAATTCTGCGCGACATTTATTCATGATCGATCCGAGTTGGCATTCAGCAGGCGACTCGCGAGATTCAAATCAGACACGACATGACGTCTTTTGCTCCCGAGAATCAAGGCTTCCACTCGCATGGCAAATGGGCTGAGAAAAGTTGACATAATTTCTGAATCTGAATCTGAAGCCGAAGGCGGAAGTACAAGTGCTCAGCGCCAAATTTAAAAGTGCCTGCTCAATAATGTATTTTAATAAGATCATACTCGATATGGATTTCTAAGCATGTATTTTAACTTATTTAAATTCTTTAAAAAATATTTAAGCATTTTAAATAGATTTAAAATTGTTTGTAATGTAAAAATATTATGCAATTTTTTTGCCAACATTTTAAATATTTGATATTCAAATTCAAATTTTTCAATATGACATTACAATTTTTAATATTTATTTTAATTATAAATTCCAATAAGAAAATAATATTTAAAAATCCCCAAAAGTAGGCAATGGAGTCAATTTCAAACCGGTCACTATCGATAACAACTATCGCAACCACAAATCGATAGCAACACTGGGTTGTTTTTGCGTCGCTTTTGGAAACACGACAACCCTAGTCGGAAAAAACAAACTATTGCAAACAAATCTGAATTATCAGAGAAAATATAGAAATAAATAGGAAATATACAAATGGACGACAGCGTGATACTGCTAGACGACTCCCAGAACAGCGTGGAGATTGTGGAAGACGACGTGGAGGACGGGGAGCTGGAGGACGACGTGGAATTCGTGCCGCCCGCGGAAGTGACCCAAAAGCAGGTCGAACCTGCCGCCAAAAATGAGGAAAATGAAGATAATAACTCGAGTCAGGTGGGTTTTAAATGGGCTATATCTGATTCTAGGATAACTACAGCTACTCCCGCTTCTAGGAAGCCACCGAAGGACCTGCAGACAACCTGGTTTTCGAAGTGAGATTCCGCAGGAAGGAGGACTACGCCAGTCTGCAACAACAAATGCTTGAGATCTTAAAACACAATTTTGAAGCCAAGCAACTGGTCTTCCGGGAGAACCCAGAGGATCTCCTGATAGCTGCCTTCGCAGGGAGCGATCCTCAGGAGCCGGAACACACCCAGGAAACCGAAGATCTCTTCATGATCGACACGCAGCCGGTGGCCAAGCTGAATGCCTCGCAAGTTCCCTCCTACAAGCGCTGCAACTCGGACATTCTGGACGAGCAGACGGAGGCGCGGAAGAAACTCAAGGCGGAGGCGGTGAACAAGTGCTTCCGGCCGAAGGCCCAATCCTCCTGCTTCAACTGCGGCGACACAGATCACTCCCTGCGCGAGTGCCCGAAGCCCAGGAACAACACGAGAATAATGCGGGCGCGCAAAAAGAACAGCAGTCGCATGGAGCGCTACCATGTGGACACTGAGCAGCGTTTCGGCCACATTCGCCCCGGCAGGATCAGCACCAAGACGCGCCATGCCATGGGCTTCAACCGCGGCCAGCTGCCCTTCATGTTCTATCGCCTCCGAGTGATGGGCTATCCGCCCGCTTGGCTGGAGGAGGCCAAGGTCCAGAGCTCGGGCATAGCGCTCTTCAATGCGGATGTAAGTTGGAATAGTAATCTCTGTATGAACCTAACTATATATCCTAATTGCAGGGCACCGAGGTCACCAAATCGGACGACGAGGATGGAGAGTCCGACACTTTTAAATACGATATTAACAAGATAGTCGAGTATCCCGGCTTCAATGTCCAGCCCACCGGCAAGTTCTTCGATGTGAGTATAAGAATCTTGTATAATAACTATCCCCTTCTAATAACCTACCTTCCCCAAAGGACTATAAGCACCACAATGTGCCACCCTTCCAAGAGAGCCACTCCAAGGCGAACTTTATCAAATCGCTGGGCGAAAACGTAATCAACGGGTACAAACGCAAGAAGCTGGTGGATTTGCCTGCCCCACACGACCAAGTTGCCGTGCCCAGCGAGGAGCAGACCAGCTTCGGAGACTACGACATGGAGTTGGTGGACGAGGCAGAGGATCCACCGCTGCCGGAAATAGCTCCTCCGCCGCCACCACCGCCGCCAGAGGAAGAGGAACCCTCCGCTCGCTCTCCCTCACCAACTATGGATGATTTAAAGGCCCAGCAGGAGAAGCTACTCCAACAGCTGGAGTGCAACACGTCGCTGGACACGACGGCGAATGAATCCATATCACAGACTGACCTCGATGACACCGCTGAGGTTTCGGAAACTGCGGCTACAGCCAAAGATCCACCGACTCCCTTCAAGGCCTCCTACGAGGGCACTCCGCTGCTGAAGTTCTCCGTCTACGATCGCCTGCCCGTCGGCGAGAACTTCAAGGTGGGCGTCAGCGACGTCATCAACTTTGAGAACCTGCCCGACTCCACCGGAAAGTACGAGCAGATGAAGGACCTGCTGAAGAATGTGCGCGAAAAGATGGTCAAGCTGCAGAACGAGAACTGACGAATGCATTAACTCCCGCCCACCAAATGTACAAAACACACAAATACAAAACCAACGCCTGTAGTTTTCGAAAAGTGTCTTTAAAAATTTCCAAATATGTTTGTTAATTTAAGCCTGTGTGTTAGGAGTGTGCCGTCTCGCGGTTTTTGTACAATGCAAGGGATGTATAATTTATCTAACCAGTGTAAAGGTGCGAAAGGATTTCCGTAGTGAACAATTTACTCTCTCAATCGCGGGAGAAATAACAAAACAAGGAAATGCAAGTTGCGAATTGTGTCGTAGAAGCTCAGGTTTGGCAGAAGCTGGACAGGATTCCGCGGCGGCGCCTAGTTGATTGCCGGCGGAGGAGGCTGCGGCGGCGGCGGCGACCCATCCTGGTTGTCGTCGCGTCGCACGGCCCGCTTGTTGCTGGTCAGGTTGCCCCAGGTACTCGGATTCAGGATGTACATGAACATGGCCACGATCAGGAAGATCATGGCGACGGTGAAGCCGCCGCTGTCATCGCCGCGTCCAGCGACCTGCTGCGAAGTGCGTCCGGTGACTGGAAATAGATGGATTTAGTTAGAATAGAGTCCTTATATATATATTTTAAAAATATTTTGCTAATCGTTAGGAAATTTGGTATGTGGTTAGCTACAATCAAATCAAAGACTTTGTCTTTAGGTCAGAAATTCCTAACTTTAAAACTGTGATTGTTATTGTCCAATACAATACACACTATTATACCAAAAGTTTTAGAACAGAGGCAAGCTTATCACATTTAACTCGGCGGTCTTTGCGTTTTCTGATTCACATTTAAAATTTTAAATAGAACGAAGATAATTTGTTTGAAATTTATAAAGCTTTACGAGAAAGAGGGAACTTCAAGATATTCATACGGATGGTACTCACCATCGAAACACTCGGTGTCTGAGCAGGCATTCTGATTCTGGCGTATCTATAAGGATAGGAACAGGATATTAGATATTAGGAATTAAAGAACCCAAAAAATCAGGAACTCACAAAGTTGATTAGCCTCTGCATCGCATATTCCTGCGACCACACGCACTCGCAGCCATCGAAGTCGTCGGACATGGTTTCGGATTTACTTCTGGAGCCTGAGTAGCGCTGCGGAGAAGGAAGTGGGTTATATTGTAGTAAAATATTTAAATATTTCATTTTATTCTGCTGGACTGACGTGTCTTTTCCTCGAACTGAGAACGAAGAGTACTGTTTTCAAACAAAACGAACTCAGCTGAGACTAATTTATTTGCCAGCGGCAATCGAGTTATACTATATGGTATATATATATGTTTGCACGGTTCCGATAAAGGGGGTTTAGGTTCGCGAGAGAGGAGGAAAGAGAGCTTGGAAGCGGGGATCGGGGATCCGGAACCGAAACAGAATGCAATTTAAGTTAGATACAATTGAATTTTAAATTTCGGACAGTTGACAGAAAAAGCCAATCAATGTCCACCCCAAAACTTTCCTATACAGTACATACATACATACACAGACGTAAGCCCGCGAATTCTTTCTGTGTAGGTATCACGATTATCAAGAAAACCAAGCAAGACGACAAGTTTTAATTACGAGGCTTATCACAGTTAATTACAAGGTCTTTTCCGTTGGCAGCTACGGTTTTGAACTGAAAACCACCCCAAAAGTCCTTATCTGCTTTTTTGAAAAACGTAAACACAACTTTCCCATTTTGTTTTTGTTTTCCAATTGGGGGGCGTAAACAAACCCTGTTTTGTGGGCGTGCGTCAATTAAATAGCGTTACCTCCTAGAATTTCGCACTTGAACAGGCACTCCAGTCTAGTATGCAATTAATTATAGTTCACTTTCGCCCCCGCAGCGTAATAATTATGTTTTTTTCTTACCAACTGGAATGGGAATTGGAAATACTTAATTGCACATATAGTGCTGGCAGAAAAATATCGATAAAACGGGCAGTGTTGGAAAAGGTTTATTTATAAGTGGCGCCAAATTTAAACATTAAAACCAAGTTCCGTTGTGTTTTTTTTAATTTAGGGATTTTTAGTACTCATTATTTATTTACTATTGATTTTAAATATGATTTAAAGACCATCAAAACAGTAACTACAACATTTAACCGACCTCCAAACACTTTGTTTTTGTGGATGGTCATTAACAAGACCAATTATCATATTAATTGTAGCAAAAAGATTATTGCCATGTCATGAGCGACCTAAAACCGAGCTATAAAAGCTCCCCTCCGCCGCTTAATGTCTATTAAAATGTTCTTTTTTCTATTGACACTAGTTCTTCTCCAGGTGGTTGGTGCTCCTTTTTCGGAATCCAACCAAGTGCTCCATGAGCTCAATCACGCTTTTCAAACGGAGCTCAATGTGTTCATTGATTTAGAGGACTTAAATGTTCTCCATAAACTAGACACTCCTAGGATTTTAATTTCATCCGCCGCTTAATGTCTATTAAAATGTTCTTTTTTCTATTGACACTAGTTCTTCTCCAGGTGGTTGGTGCTCCTTTTTCGGAATCCAACCAAGTGCTCCATGAGCTCAATCACGCTTTTCAAACGGAGCTCAATGTGTTCATTGATTTAGAGGACTTAAATGTTCTCCATAAACTAGACACTCCTAGGATTTTAATTTCATCAAGTTCGAGAGAAGCTGGAGATCTTCGAATTTGTGGAAACTTTACAGAAAGAGCTATAATCGTGGTTCAATTAAAGGATTCTAAACTAGATCCCAAGGTGGCTAATATCCTTCCACACTTGATGCATGACCTCCATGAGCTGCACATAGTATTTATAAGCGGAAAGGAACCTGAATTCTTAAAGGACCTTTTTACCTACTGTTTTAAACAAGGTTTTATAAATGTACTTTTGATACACCGCCAGAATCTCCACAGTTATCTACCATATCCTTCCATTCAAACGATTCAGCTGGCAAATATCTCTGAATATCTCAAAAGAGGAAGGATAATTCGCAATTTTCAAGGACATCCGGTTCGCACACTTCGCACAACTCTAGCCCCTCGGGATTTTGAGTACTTCAACGACCAAGATGAGTTGGTTCGTTCAGGATATTTGTTCATGGCTGTCAAGGAGCTGACTTATCGCTATAATGCCTCCCTCGAAAGTGTTCCCCTGCCCGATTTACCGGAACTCGAGTCCTACGCAGCTGTATATAAAATGCTAGTCACGAAAAAGGTGGATATTATCTGCTACTTCAAGGACTTTCGGTGGAATGTGGCCTACACTTCGCCACTTTCGATCCTCAGCGAATACTTTATGGCTCCTCATGCCCGACCGCTTTCCAGTTATCTGTATTATTCGAGACCCTTTAGTTGGACCCTGTGGTTAATAGTTATAGCGACTATTCTTTATGGCACCCTCATGTTATATCTGACTGCTAATCGGAATGAATTTGGGGAATGCCTGCTGCACAGCCTCAGCCACATCCTGTACAACAGCCACCAAAGAATCAGAACTTCCGGCTGGAGGGATATAGCCATTCATGTTATTCTAACCTTCGGGGGCTTTGTACTCACCAATATTTACCTGGCCACGCTCTCCAGCATCCTGACATCCGGCTTGTACGAAGAGGAGTACAAGACGCTGGAGGATCTGGCCCATGCTCCGTATCCCAATCTGCACGACGAGTTCTACCGGAAGCAAGTGCAAAGGAATGAGTTTATACCCCTGGCTCTGCGGCGGAATAGCATTTCGTTAAATGCCACCCTGCTGAAGGAATATCGCGATGGCCTGAACAAGAACTACATCTATATGCTGTACGAGGATCGGCTGGAGCTCGTCCTCATGCAGCAGTATCTGCTGAAGACGCCGCGCTTTAATATGATTCCCCAGGGAGTGGGCTATGCCTTGGAGTCCTACTGTGTGTCCAACAGTCTGCCCTACTTAACGATGACCAGTGAGTTCATGCGGCGGCTGCAGGAGCACGGGATCAACAGCAAAATGAGGGCGGACACCTTCAGGGAGCTCATCCAGCAGGGAATCTACAGCCTGATGCGGGATGATGAGCCGCCAGCCAAGGCATTCGACCTGGACTACTACTTCTTCGCCTTCGTTTTGTGGGCCGTTGGATTGGCTGTGTCGCTCTTGGTTTTTATCGCAGAGGTTGCTAGAAGGCTTTGAAATATTAATTTAATTTAACTAATACATTTCAGGTTTTAAATGAACTCCATCTACCTCTTAAACTCTTTTCCAAATAGATCTTTAATGACAAAAAAAAATAAACGAATCTTTACTAACAAGAAACGCAATTAAAATATATCAAGTTTATAACCAAAATCATCGTAATTATTCATTCGTACATAAATAACAAGTGGTAACTTTTCGCTTTTACATTTAAACTTACACTTTAAATCCTCCTGTACCTACTATAAAACGTCCTGCGGTTTATATTTCTTGGGCAGAGGAGTAAACCTCACTAATAACGATTTCGGCTCAAACCAAGTTTCCTACTTTTATTGGCTGGCATGCAAATGGGAGACATGTCCTCTGCATTCTGTCTAGATCCTTTAGAGTCCTTCGCTAGATTCGAATTTCTATCGGCAAGCGGAGTACTTGTGGAAGCCGGCATCGGTGCAAATCGGGGTTTAGCTGGTGTAATAGTTGAAGTCGTGCTGCTCTTCTTGCGCATTTTGCTTAGGGAAAGAAGATTCCGGCGAGCTATCACCGAAGTCTTGGTTGTTTTGTCCAGCGGCGAAAGACCCGCCAATTGGGAGAGTGAGGCGTGGATCTCCTGCGATTGCCGGGGAGTCCCTAGTTCGTTTTGGCACGACTTGGTCTTCATCAATTGCCTGCTGCTTTGAGGAGCATTTGGCAGTGGGGAATTCCTTTCCCTCGAAGGCCTTTTACTCGAGGGAATCCCATCGGAGGTGTCCCTTCTGCGCTTGGGTGTGATCACACTTGAGTCATCCTTACAATCTAACTTATTTTGCGTTCTTTGCGATAGCCTGGGAAAAATAGACTCGTTGGAGTCTTCGTCCATGGAAAGGAAAAGGTCATCGTTTGTTTGGAAGCCACGGAACTCCTCCACAGATATTTTATCAGAACTATTGGAGGATTTCTCTTCGTTCTCAGCAATTTGCATACTTTCCATTAGTTTGGCTGCTTTTCTTCTCATTTCCTCGGATATTTCTATGCGCTTATTTGACGCTGTTCGGAAGCCAAAGGATTCTGAAGTATCTTCTGTATTTTCAGTCTGATCATCATTATAAGTAGTTAATTTTTTAGAGGTTTCACCTGCTGCAACTTCAGCCATCAAATTCGCAGCCTTATTTCTCATCTCCTCAGAAATCACAATAGATTTGTTGGAGGCGGTGCGAAAACCGACAAATTCAGATTCATTAGTGGTCTCCTTTAGTATTGGTTGCTTTATTTCTCCAGCCTCAACTTCAGCCATGAATTTGGCAGCTTTCCTTTTCATTTCCTCCGATATTTCAATGGGCTTATTACTGGCTGTTTTGAATCCCACAAACTCTGTTGTTCCGTTGACTTGGCTGTGATTACCAGGGTTTTCTTGCGTTTGTGACCTACGCTTTTGACTAGGCTGATATAAGCCGGATTCAACCTCAGCGATTAACTTATCTCCTTTGACTCGCATTTCTTCCGGCACTTCTATAAATTTGTACGGTGTTTTTCGAAAGGCAACGAGCTGTGGAATATTCATGGCATGATTTTTAACAGGGGTTTTCTTTTCTGGAAGCTCAATCTCATTTTTGCGTATCTTTTCCATTAGTTTCTTTGAAGTAGAAGGCACATCTGGGTTATCAATGGGCTGCCATTGACTGAAAACGATTCCCTCAAGAAAATCTTCGTCTTTGGTTTGACTTGGTTGGTCTGCAGCTTTGAACTGGGCTATAAACATGGCTCCTTTCCTTTCCATCTCTTTGGTCATCTCAATCGCTTTGTTTGAGGCCGTACGAAAGCCCACAAAATCTGACATGCTTGAGTCTTTTTGATCTTGTTCGAGTTTTGGTTGAAGACTGTCTCCTCCTTCAAAGTCAGCTAATAATTTGGCAGCCCTTTGTAGCGTTTCCTCTGAAACTTCAATTGGCTTGTTGGAGGCTGTACGAAAGCCAACGAAATCTTCTGCTTCCTCACGAGTTATCTGAGAATTTGGCTCTAATTTTACTATTTCTTGCGGTGGTTCTTTGGTTTCCTCTACCGACTTGTCGGGAACATCCATTTCGACTAGCCATTCGCTTATTGGTATGTCATCCAATACCGAAAGGTCTGGGTTCTCTACTTTCAAAGGCTCAGGTTCAGTTTTAATTTTATCTATCAAAGTTTTCTGTGGCTTAGAATCCTCAACATCTAATGCCATCTTTTCGGTGTTGTAATCCTCCAAAAACGAATCTGTCTCAGACCAATCATCGCATTTGATAGCTGTAAAAAAAAGTTTATTAGTATGGAGTCTTTAAAATGGGATAAATTTAGCTATTTTACCCAATTGGGAGTGCGAAATGGTGGTAGTTTGTCTACTATCGCCAAATAGAGTGTCGCCTGGAACTATAAATAGAGAGAGTTACAAGTGTTCTTCTTGAATTTTTAGATTATTCCTCACCTTGAGGTTTATTATCACAGATTTGGGAGGCTTCGAAAGTGAAGCCGTTTTCCAGGAGGTCATCTTTTAGGGTCTGAATTTCGGTATTGCTGCACTCGCCAGAGGAATTGGTGTCTGATAGACGGTTTTGGATTTCCCGGGAACAAGAAGGCTTCTCAGAATCCCTTCGAACCTTCAGTGGAAGATCTATTTGGGGATTTGAGGCTGTGCTGCCCAGTGAAAAGTATTGACTTAGGTTCAGCAGGTTTTCCCGGATCTTCTGCGATGTATTGACATCCAAGGCGCAAATGGCGGATGTTGAAGTAGCATTCAGATCCTCCTGGATGGACAGATCCGAGGAGCAGCTCAGCCGATCCTGCTCTTCGTTTTCCACGACCACAGGGAGATCTTCCCTTTGGGGAACCCTCTTCCTGCTGTATGTTTTAATCCTTTTCCTGCGAAAGCGAAACCATGGAGGCGACTCGCAGGTGGGTTTATCCTCCTCCTCCACGTAACTGGGAGAGGAACAGAAGTCCTGCAGGATGTTCTCCACCACCTCTTGCGGAGTGGGATCGCTTTGGGCCAGGATGAGATCCTCCAGGGCGACAAAGTCACTGCTGTCAGCCACTCCCCTGTCTTGGCCTTGATTTTGTCGCACTTTCAAGCTGTTCTCGCGATCTGCTTGGTATATTCTGGCCATTTCAGCCATTATATTACCGGGTAACCGTTGATTACCTGGCTTATCCACAGATAGGTGTGTTCCTTTCGATCGGGAAAGCTGGTTCGTTGCAGGGGCATTATCCTTCGGAGTCTTAGAACTCGCTGGCTCCTCATCCTGATCCATTATTCCCTTAAATTAATCAATTAACTACAAATAAAGTGGCCCTTGTTTACGTTTTGTATGATAGTGGTGAACGATAGCTTAGTGATGTGAGACCGGGCAGGTGTCGATATTTATGTTGCGAGCTGTGGCATTAGGGGGACTCCGCCCATCAGAACCCGAAAAACCAAACCAAAAAACGAAAGAAATTTGTAATATTGTGTATGTCTATTGATTAAATGGGGCCAAATCGATACTATTCTATGCTATTAGTGTATCAATAAAGTCGATCAAGCTTAAAAACCGAAATAATTCGATATTAGGCTCGAATTTACATCTTTACTTTGGCTTACTTAGATATGTTGGTGTTTTTCATTAAAACTAAAATAAACTTTACTTTCGATTTTAAATTCAAAGATTAGCTTAAAATTATTTGAAATACGATTTAAAAGTCCGTTTAACGGTCTGCTTTTTAACGAAAAGATTTTTGTGGTGCTAGAGACGGGCTGAGACCTAGAGATGGCTCAACGGCCTTTTCACGATAGCCTATCGATACCCGACGACTACTCCTCGTATCGATTGCGCGTCATCGGGAAGCCGTTTCACCATCTCTGGAGTAGCGAGTAACACTTTTTGCAATTTTAAATTAAATAATAAAGGCGACCGCCGAGCTGCTAAACCAGGTTTTACACTGCTGCCATTGCTGAAGAGTCTAGTTTAGGTGCCAGTCGCTGGAAAAGCAGAAAGTGCAACGCGTGCGAGCGAAAAAGAGCCCGAGGAATAAGAAAAAGAAGAAGAAGAAAAGTGAAAGCCCCCAGAAAAAGTACAAAAGAGCGACAGGGAGAGCAGAGAGCGAAAGAGAAAGAGAGTCTGGACGAAAAACGATTTTTTCAGAGAACACCGCGAATTTCAGTGGCCCAAAACCAGGTGAGTGGATTCTGATTGGGAATAGGAATAGCAGGATTAAACAGAGTCACTCCAGGTTACCAAGAACGACTGGAGAGGATTACCAACGAGAGCTGCAGCGCAACGCCGTCAAGATTCTCGGGCCCATCTACCTAAGCGACGGCCACCAGGACGCAGAAGCCACCGCCTCCGCCACCGCCAGCAACTACCTACGCTACAGCAGCCACAGCTCGCCACTAGCCGCCACCACGCTCCACCACAAACAGCCAGCAGCCATCATGTTCGTCAACTCGATGACGTTCCGCGGCAACCCGGCGAACTACCACCAGCAGCAGCCGGCGCTGAACCACCACACGCTGGCCGCGGCCGCCCACCACCAGCAGCAGCTGCAGCACCACCACCACCACCTGGGCCACGTGGGCGCCGTCCTGGGGCGGCACACCGCCGGCGGGCACACCGCTGGCCAGCACACCTCCGGCTCCTCGCACTCGCACTCGGCCAATGTGGGCGGCGGCGTCGGCGGCGGCGCCAATGTGGGCGGGGCCCTGGCCAGCGGCTCCACCGGTGGCTCCACCGGCGGCGGCAACAGCTCCCCGGACAGCGGCAAGATCTACATCAAGAACCTGGAGCGGTCCATCGACAACAAGGCCGTCTACGACACGTTCTCCGTGTTCGGCAACATCCTCAACTGCAACGTGGCCAAGGACGAGGACGGCAACTCGCGCGGCTACGGCTTCGTGCACTTCGACTCGGAGGAGGCCGCCCGGGCGGCCATCGAGAAGGTGAACGGGATGCTGTGCAACAACCAGAAGGTGCATGTGGTCAAGTTCATACCGCGGCGGGACCGGGAGCAGGAGAAGGCCACGCACTTCAAGAACCTGTACGTGAAGAACCTCAGCGAGGAGTTCACCGAGCAGCACTTGCGCGAGATGTTCGAGCCCTACGGCCGCATCACCAGTCACAAGGTGGGTTATTTGCCTGGTTGTCCAACCATGTGGCACAGTTATTCCCTCTCTTAAATCCGCTCTTGCCACATTAGTGCGCATGCCCAGGCTCAAGGAGCGGGGGAGGGAGTAGATTCCTTCAGGCCCATCTGTTCCGATTTGTTTATATCATCGATTTGCTTTCCAACGATCCTTTTAGCTCATGCTGGACGAGGAGGGGCGCTCGCGGCGCTTCGGCTTCGTGGCCTTCGAGAATCCCCAGTCGGCGCTGGCCGCCGTGATCGGGCTGCACGGCAAGCAGCTGGGCGACAACAAGTTCTTGTACGTGGCAAGGGCCTTGAGCAAGGCCGAGCGGCAGCAGGAGATCAACCGCAAGCTGGAGGAGCGCAAGCGCCAGAAGGCCGGCCAGATATTCTACTACTAAGGAGGCAGCTGATCCAAGGACATCGCTAGGAGTTGACTCGGAACCCCAAACACACGCATACAATATACACCCATATATAAACCTATATAGATATTTACGAGAAATTGTATCGAGCAGCTAGGCGAACATTCAGGCAGCAGAAACGCAGGAATCTCCTGCACATTTACATTTAGACGTAGGCAAAAAGTGTTGCAACACAGTTGAAATTTATAGAAACACACACAGGAAGCGAAAGGAGACAAACTCTCAGTCGAAAAGGATTTTCTAGGCATTAGGACAACAGTTTCTTAGCACTCACTAGCGTTTTTTTGGAATTAGATGTTTGTCTTTACTGTTGAATTTAGTGAGCGAGGCTTCGCTGTCAGCTTCTCGCCTGAAGAACACACATTGCGTACACGTATTTCAAATGTATTTACCCACACACCCTTTGGCATTAAGTCTAGATCGTGCGATCGCCACTAGAGCTACGCCCAGCGCGAGTCCTGGGCAACATATGAATATTTACACATACCTATTATATATTAAAACACGAAAAAAAAAGAAAAAAACGAACAAAAAAATACAATTGATGTAACCCCTATTAACAATTGATGCACTCACTCTACGCATATACATATATATTTAAAGTAAACCACACGCTGTAGTTAAAAAGCGTTTATAATACTCACACACTCTACGCTATAACTAACTTTTGACGCGGAATCAAGTGCAACCATTGCGAAAGCGAACCCTACACGTAATTTATAGAGTAGCCGCAAGTGCGGATTAGATCGGAGCTGAACAGAAAATGAATTAGCAGGAGGGACAGTACATGAGTATTAAAATTTTAGCGATTACAAGACATTTTTGTAATTAATTGTACATTGTTTCAAGTAGCAAAAACGATAATGAAACCACAAACAGGACCGCAAGACAGCCGTAATGTAACGAGAGCGAAAAGGAAAATCTAATTGAATATAACCAATCCAAAAGTGTACACAATGCAATGTTTAAAATCTTTTAGAATATTATTACGAATACAAGGCACGAAAAAAGAAATCCCCAAGAGAGAACCAGTTCGGCCCATGGCAAATTAATACCGAAACCGAAACGAAGGCAAATACATACATAATTTAAGATTATTGAGCTTAATTTTTAAAATGTTTCCAAGAACAGAAAAAACAAAAGTAATGAGAAAACCAAGAATATTAAGAAAACCAAACAAACAATGCTAAAACTAAAACTCACTCGAAATTTGTAAGATTCAAGTTTTGCGTCTAGACATACACACAATGTATAGTTAAAACAGTACCACAAGAGAACAAAACAAAAATGAACAAAAATTACAAAAAATAGTTATAAATGATGGCAATATTTAGGATGGCATAATTAATGTAACCCTCATTTGACAATATTTATTTTCCATTACATTCATTTCCAGCTTAGGTTGCCCGCCCCCTGATCTTTGATCCGCAGGTTTTTACCTCTCGGGGCTGCGGGCGATATTACGATTCTAGTTTTCAGGACAAAAGTAGGATTAGGCCTCCACACTCTAACTCACACAGAACATATGCAATATGAATTTACAAGACAAGCAAGAGAAAATTATGCAATTGAATAATATTTACACAAATGTACAAAACAAAAGAAGAAAGAAAATGAAATTTATTTTCCTTTGCCAAGCAAATACGACATACTTCTTATTATTATTACAAATTATAATTGTAATTGAAACTTAATTTTTTTGGTAATTGCTTTTGCAGAATTTACCTAAACAAAATAAAACAAACAAGCGAAAAGAAAAGAAAACAAAAAGAAGAACCCTTTTATAGTGCTAAATTTTTAGAGAGTACAAGAAATGTTAATTCAGTCTTACAAAATTAATTGATAAACCACACAAATCGAGTCCCATTTCGAACACGCAACACCACACATAAATTTACTCAATTTCGCACCTTTGCTAAATGAGACATTACAACACACCTGCATTCGAATTCGATTCTACTCACGAGAACCTAGTTTTTATTTAAATCTTTTGCTTGGACCGGGGAGTGTGTGCCCTCGAGAGTCCCATTTTAATGACTAGCAAACCCCACACAAGCAGCACAGATAATACTGAACACAGATGGCGTATAATATATGCATTATATATGTAATTCCATTGAAACGAAATCCTAATTATAACATATTACAAAATACCTACTTATTAACAAACCTAAAAAAAAAACAAAAAACCAAGCGAAAATGAACAAGAAAATGGAAAAACATTTAATGATGAAAATCAAGATGCAGTGAGCAGAGACATGTGAAACTTGAATAAAAATGCTTTTGCAAAAAGTGTTTGAAATTGCGACCCGGCGTTTATTAATAGATCTGTAAAACTAGGGGTGTATCGTTTTAAATATTTAAATGCTCTGAAGAATTCGCGGTTGATTTTGAAATTATCGATGCCACTTGAAGTAAACTATCTCAAAGGGCAGGACTAGCAGACTGAATAGAGTTCCTCCCATATAGGCAATCCAAACGTAGTACAGATCCTCCCAAATAAGATCGTGGTAGGGTGGCTCTGCAAGATCCGCGCTGTAGTTGAGTTTTCCCACGGCTATCAGTTCGTGATAGGATCTTCTGAACCACAGATCGTATAGACCACTTGCCATCGTATAGCTCAAATACCTATTAAGCACATCGCGATATATAGAATTTCTGGCCATTGGCATTGTAACAGGTATAAATTCCTTGAAGCTTATCTCCTTTGACTTGCGGAACAGCGGTCGCTGCATTTTAATCTGTTTTAGTTGGAGAAAGGGCCACAAGGTATTGGTCACAGGATAGCCAAAGCACTATGGTCCGAGCGGCCGATTTTTTGGCATAAAGTCGAAATTTTTATGTTAATGTTTTGTATTTTTTATTTTAAATTCTTAAAGTTAATAGATCATACATATACAAACCTAAAAAAAAAAGCTTTAAAAGCTACACTAACGCTTTTTATGAGCTTTCAAAAGTACACAATCGATCAGCTGCTTAGGACTAAGAAATTGGCGCCATAATATTTTCTTTACGTTTGTGCAAAAAAATAAAACTTCTTTGTCCCGACTAAATTAAGTAAATTATGGAAATGAAAGATCAAGGTATGTAATATTTAGTGTGTATAGTACATTTATGTGTAATCTTAGTGTTCGACCTGTGTTTAATTTCCAATTTATGTGTATTTTTATAGAAAATTAATATTTGTTCCCTGTATTTAGTGGGATAAAACTAACGACCCGACGTCTGCCCACAAAAACTAAGTACGCCAATTTGTACATATACATGTCGTTTTTCAGCGCTAATTAACACCTTTTCCCCGTTCGTCCCCCTTTTCACGCAATTCCACACTATTCAGGGACCTTAAAGTTTCTTCGTAGCGATCTCTAGGATATTTGGCGCAGCAACAATCGAAAATTTAATTTTTTTAGGATTGCATTTCTGTAAAAATTATCAATTACCACTTAAAAGATGATAAAACATCAAAAATAAATTTAAAAAAGTAGTTATTTTGAATCCTTTCTTGTTAAGCATTCGTAAGAGAAAGAAAAGAAAATGTCTTCCTTTGCTTATAATTCCGTTAAAAAAATTACAAAAATTATTGTGAGTGTGGGGTTTGAAAGATACAGAGTTGCACTTTTTAAATGTTTTGAGTTACATTACATACGAAGAATCCGTTCGTCTGCAAAATAGGTTCAAAGTTTGCCAAAAACAAAATTTTTCCAACTTTAGTGTCCTTTTTTTTAGAATCCTTGGGTGTGAAAATTTTTTCGAGAGCACATTTAGAGCGCTGATTATTTAAAGCAAATAGGACTTTTAAGATTTCATCGAGGTATTTAAAAAAAGGTTAAATTTTATAACACAGTGTAGTATTATGAATTTGCTTGTATGGGAGGCAAAAGAGGGCGTGGTCGCACAGACTCAAAAATTTGTTTGCATACTATTCTTTGTAAAAAAACAGAATGTGTAAAGTTTGAAGTCTGTGACTCAATTTTTAGAGTTTATGCCAAAAAAATCGACTTTTGGACCATAGTGCAAAGGAGGTATTCAGCTCGTTCCTTTTGGCCAGGAACTCTACGACCGAGGGCGTTATCTTGAAAAGGTCCAGGTTCTTTTCCAAAACTTCCACACCAATAGAAGCATTCAAAAAGGCCAGTTCCTGATGCATGATTAAGATCTTTCCGTGGGCTCTCCTCAGGTCATCATAGCTGAGTATCTTGTAAGCAGCTGGCGGATGAACGAGTAATGTTGCTAGATTGGCACCATAGAAGGTGCTGACTATCAGGCCTGCCATCATCAGCAGGCTATAAAGCAGAGTTCTACTGAAGCCTAGCCCATTCGGCAGGACGAAGGACTGCGCGAGGATGGCTCTCAGCACATGGTCACCGAATATATCACCACATCGCAGGGTGAAGTATCCCTGGCCCGCTTCCAAGCGAAGGGCGTTGGCTAGCAGTAGGGCCAATATGATCATCAGTGCCAAGAAGTAGGGCCAACCCTTGAGGTTGAAATAAAGACTGGACAGAGGCATCGTGGGTTCCACGGGCAGCATGAGGAACCAACTGGTAATCTCCCCCACATGGCTGGGATAAAAGGGCTCTGGAGCGAGTGAGGTAAGAACGAGGGGAAAATCCACCAGACCATCTCGTAACTAGGCGGCAGTGACATTGTGCCTGGGTGTCTCATCCTCAGGAACCAAATCCCAACGGATCCGCAGACTCGAGTTCAGACTCCTGGCAAAATTCCTGTAGAAATGGGTGAGGTATCCGGTCAGCTGGCGATGTCCCTCCGAATCTCTATAAATCACAGATCGGGGGATGAGGTTGTAGGGAATAATGGTGATGGGATATCCCTGGAGATCCTTCACTTGGGGTTCATAAAACCTACTAACTTGGTTTATTCTCCTCTTAACTACTTTAAAGTGGGGAAAAGCATGGTAGCTGTATATGAACTCAAGAATCGATTCGCTTAAAGCCAGAACATTTAGCATCTGATGTGAACGACACTTTTCAAATAAACTGGTGATATTTAATTCGTTTTTGATCATAAGTAATATGGGTGTTCCCCGCATATCCATTAGATTTTCACAAAGTGCTTTCATCATGATTTCGATCTTCTCTGACGAGTCCAGACAAACCATAACTAGTATTTTTGTATTCACTCTTCCTTTTAGGTAGTGACTTTGGTTAGTGTTAAAATTAAAGTAGGCATATTGATCAAGGTCACTTAGATTTAAACAGAAATTGGTACTTTCTCCGCTCTTAAGTAAAAGTACAGATCTGAAGGACAGTTCCATCTTTAGGGAATCTAGAATATTAGCCATTAACACTTCTTGGGCATTAATTGAACTTATGTAAAACACAATAAAACAGCTCGTATTGAACCACATTTCAGAAGGCTTGCTTTCCCAACACTTTTGAGACCCGGACTAATCCGCTTTTATAGCTATATAAACAATATAATCCCATGACCGGCAAGAATAAATATAAGCCCATGAAAATGACAGAACAATTATCATTTATTTGTGGTTAATAAACTGTTAATGGGGGCTGGGAGATATATAATGAATTCATTTAGGATGGGGTTTCAACCTGTAGTAACCAAGTTCCAAGAGAAACACCAGGAAACTTATCATGGTTCCTCCCACAAAGGAGAGCCATACAATGGAAAAATCTTGCCACTTGAGATCACAATAGATCTCAACCGTTCCTTCTTTGAAGGAGATCTTTCGAAGGACCACTAGTTCGTTGAAGCTGTGCCTGAACCAATACTTATACAGTCCGGTGTCCTGGGTTAAAGCCCTGTATCGCAGAAGGGACTTGTGGAAAATTGAGTTCCTTGGCAGCGGCATGGCCAAAATCATAAACGGCCTAATAACCAACTCGTTGGACCGGCGGAATAGGGGTCTACGTAATTGCACTTGAGCGTGCTTCAAAAGGGGCCACAAAGTGTGGGTCACTGGATAGGCATAGGATTGATCCAGAGCTAAGCGTTTCCTTTGAAAATCCGTTGAGTTCGCCAACTGGAATAAATCGCTGTGGCTATCCATAAACTCAGTGCCCATTATGAAGTTAATATATTTAAATTCTTCGGGGATAACCAGGATTTTCAACTTCAAACTGCGCATTTCATCCCAGCTGAGGATTGGACGACCCGATGGAGGATGTACGAGCCAAGTCTCCAGGTTGACCATATAAAAGTTGCTCTCAAAGAAACCAAGCTGCAGGATCGCCCAATAAATCAGCATCAGCTTGGGGGAGAGTCTTTTGGGTAGGATAAATGGTTGTGCCAGAGTTCCTCGCAGGACTTTATCGATTACTATCCAGAATCTCCAACTGGGTCTCAAGCCCACTTCCAACCGATGGGCATTACTTAGGACCAAAGTTATCAAGAACATAATGGGTACCAGCTTATGGACACCAAATTGAATGAAGACACGATGTCGAGAAAGTGGAGGTTCCATGGGTAGCATGAGGAACCAGCTGGAAACCTCCATGGGAACATTCGGTTTATTTGAGCCAATGTCAAGTCCATTTATACCCAGGGGAAAATCCACTTCCTTCGTTTCCGACAACTTGGTAATATCCGTCAAATGCCGCATACCTTCTTCGGGTACGAGGTCCCAGCAAATGCGAAGACTGGCATTAATGGTGTTTACATAGTTTCGTATAAAGTGACTTAGATATCCGCCCAACTGCCGGTTTCCATCGGCACTTCTGTAGACCACAGTTCGCGGCATTATGTTGTCGGGTAGAACCCTTAAGGTATAACCACCCATATCCTCAAGTTGGGGCTCAAAGTACCGAAGTATCTCCATTTCCCTTCGCTTTATAACGCGAAATTCTGGGAATGCCTGAAAGCTGTAGATAAACTCTCTATTCGATCCCATAAATGCCAACACATTGAGCATTTTTTCACTGAAACACTCTAGGAGTATATCTCGCATTTGGACATCCGAAGTTGTGAATAATATAGTGGGAGTATCTCGCATATCTTGAAGGTTACCATAGACCGCCTTCATTGTATCTCTTTCGTTGCTTCTTAAGCAAACAAGTACCAGTATTTTCGAATTAAATGCATCCTTGAGATACACATTACGATTCCCATTGAAGTTTAGAATGGGAACCCCTTCGTGAAAGTCTTCATGGTTCCAGCAGGAACTCCTTTGACCCAAACTTCCTAAAAGAAGAATCGTCTTATAAGAGAGCTCTTTTTCAAGGGTCTTCAATAGGTTATTCAAGAACACACCATGTGTGTCGACCGAACTGATAAATATGAAATATAAAGCTAGACGCATTTTTGCCACGACTGCTCAAAAGGGTTTTGTACGATAAACTGCAACGACGGAAGTTTCCCTAAGTTATGGTTGGTATGATAAAATCTGAAATCTATGAAAACTGTGCTGTCATAGTTTTTAATTACGAATGCATTTCTTCCACCCCACAAATAAAACACAAGAAATCATTAAAACATTCAGTTTACCCAAGTGGTAAGCATTTAAGGTTTATTTATTTTGGTGTATCTGTAGTGTAGTATAATTATTATCTATTGTGTTTACTGCATCTTTCTTATTGAAAAAACACACTGTGTATACATTCCATTTACAGTAGTATCCAATCTCGGCCAGGAACACCAGGAAACTAGTGATGCTTCCGCCTACGAAGCCCAGCCAAATAAATTGAAAGTCCTCCCACTTGAGATCAAAATAGGTTTCGAAGTCCATATCCTCTTTATATGAGATGTTTCCTAGGGTCACCAATTCGTAGAAACTTTGTCTGAACCAAAACTGGTAGAGTCCGCTCTCATGAGTGTGTAGCCTATATCGATTGAGAGACTTTTGAAACACCGAGTTATTCGGCAGTGTCATAGACATGATAATAAGCGGTAGAATTACTATCTCCTTCGACCGGCGGAATATGGGCTGACGAAGCCTGAGTTGTGATTGTTCCAAGAGAGGCCACAAGGTGCAAGTCACTGGATAGGCGTACGATTGGTCCATTGACATGCGCTTCCTCTGGAAATCCGACGGGTCGGTGATCTGAAATATATCTCTGCGGGTCTCTACGAACTCCATGCCCATGGTGGCCTTTAGGTAATCCAGTTCCGAGGGGACGGTGAGGATGTTCAGCTTTAGGCGACGCATCTGCTCGTAGTCTTTTATTGGCTCCAAAGTTGGTGGATGAACGAGCCAAGTGGTGAGGTAGACAATAATATAGTTGCTTACGAAGAAACCACTTAGGAGGAGCAGCCAGTAGATGAACATCAGTTTGGGGGAGAGTCTTTTGGGTAGGATAAATGGCTGTGCCAGGACTCCTCGCAGGACTTTACTTCCCACTGAACTACAGCGCCATGTGGGACCCAAGCCCAAGTCTATCCGATGGGCATTACTTAGCACCATTGCTACCAGTAACATCAAAGGTATCAGCCTGTATAAACCGAATCTCAAGTAGAAACTGGCGCGAGGAAGGGCGGGCTCCATGGGCAGCATCAGGAACCAACTGGACAACTCCATTATAACGTTCTGTTTCAATGTCCTTTTCTCTAGACCATCGAAGCCCAGGGGAAGGTCCCAGTGTCTCTCCTCCGAGAGGGTTATGTTATCCAGCGAGGGGATTATGCCCTCCTCCGGAACTAGATCCCAACAGATTTCGAGAGAGGCGTTTATGGTGCTCACATAGTTTCGGATAAAGTGGCTCAGGTATCCGCCCAACTGGCGATTGCCATCAGCATTTCGGTAGGTCACAGTTCGGGGCATTATGTTGTCGGGTAGAGTCTTGATGGTATAGCCCCCTAGATCCTTGAGTTGTGGCTCAAAGTACCGATGAGTTTCCGCTAGACTTCGCTTAATAATGCGAAATCTGGGAAAGGCCTGAAAGCTGTAGACAAACTCTCGGTTTGAGCCTCTAATTGCCAACACATTGAGCATATTTTCGCGGAAACATTCCCGCAATAGATCCCGTATGTGATCTTCCGAGGATGTGAATAATATGGTGGGGGTGTCTCGCATATCCTGCAAATTACTAAAGAGTGCCTTCATTGTATCCCTTTCACGTTTCTCCAAGCAAACAAGTACTAGTATCTTTGAGTTGAAAGCATCTTTAAGATAAACACTTTGCCTTGCGTTAAAGTTTAGGATGGGAACGGTGTTATGTAAGTTTTCTTGCCTCCAACACAAATCACTTTGAGGGTACATTTCTAAAAGAAAAATCGTCCTATAATAAAGTTCAGCCTTAAGAGATTTCAAGATGTTGTTCAAGGTAAAATTATTTGCTTCCACCAAACAGGTCAATACAAAATATAAGGATAAGCGCATTTTTCTATTGACTATTCTTAACGGGTTGCTAAAATGCACTGATATTTGATTGAGTTTCACCGTAGCACAAGGGTTATTATGATAAAATCAGTTACCTGTCAGCTAACAAGTAATGGTCACCGCTTTTAATAACAGATAAGTGGTTCTATCCAATTAAGGTACCCAACGGTAAATTTAAAGAGAGAAAGGGTTGGTCTGATGGATAAACGTTTATTTATAGGTAATCAAATATTTAGGGTTTTAAAATATGATAATATGCACTCTTCAAACGCCACCTGTAGTATCCAATCTCAGATAGAAAGACCAGAAAACTGGTGAAACTTCCTCCCAGAAATCCAAGCCAGATATAGTGAAAGTCCTGCCACTTCAGATCGAAATAATCCTCATGTTCCTTATCTTCCTTATAGGTCATTTTGCCGATTGCCACCAATTCGTAAAAGCTTTGCTTAAACCAACGAATATATAGACCGCTTTCATAAGTTCGTAATCTGTACAGATTAAGAGACTTGAAATATATGGAGTTCCTTGGCATATACATAGACATGATAATGAACGGTAGGAATACCATCTCTTTGGATCGACGGAAAATGGGTCTCGGTAGTCTGACTTGTGACTGTCTTAAAAGAGGCCACAAGGTTAGGGTCACTGGATATGCATAAGATTGATCCATAGAGATCCGCTTTCTTTGGAAATCTGTCCAGTTGGTGGTCTCAAATATATCGCTGTAGGCTTTTACAAACTCCTCGCCCATGGTGAAGTTCAAGTATTCCAGCTCATCTGGGAGTATAAGGATTTTCAGCTTCTGGCTTCGCATTTGATCATAGTCAGTTATTCGATTGAGAGTCGGTGGATGAACGAGCCAAGTTGTGAGATAGACAGCAAGGTAGTTGCTTACAAAGAATCCACTTAGGAGGAGTAACCAGTAGATGAACATCAGTTTGGGGGAGAGTCTTTTGGGTAGGATAAATGGTTGTGCCATAATTCCTCGCAGGACTTTATTTCCCATTGAACTAAAGTGCCATGTAGGACCCAAGCCCTTTTCTATCCGATGGGCATTACTTAGCACTATAGCTACCAGTAACATCAAAGGTATTACCCTGTATAAACGAAACCTTAAGTACACCCAAAAAAAAATGATCATAGAAACTAAACTATTTCTACATTAAAAGTAAACTATTGAGTGTCAAAAATTTCTCGATACTCTGAGTATTAAACTAATGGACTTCGAAAGTATAAAAATGAAACTTTCGAAGTTGTCAAGTTTAAACTAACGAGTGTACAGTTTATACTCACTCAGTGTACTGAAATTGAGGCGGCTAGTTTATTTTGTATACTATTTAGTATAATGCCAGTATAAATATTATACCCCGTATAAAAGAGACAAAATTCAAAAAATGTTGTTTTGTACTTTTCATATATTATTAAAAATATTTTTTACATTTTTATAAATTACTGAAGGTAATTTTTAATTTAAAAACATACATAAATACAATACATGTACAAAATATGTACGTATCTATGCATATTTGGGCAAATGCAGCCGTTTTACCGCTTATGTCGCTGATCATCTCCAGAGTGAAGGCCGTCCAGATGAATACCAAATCTTGGTCGAGGACGCTGATATTGAAGTTAACATTGCGCTGGCCGCGGTCAGAAAAAATGCAAGCCAATTGCAAGATCCTTAGTTCCCGGCATCTGGAGCGCAGTTCAAGGTGGTGTCAGTAAAAGGAAAAGAATTTACTCATTAGTTATGCACTAAGACACAATTTTAATGTACTTACATTTCAAATAAGCCCAAAATAAGCAAATATTAAAATTTTAACAAGTAATTTTCACGAACAAACCTTAAACAGACCGCAGCGTCGTTTACAAAATACACTAATGTAAAACCCTTAAAATACTAACGCGTCCGAATAGCATTAAAAAGCGGTAACACTTTTTCTGTTCGACATGTCCAGGTTCCAAACCAGAGCATCCTGGCTTCACACCAGGAACGAAAACCGAAAACTTTGGTATAGAAATTAAACTCAGGACATAAACTTAACACTATTTAGTCTTAACTTAACACTATTGAGTCTGCTCCTTACATTATTTAGTTTTAAATTAATACTGACAGTTTGATACTAGATGTAGTTTACTTTTAATACAACGCGTATTAACTGTAAACTTTCGGATTTTTTTTTGGGTGTAGAAACACTCTCGAGGAAGGGTCGGTTCCATGGGCAGCATCAGGAACCAGCTGGAGATCTCTAAGGGAATGTCCTCTTTGGCTGTATCTATGTCAAGACCATCAATTCCCAGAGGAAAGTCTATGTTTTGGTCCTCCCAAAATGTGCTATTATCCAGCATACCAACCTCATCAGCTAGGTCCCAGCTAATTTCGAGGGTGGCATTTATGGTGCTCACATAGTTTCGTATAAAGTGACTGAGATATCCGCCCAACTGACTGCTTCCATTGGCATTTCGGTAGACCACAGTTCGCGGCATTATGTTCTCGGGAAGTGCTTTCAAGGTATAACCACCCAGATTCTCAATTTGGGGTTCAAAGTATCGAAGAATCTCCTTGACTCTTCGCTTTATAACGCGAAACTCCGGGAATGCCTGGAAGCTGTAGATAAAGTCTCTATTCAATCTCTTAAATGCCAACACATTGAGCATTTTTTCACCGAAACATTCTAGGAGTATATCTCGCATTTGGAGATCCGAAGTTGTGAACAATATGGTTGGAGTATCTCGCATATCTTGAAGATTATTATACAGCGCCTTCATAGTATCGTTTTCATTTTTATCCAAGCAAACAAGTACTAGCATCTTTGAACTGAACACATCTCTAAGATACACACTTTGCTTTGAATTGAAGTTTAGAATGGGAACCTTATCATATAAGTTGTTTTCCATCCAACACGAATCCCTTTGAGGGTACATTTCCAAAAGCAGGATCGTCTCAAAATGCAGCTCATCCTCAAGAGACATCAAAAGGTTATTCAATGTAAAGTTACTTCCTCCTACCAAACTGGCAAATACAAAATAAATGGCGACTCGCATTTCTATGACTGTTTAAAACGAGCTGGTAAAACGAACTGCAACTTCGATAAAATCAGATAAATGTCTGCTACACAGCCATAACCAGAAAGCACTAACCAGTAATTGTCACTAAATTAAGGCACCCAGGGGTAAATTTAGCAAACAACCCTTTAAATATCAATAAATTCAATGCATGGTTGGTATAAAGAAAATATGTTTATTTGTAGGAAGGTAAAAGGGATTATAAATCGTATACAATTAAAAGTGTTAATGAGAGGAGCCTTTTCCTTGCCACCTGTAGTATTCAATCTCACCAAGAAAGGCTAGAAAACTTGCGATACTTCCCACTAGAAAGGCCAGCCATACAAAGCTAAAATCACTCCACTCGAAATCCCGATACGTCTCTTGTCTCGCATCTATTTTGTAATTGATTTTCCGTAGGGCAAGTAAGTCCCTGAAGCTCCGTTTGAACCAAAACTCGTATAATCCGCTCTGGTGAGTGAGGGACTTGTATCGATTCAGTGATTTGTAGAACACAGAGTTTTTCGGCAAGGGCATGGCCAGGATCAAAAGAGGTATGAATACTATCTCCCGGGACTGACGGAATACGGGCTTCAGTAGTCTGGTCTGTGCCTGCTGCAGAAGTGGCCACAATGTCCAGGTCACAGGATACGCGTAGGATTGGTCCATGGATAATCGCTTGTTCTGGAACTCCTCCGAGTTGGTCAGTTGGAAAATATCACTATGGTCATCTGTAAATTTCTGGCCCACTGCTTTCTTCATCGACTCCAATTCAGAGGGGACAATTAGGATCTTCAAGTTCAAATTGCGCATTTGTTCCCAGGAAAGGATTGGTTGACCCAAAGGAGGGTGTACTAGCCAAGTCTCCAGACTGGCGGCATAGTAGTTGCTCACAAAGAACCCACTCAGCAGGAGATACCAATAGATGGCCATCAGCTTGGGGGAGAGTCTTTTGGGTAGGATGAATGTTTGGGCTAGCGTTCCACGAAAGACCTTATCACCCACTGAATCAGTACGCCACGTAGGACCTAAGCCCGCCTCTATGCGATGAGCATTAGCCAGCACTACGGCTAGAAGGACCATTAGTGGTATTAGCCTCTCCAAACCCAATTTGATGAAGAGTCGAGATCGGGGAACACAGGGTTCCATGGGCAGCATCAGGAACCAGCTGGAAACCTCCACCGGAACGTTTTGTTTGGTCGATCCATGCTCAATGCCGTGAATTCCCAGCGGAAAGTCCACGTTATTAACTTCCGCCAGTCTGATTACTTCCGGCAACTGAATCATGCCATCTTCCGGAACAAATTCCCAGCAGATCTTCAGACTAGCATTAATGGTGCTCACATAGTTCCTTATAAAGGGGTGGAGGTATCCAGCCAACTGTCGGTTTCCATCGGGGTCCCTGTAGACCACTGTTCGGGGTATTATGTTGTCGGGTAAGGTTGTAAGGATATGGCCGCCCAGATCCTCAAGATGCGGTTCAAAGTACTTAGATATCTCCTTCACACTTCTTTTAATTAACTGAAACCTTGGGAACGCCTGGAAGCTGTAGATAAACTCCCTATCCAAGCCCTTGAAAGCCACCACATTAAGCATATTTTGTTTTATGCACTCGTGGAATAAATCACGTATTTCATAACCCGATAGTACGAATAATATTGTGGGAGTATCGCGAATATCTTCCAGATTTTTATACAGAGCCAGCATGGTATTTCCTTCGTTTTTATCCATGCAAACTAGTGCCAATATTTTTGTATTAAATGTATCTTTTAGATACAAGCTTTGATTTGCATTCAGATTCAAGATGGGCACTTCATTTTGAATATACTTTTGTTTCCAACACAAATTATTTTCACTGGAACTTTGTAAAAGAAGAACTGTTTCGTAATGAAGCTCGTCTTCAAGGGAGTTTAAAATGTATCTCAGGGAAACACAGTGTGTGTCCACCAAACCGATGGTAACTATTAAAAACAAATTTAGCCTCATTCTCGAGTTGTCTGCTCTAAAGGGCTGGAGAAGAGAAACTGCAACTTGGACGAGAAATATTCTAAGGGTTAGGGTAATTAAGAAAAACAGTCTAACATTCAGACCCCATAAACAATGACAATTTAACGGTCATTGCTTATAATTGGAGCTAGGTACCAACATAAAGTGCATTTGTAGTATGTTTCTTTGAAATTAATTCATTCAGCTTGTGGCTTGGAAATAGAGTTTAGTTTAAAAACCTGTTCAACTAACAAATAAAATATTAAAAAAGTAAGGAACAATAAGTAAGTAAGGTGCTAAAAATTTTAATTAATAATAATTTTATTTGTTAATACTTGTAATAAATAAATGTATTACTTATTAGATATTTTTTATTAGTTATTTTAAAGAAGTAACAGTTACATTTATTTGTTATTATTTCTTATGGAAGCGTTATTCAAATCAGGAATGCCCCTAATATGCAGCACATCCAAACACATTTTTGAACCACCCTGCTGCACGGGATGTTTCAGCACTCGCAGGACGGTCACACCGAAAGCAAACGTGAAAAAGTGAGACGGTTTATTTAGTTTTTATTATTAATTCTGGCACGGTAGGGATGACAAATGGCTTATATATAAACATATAAGCCGTCCGAAGAGCACGCTACAATCGACGGCTAAATTATGGGCGTGATTTAACCGGTTGTCAGTGGCACGAAATGCGAAAATACTTCGAAATTTGTTGCTGTAGTTGTGTAATTTGATTTGGATTTGTGCGAGGCAAAAACAAAAACAAAGATCGCGCGATATTGCGTCGATGACGTAGCCGACTGCGTGCGTGTGTGTGTGCTGTCTAACTTCTCCGTTTTAGACAGCCAAAGCTTGTGTTTTTAATCACTTTATCGAGTTTTAACCAAATCCACAGTAGGCTAACAGCAGAAATCCCCACCTTTTATTTACTTTTTTTCAATAGACGAGAATCGTGGAAAGGAACCGTTACATTGCGCCAACGAAAGAGAAGGATAGAGAGAGAGATAAGCGACAGCAAACAAAAACAAAAGAGGAAATCGAGGGGCAGGGAAATCGAAAAGCGACAGAGAACCCAAAGATACACAATCCACAGACAGTTTTGTCGGAAATTCAAAATTACAGTTGAAAATTCTTTGGAATCGGATTGGCAGCCAAACCGAGCCGCGCCCCCCACCGCCGCCCCCCGCAGACGACGACATGAACGCCCTGCTACGTCACAAGGGACGCAACCTGCGAACGAGTCACCTGGCCCAGAATGTCTACAAGCGCTGTAAGTTGGCCAAAACAAAAGCGACGGAAATCCCTCAAAACTTTCCATTGATTTTGCCCCCTTTGCGTGTGAGGGCGTGTTTGTGTGTGTGCGCCCCTTATCCAGTATTTTGTTTTGACTGCACTTTCGCTGGAAGGCAACAGCTGACTGGAAAACTACGACGTGCGCTGGAAATTCTATAGTGGGTGATTAAGGCAGTGGCGTAGTTTGAAAATGTGTAAAAGGAGGACTAATATTTTTATTTTTTTAGATCAATAACCTAGAATGTTTAACCGGTTTTTTAATCTTCAAACCCCTTTTTATGATCCGCCACTGGGATCTCGTCTGCTAATTTAATTACTCATATTGTTTTCAACGTTTTGTTGACTTTGGATCGTGACAAGTGGCAATCTAATCACTTGACTTATATATAAGGCCTATTATTTGGCAATATAACTTTTCTAATCCTATTAGTACCCATCATCTTGTTTCTAAAAAGTACCAATCTTCTGGGAAACACTCACAAATTTGGCATTATTTGCGCTACAATTTTAGAACATTTCCCTAGAAAACCCTAACAAGGAACAGGTGCCAAAGACAGGTAACCGAAAAACGGCAGACAAATAGGCACCTGCGGAAAAGTACAGTCACAGTTCAGTGCAAAAACTATTGTGTAGACCTGAAAACAGGTCTGAAATCATTTGAGAGACCCGAAAAGAGGTCAGAAATCGCCTTCACTTTCTCCACACCGCAGTTCCTTTTTCGGGTTCGCTCTCCTCATTTCACTCACTTACCTTGAGCAATTGCCAAGAATCGGAAAATCAAATGGGGGAGAAAGAAAAGAAAAGGAAAAGTGCGCTGTAAACAATTGCACTCGGCGCACATTTCTGAATGTTTGCTAAATAGTTTATTTATAGAGGTAGAGAATTCGCAGTGATTGCGTGATTTTCGGTTCGCTTTGTGATTTATGTAAGCTCCACTCCAGGTGCTAATTGCCTCCCCCTTTCGCCGGCGATCTTTGCCTCTTCTATATCAACCATATAGTCTACTCCAAATCCCAACAAAAATCCGTAATCTACCCCCTTCTTATCATCCGCAAACCTTTCTTGTTTTTTTGTTCGTTGTGATTAATAATTTATTGTGTGCTTTTCTTCTCACTCTTTGTTTCCCTTTTTTCGCCGGCTGTTCAAGATTGTTGAACTGATTTCATTTTCGTAGGAAGAAAGGAAAGGTGTTTCGGAAAAGCCTTTCGTTATGCGACTGATTCATATTTACTATAAAATCAGTTCATTGAACTGGCGGAGACTTTTGTGAATCTTACTAAGAAAAACACCAAAAAAGACAAATCCTCAAGAATTCGCGGGTATTAAATTATCGCTTTTAACCGAACCAATAATAGGAAAGTAGATTTTTCAATAGCTGCGAATTCTTCAGATTGTGTGTACTATTCTCAATTTAACTATTTTTCATTTTTATTATATTTTAAAACTCAAAAAACTAAATCTCATACTAATCACCACTTTTCCAACTCTTTCACAGACCTAAAATCGAGCTGCTGCGCGTGTAGCTCGACCAACTTCACAGATGGACCCGCCACAGTGGACGAGCGGCCCCGGAGGTCCGCTTCCACATCGGTGCTAGAGGTCAGCAGATCGCTGGGCGCCCAGCGGAGGTTCCAGCCGCACGCCAGCTACGGCTACCACTACTCCGGCCATGGGTTCAGGCATCTGCACGCCAGCCGGACGATGTGGGAGACGTCCAGCTCGAAGATCGACGTGACCGTCAAAAAACTGAAGAACCAGCAGAAGGAAAAGGTCGAGGAGATCATGAAGGAGGTAGCCAATGGTCAGGCGGCGGCCACTGCCAGCAGTGCAGCCGCTACGGCCACAGCCTCCGCAGAGAAGGGAAGTCAGAAGGCTACAGCGACGACTGGCTCCACATCGGCGACCGCATCGTCGACATCGCTGGCCCAAACGGCGGACAAGGCGGTGGCCAAGCCGAAGAAGCCGCTGGCCACACGCATTTGGGACGAGCTGGTGCACTACTACCACGGCTTCCGGCTGCTCTCCATCGACGTGGCCATCTGCTCGAAGCTCCTGTGGCGCGTGCTCAACGGCAAGACGCTGACGCGGCGCGAGAACAAGCAGCTGCAGCGCACCACCTCCGACCTGTTCCGCCTGATCCCCTTTTCGGTGTTCATCATCGTGCCCTTCATGGAGCTGCTGCTGCCGCTGTTCATCAAGTTCTTCCCCGGCATGCTGCCCTCCACGTTCCAAACGTCGACCGATCGCCAGGAGAAGCTGCGCCAGTCGCTGGGCGTGCGGCTGGAGGTGGCCAAGTTCCTGCAGCAGACCCTCGACCAGATGCCCGTGCAGCACAAGGAGCACAGCAGCGAGGAGGCCAAGCAGTTCGAGGCCTTCTTCACCAAGATCCGCAATCCCACGGAGGCGGTGAGCAACGACGACATCATCAAGTTCGCCAAGCGATTCGACGATGAGATCACCCTCGATTCGCTCTCCCGGGAGCAGCTGGCGGCTCTCTGCCGCGTCCTCGAGCTAAATACTATTGGAACCACCACGCTGTTGCGTTTCCAGCTGCGCCTGAAGCTGCGTTCCCTGGCCACCGACGACCGGGTGATTGCCCGCGAGGGAGTCGACTCGCTGGACCTTTTGGAGCTGCAGCAGGCGTGCAAGGCGCGCGGAATGCGGGCCTACGGGCTGACGGAGGAGCGACTGCGCTTCCAGCTGAAGGAGTGGATCGATCTCTCGCTGAACGAGCAGGTGCCGCCCACGCTGCTGCTCCTCTCGAGGACCATGCTCATCTCCGACGACAGCATCACCACCGACAAGCTGAAGGAGACGATGCGCGTGCTGCCGGACGCAGTGGGCGCCCACACTCGTCACGCAATCGGCGAGAGCGAGGGCAAGGTGGACAACAAGACCAAGATCGAGATCATCAAGGAGGAGGAGCGGAAGATCCGCGAGGAGCGCGAGGAGGAGCACGAGGAGACCATCGCCAAGCGATCGGCCATCAAGGAGGAGATTCCCGCGCCCTATGTGTTCGCCGAGCAGCTGGCCAGTGACCAGAAGAAGGAGCAGGCCTCGGTGACCGAGACGGACAAGGGCATCTCCTCCACGGATGTCCAGCTGCTGTCCGACGCCCTGAAGACCCTGTCGTCCGACAAGCAGCTCGTGGTCGAGAAGGAGACGATCAAGGAGCTGAAGGAGGAGCTGGCCGACTACAAGGAGGATGTGGAGGAGCTGCGCGAGGTGCGACAGGTGGTCAAGGAGCCGGTGCGCGAGAGTCGGGCGGCCAAGATGCTGTACAACCGCGTGAACAAGATGATCTCGCAACTGGACAATGTGCTCAACGATCTGGAGGCCAGGCAGAATCAGATCAAGCAGGCGGACTCCAGTGACTACGTGGCGCCCGCATCCGCAGTGGAACCCGAGCAGATGGTGCACATCGACGAGCTGGTCTCCACCATCAAGCGCATGAAGGAGGCCTCCGACGAGGAGCGATTCAAGGTTGTCAGCGATCTGCTGGTCAAACTGGATCTGGACAAGGACGGCCTACTTTCCGTGCAGGAGATCACCAAGGCGGTGCAGAGCATCGACAGCGAGGCCACCAAGATCGACAAGAAGCAGCTGGAGGAGTTCACCGAGCTGCTGTCCAAGCAGGCGACGCGGCGGCGCAACGAGGAGATGCTGCGCATCGACGATCTGATGAGCAACATCAAGGTGCTGAAGGAAACCAGCGACGAGGCGCGTCTCAAGCACATCGAAGCTGTCCTGGAGAAGTTCGATGCCGACAAAGATGGCGTGGTCACGGTTAACGATATTCGGAAGGTAATTATCGCACAAGAAGGTATTTCAAAAGTATATCTAACTGATATTCTTTGCAGGTCATGGAGTCCATTGGTCGTGACAACATCAAGCTGAGCGAGAAGGCCATCGAGGAGCTCATCAGTCTGCTCGACAAGGAGCAGGTGCTGCAGGCGGAGCAGAAGATTGAGAAGGCCATTGCCAAGAGCATGAAGGAGGCTGAGAAATTGAAGTCTGAGGTGGACAAAGTGGACAAGGATTTGGCCAAGCTGGTGAACGATATTCACGACTCGGCCAAGGAGATTCAGGACATTGCCCAGGAACTGCGCGACAAGGAGGAAACTGTGCCGGACAAAGCTAAGGAACTGAAGGCGGAGGTAATTTAATTAGTTGGTTTTTTAATGCAAAAGTTTACTAATGGTTTTCTTGCCCCTTCAGCCCGCTTTTAAGGATACGGCCAAGACCTTGAAGGACAACGCAAAGAACCTGGACGAAGCGGCGCCAAAGGACTCGAAAGTAGATCCCAAAACGCCTTCTACAAAGGCTTCGGCTGGAGACGGTCCAACCGGAAAGTCCGGCGGTGGAGGAGCCAGTAGTGGAGGAGCAGGTGGCGGAGCAACGACGGAATCGGCGCTCCGAGAAGCAGCCGAGCGGCAAATGGAAAAGATCCTGCCCTCCACCGACATTGGCCTGCCACCGACGATACAAACACCACCGCAACCGCCGACGTCCAAGAAGGCGACGGCCACGGCATCATCGACCCTGTCCACGACGATCACGGCCAAGAAGCTGCTCTGACCGAAGTCCCAGAAGTCCAAGGAGGCAGCGGCCGAGACAACTAAGCGTGTACCTAAGCCGAAGTGATGTGTGATGATGGAGTAGAGGGGCGGAGGAATAGGTAGTTGCTGCTCGTGTGTCCCCCTATATTGTTCCGACTATGCAAAGATTTAATTGTTACCACTTAACGTAAACGTAGGGAGAGCAAATCGAAACGAAAATGCGACTCTGTATTTAACTGAACCCGAGATCCTTTCGCAGGATCAGGCTCAGAATCTGGAGAGTGTGCTATACTTAACGCGTGGCTGTAGTACGGTATCTTCTCTAAGTAAGGCACAAATCAGAAACTAATAGAAATACATAAGAATATACCCACTTAACCAATGTATCTTGATTTCCAACGCCCTAGTTTTACATACCCTTCACTTGGCCCAAAAAAAGAAAATATTAGCGAAGCGATTGTGATCATTAAGCGAAATGTTAATTTACCATTTATACCCTCCTCTATTGATATGTATTTTCATCATCAGTTTTTTAGGCATTACGATATATTGAAGTTGAATTGAAACCACGTGATAACTCTAAACAATAATGTGTGTGCTTGAGTTAGCTAAAAAGGGAATTTGTAAAAGTGTTTCGCAATAAAAGTTAGTATAAAAACCATCTACCGATTTTACCGAGTGCCATTTACGGGGTCAATCGTTCCTGTCGTATGTAAAATGATTTTCCAAGCCGATGCACACTTTCCATCTGGGTATTATCAACAGTTTCACAGAAATTACAGCTTTTTCATCATTTGCGATTTTTAAATAACTGACTGCAACCGAACAATTGCTTTTACAAACCGCATTGATTGCTCAGAAATATATATTTTTGCATTGTTTATTGCCTCGGGGGTGAAAACCCAGTCTTGCCAACTGGTTGGCTGTGATTCGCAATCGGCAACCACAAAACCCAAACTTTTACGGCCAAGTTAGTTTCGGCCAGCGAGGAGCGGAGCAGGAGCATCATATCCTGGGCAATAGAAGTAATAAAAATTACCACAAAATGTTCAGAAATTTCATCTTTGCCTGCCCGCTGACCCATAAATTCCCATCACATCCAGCCAATGGCCAAGAAAGTGTGGTGGTACTCGTAAAATATTTAGAAATGCTCTCAAATATTTTACGGGGGCAAACAATTGAGTACAATCCAATGAGGTCCTGCCTGAAATAAGGATTAGTATTATGCGATGTCTATGCGCCCTGGAAATTAATCAATCCCAATAAATATGGGAAAGCTGCCATGACCAACAACGAAATCGAAAGCAAATAAGCGAAAAGAATAAAACGGAAATTTATTTAAAGGTAAATAACAGCGCCAAAACGCGAAACAAGCCAAATAATAATAAACTTCAGCTCCGCTGGGAGGGAATTGTTGTTTGCAATCAGGCAAAACCCAACAATCCAGCACCAACCGGGCACCGCAGACAGACCGGATCCGGATCGGAGGACCAGGGGATCCAGAGGGGTGGCGGGACAGGGTAGCTGGACAGGATGGGGACGGTACAGGAAAGTTCTGCGAGACACTCTGGTCTGGCGAAAGTTTGCGCAGCTCAAAGTGCTTCGGATGCAACAATGAAACTTGAAATCTGCCATGAATTGCAGACAATCAGCGACGGGGGACATGCACGGAAAAAAATAGACAACAGATCAGATTGATATTTGCAGCTCACTTTAATATCAAGTTATTCACATCATTTTGATATGATTATTTTAGATTATTTGTTTTAAAAATAATAAATTTTTAAAACTTTTTTGAACCAACTGATATGATAAAATATCAAGTTGATATGATTAAATCATAAATTTGACAAAAATCATATCGGTAGAGTTGACCTTAATTCATATCGAATTTTCTTTTTGTGTAAGACAAACGGACTGGGGTGAATTTAAAGCATTTCTGTATTGCAGTATTTCACCATTTCAGCAGAACGAAGTTAATAAGTTTGAAGGGACGTCCCGCGTAAAAATGGCGAAAATTATTTGAAGAAATGTTACAAAACAATTAAAAAGTTGCCGACTTTCATGAGTCAATCAAAAGACCGGCAGCCACAACGAGTTCCTCTACCGAAACTTTGCCATCAACTTTGCCCCACTTTAAATGCCAGACAGCAAGCATACGCCCCGTTGTACTGCGAACGTACGTCATATGAGCAGCAGCAGCGGCAGACATCCTAAATGCAATTTGTCCTTGCTGAATTTTATTTTCTGGCCAATCAGAGGCACAACTTGAAACTTGAAAAACTGTTTGCTGCCTTTTCGAAAAGCGGCAAAACAACAGAAGTCCCTGTCAGAAAGTCGGAGGCTGTCAGTTGTCTGCCCCACATATCGTGCATTATAACCCGGGATGAGCCCGTCGGAGGCGCTGATGCACACCAGATGCAGATGTCCGTGCGGATGGCAAGGCTGCATTTTTTCATTTAATTTGCTCTTCCCTGCAATTATTCTCCATAAACTTATTTAGCTTAGATATTTTCTCTCTTTTAATTAAGTTTCAATCTCGAATTTTGGAACCAAAATAGACCTAACTGGGTCACACAATAATTTCTTTTTTGTCTAAAATGTAATAAATATTCTCTGCTAGAAATTGCTTTAAAATAGCTTTTTTCTTATCACCACATAACTCGAAATATGTATCAAATTTCTGCCGCTTATACACAATCTTTCGCAGTGGCGTACTTCAAATGTTTTATTTTTATATAACTTTTCTAACCATAGCCTTTCTTTTAATAAAAGTCAGAAATTACTAACCAATAATCTTTTGATATGAAGTTGATAAAGAAATAAATTATGGGTCCGGCAGTTCCCTTGGGATATACTTGGTGAGTTATTTTCGACACTTTTAGTATTTTTAAAGATGATTGCATACATATTTTTGCTCAAAACACTCGAATTGAATTCCCCAGATACGCTCCTAAGAAGTAATAGCATTGAAGGGAATTAGTCAGTCCATCAGGGCCTATAATAACCAAGAAATAAATACATTTCAAATGTTGAAATTTTAGTTCTCAGGGGAATTTCCTTATCGGAGTTTCTCAGCTGTCCATGTTAAAGCAACTGGGGGGTCCCTATATAAAGCCAATAGAAGGTGGAACCAAGAGGCTGTCGAGTTTAGCTGACCACGGATGAGATTCTAGCACTAAAGTATTTCGAATTTTTGCATTTTCTCAAAAGAGGGACATTCAAGTTTTGTATTATCATTATCATTATTGGTTCTTCATGAGTAAGATATTTGCCAATTCAAAGCTTCCCATACTTTAAAATCGATTTCTTATTTCGTTTTTTCAGTTGCAAATATATCTTTGGCATAACTGGACAATCACAGGTATTTCCATAGAATATCCTCGCGATAGCAGTGTAACTTTGTGACATAAAGAGTCTTTATTTATTAAAGATACACTGACATTGTGAGGATAATGTATGGATTTACCTGTATTTTAATTTATTCTTATTGAAAAAAATGTGCTTGCTTGTGGTTAGTAGTTTGTTAATTGAAGTGATGAGAAAAATGTATTGATCTATAATTTTGTTACAGTACCTGCTTAAAATGGCCCAAGAACTGTAGATGTGACTGTTGGGCCTGAACATTTTCCACATGTGATAACTGATGACAGTTATTATATGTGGAAAGAGTTCAAGTCGATCAATCGCATTTTTCTGTGAAACTGCTGCTATACCAACTGAAGTTTGGACTGTGTTAACTGATCCTGGGTTCCTAAGCCCAAATGTTTAATATCAATTATATTTTTCTATTTTTCTTATATAAATCCATAATTAATTTGAGTAAAATAATTAAATAGGAAAACACATTATTACTTTTGATATACTTATTTTTCGTTCACTATAACTTCCACAAATAAAGGTACAAAAGGTTAATCTAATCTCGTCGTGGTATTCGCTTCTGAAAGGGATCGGACTCCCTGTGGAACCATCCGTATCGCCAGCTGGTTGCCTCCGGATAGTTGTACTTGTCGTCCGGACTCCGTTCATAACGCCTTTCCAGGTAGGTGGACCGCTGACCATTCCGCAGCAGCTGAAGCTCCGCCGCTGGCACGGATTTCATGGGATAAATCAGGCTTTCATTGAATCCCGTCCTCTCCAACGGGGATAAATCGTAATGGAAGACTCCCTGATGGGAGGGACGGTACATCCGGCTAGTTACTCCATGCGAACTCCTCAGCGGAATATAGAACTGCTGGGTTCTAGTCGAGGCAGTGATCCTAGTGGTTCCAGTGCTTCGCGAGGAACCTAGTCTTGAGTTCTTGGAGCTAGGATTCTCGACGACTTGAGGCCTAGCACTTGCTATTCTTATACTTCGTTGCGAAAGGGACTTTGGCTTCGATGGCGATTTTTCCGGAGTCTTTTCGGAAACTTTACGAGCTGATAGATCACAAGAAGCTGAAGTAATCTTGGCCACATTCTTGTGTTTACTCGCGTGAAATACGGAAATCACTGGATCCGAGGACGTCTGCTTATTGGAAGACCCTATACTAGTTGATTTTCTCGAGACTATACGCTGCACCACCACACTTTGAAATTTTGTTACTTGTTTATTGGGAGACTTAAACATTTCTATAAACTTATGATACCTACAGAAATAACAAAATAATTTTATTGACACTGAAGGAAAAAGAGAAGAACTGTTGTGAAATTCTACTGATATATATATTATAATTAAGCACAGACCCTCGAAGATATCTTAAATCAAAACATTAAATGTGGCTACTTTTTTCACAAATTGCACATGCAGATATTCTTATATACGTCTATATTAACACAATTTAATGCCCATAGGGCTGACCCAAAAACACTGTCTGCCTGTGTTATTAACTTCATACATTTCGATTAAACCATTAAATGATTAATGCTGTCGATGCTTAATTTTATTAAAAAGAATTTTCTTAGTTGTATGAAGGAATAACCCGAAAAGAAAAAAAAATAATTCTCGTCGTTTGGAAAGAGTTTATGTCTTTTATAAATGCCGGCTTTGATTCTCAATAAATGATAATCCCCAGCTGGATTTTCGCTCGTAACCCGAATTTGTGTTTATTTTCAATTTGTGTGGTGGTGTGAACATATAAAGTGGATTATACAGAGATAAGAGCGCTCTACAGACACATTTTTCTCGCATTTCCCGTGTATTTTTTAGTCTGGCCAAAAGGAAGCGGTTGGCCCGCACACGTTGGCCATAAAAATATCGCAGATATGTCGCCAGACTGTGAAATGTTTATATGCATGGGGTCGCGTGTCGTGTGGTTGCAGTTGCCATTGCATTTGCACCAGGAAACTCCATAAAACGCGGGAGAAATCGACAGGTCCTTCCACTCCTCGCACTTGGAACTTTAAGGATATGTATGGGATATATGTATGTACGGCATTGATTTGGTCTCGTTCCAATTGGCTTGTTTATTTCCGAACCCGAATACGAATCCTTTCTGTTTACTTGGCGGCTTCGTTAAAGGTGTTTTTGGTAGTCTTCTTTTTTCGGGGGTCTTTGGGTTTCTGTTTATCTACCTTCACCTGTGTACTTGCCTCCGGGAAAACTGCATAAATTAGCTGCACGTCTGTTTTTATCTTGAATCCTAGCTTTTTCATCGAAATATATCACTGAAAATCGAAACTTTCGCTGCGATTGCGTTTTCTATTTGACATTTGATACAGTATATCGCAGATTGATTTTGGCCCCGCTCTTATATGATAGATGGGCGTGTGGAGGTGTCATTGCAAGGCACTCGGAACTGAAAAATTGAACGACTTGCAACTTTAATAAGACGAAAGTGCGCGACAGCTGAAGCACTCGCCTTTTCCTCGACCCTCCGCTGACCATTAGCGGAAAATTCTCTCCACTTTCCACTTCGATTTCCATTTTCCTTCGGCTGCTGCATTTTTCTCAAATTCTCCTTTCCCCTCCATCTCCTTAATTTGCTCGGCATTTGTCGCCATTTGGCTTTTAGTTAGCCGGGGAAATGCGGGAAAAGCGGAAAATCGAGCAGCTGAGTGATGGAGTTGCAGTTGCACTTTACTGCAATTGGTTGCACTTTATTCGCGGTTGCGTGAGTGGAACTCGGAACTAAGGAATCCAATTGGCGGCGAGAAAGTTTAAACTTCTAAATTACTTTATTGCCAGCCTCATAGTTCCACGGTCCCAGCAAAACCATTGAAACTTTTTGTTCTTAATTAAATTGAACTCTATCAATATCAGATTTCCACACATTTACATTTTACGATTTTACTATATTAATTAGTGTAATAAGTACCCAAGAACATAATATCTCCAATCATATTCAGATGATTACAGAAAACTTTAAGAATGATTTTGCACAATATTTAAATTTTGTGTGGTTATGGGTGTGAAATTATCGATAGTGGGCATCATAACTTAGTGGTGTACATCTCATAGAATTACAAATTAATTCTATACTCACTATATTGTTTTGCTTGTCGTATCTTAATTGGTAAAGACGGCTTAATACCCGGTTGTTGAATATTTTACAGTAATGACACGATCATTTCCGACCGCCAAGTTCAAGAGGAGCGTCGCCAAAACGACAACTGAGTGGCGGATACCGAGTTGGCCAAGTCAAAGTTCGTTGACTCAAAATGGCACTTTGGGGCCGGGCACTCGCAACATCTCCATCTCCATAAGGATTCGCAGGAGCAGCATTTGCTGGAGGTTGGGCTGCGAAAGGACTAAGTCAACAATGGCGTGTGCATTGCTGGGTTTATTAAAAAGGGCTCAGGTGAATGTCTGAGCGTCCCGTTTGAAACAGTTGTGCCCCTGTTTCCACTCCCTCCCCGTTTGTTTACTTAGCCGAGACACACGCAGGCTTACGTATACGTAATATAGAGATAGAGATGGAGCCGTGGCAACCAGAAGCCTCTAGTTTGCCTTGGATAAAGGCCCCTCCCCCTTCGCCGCTCTACTGGGCAGCCGTCTGCCGTCAATGGTCAAAGGTCATTTGCATTTTGCCAGCGTCAGCTTGTCCTGGCCAAGCAAACAAATATTCACGTTTGCCGCCTCTTTTGGGGGGCGGGGCCAAAGATACAAATACAAACTGATTAAATGGCCGAGATTGGAGGGGCGGTGAAAATATTTACAAAAGACCACAGCTGCACTAAAAAATATTTTAAGATGCAAAGGTTATTTTAACCAATATTGCTCTTTTTATACCCTTGCAGAGGGTATTATGATTTCAGTCAGAAGTTTGCAACGCAGTGAAGGAGACGTTTCCGACCCCATAAAGTATATATATTCTTGATCAGCATCACTAGACGAGTCGATCTAGCCATGTCCGTCTGTCCGTCTGTCCGTCTGTCCGTCTGTCTGTTTCTACGCAAACTAGTCTCTCAGTTTTTGAGCTATCGGGATGAAACTTTCCCAAAAGTCTTCTTTCTATTGCAGGTAGTATATATGTCGGAGCCGACCGGATCGGACAACTATATCTTATAGCTCCCATAGGAACAATCGGAAAAAAAAACTTTTAAAAATTCTAACTTCGGTGTTTTTTGAAATATTACCTTCTACTTTTGGGGATGTTATTTTTTTAATATTTCTGAATTTCGAATTAATTATTTAAAAAATCGGACTACTATATCATATAGCTGCCATAGGAACGATCGGAAAATTAATGGAAAAGTAATAGGAAATAAATTCTAGCTTCTTTGGTTTTTGTTGTATTATCTTCTACTCTAGAATATGACTCTTTTTAAATATTTCCGAATTTCAATTTTAATTTTATCGAAATCGGACGACTATATCATATAGCTGCCATAGGAACGATCGGAAAATTAATGGAAAAGTAATAGGAAATAAATTCTAGCTTCTTTGGTTTTTATTGTATTATCTTCTACTCTAGGATATGACTCTTTTTAAATATTTCCGAATTTCAATTTTAATTTAATCAAAATCGGACGACTATATCATATAGCTGCCATAGGAACGATCGGAAAATTAATGGAAAAGTAATAGGAAATAAATTCTAGCTTCTTTGGTTTTTATTGTATTATCTTCTACTCTAGGATATGACTCTTTTTAAATAATTCCGAATTTCAATTTTAATTTGATCAAAATCGGACGACTATATCATATAGCTGTCATAGGAACCATCGGAAAATTAATGATAAATATTAGAAAATTGAACATTTTTGCGATTTGTTAATTAATAGGAATGATCTGCAAGGGTATATAAGCTTCGGCTGGCCGAAGCTAGCTTCCTTTCTTGTTTATTTTAAAATAATTATTTTTTTTCGGAAAATTTACTAACAAACGTGTTAATTTAATACAAAAACAGGTATCGACTGCGTGTTGTTTTAAACCTAAGAAATATTTAAAGATGTGAGAGTTACTTTATAAATAATATTTTTATTTTGAAAGTACGTCAAATAGTGGGAAATAGAGTACAATTTTAATATTTTTGCTAACGGATTCGATGTTTCTTTAGTATTTTGGATAATGGTTATATTTAACCCAAATTTCTTTGAAAAGAAATATTTTCTTGAGAGTACTATTTCATTTTAATTAAATTCTTTTTACTCTTTTGTCTTGTTGAGTTGTTGAATAAACAATGAAGAAAACATTGGGCGATAAGGCGAATAAATACAGAAATGATTTAATGTAATAAATTTAATAATTTGAGAGACACGTCGGCAGCTTGCGACCCCAAGGTATAATAATAAAAATTATATATATAGTATACTTTTCCCAATGATTAATTGACAAATTGCTGAAATATGTTTTTTGTTTTTTCTTTTTTCGCATGCCACAGGCAATCGAGGGCTGCCAACATTTTGCACCATGTAAACACATTTCCATCGTCACAACGCCCCTACCATCGCTTGATCCCAATCCCGTCGTGTTCAAATCGCTCGTCATTAATTTCCACACATCGGAGTGGGACTTTCGAGAACAATGGAAGCACTTGAAACTGTGCTCCAAACCTTGTTTATCCACAACAGCGTCCTCAACTTTTATTGGGTCTTTAGTTTCGCCGGAGGTTGGAGGGGATTTAAGTGGGTTTGGGCTTTGGGTGCCGAGGACGCTGGGTTAGAGGCAAGAAAAACAACAATCAACACCATTTGACGCTACAAATTAAGCTCGGAGCAAACAAATCGTGGCAAGTTGCCTCGGTTTTGGCCCGCCAAAGTTTCTGCTGCTGTTTTTAGCACATGTTGTTGCCCGTTTTATGTGGCTGTCTTGTCTGCTTTCCCGCTTTTCCGCTTATTGCTCGCCTCAATCCCCATTTCCCCAATTCCCCGAAAACGAATCGCATTCCCATTCCACGCCACTCCACTCGATTGTCTCAAGGGCAATTCCCTGCTCTTCGATTGGCTATGCTCACTATTTATGGGGCGAAAGTGCTTAATCAAATGCCAAACGGCAGGGGCACGCACCGAAACCGAAAACACGGCGTATACTTAATTTACCCACATCGCCCCGAGCCAAAACATTCCTTTTCCTAAGCGCTGAGTGCTAATGAAGCCATGGTCTTAACATCGAAAATTCTTATTTAATTAACAAGTTTAACAAGGTCTTAACTGTTGATGGAGGACTTTAGACATGAAGGGTGTTTATTTTGTTATTGAAAAACATTTTATTCACTATGCCTTTTCAAGCCCATGAAAATTTAGATGAAAGGAGGGATTTTACTACTAAAGGTGTTTAAAAGTTTGCAACAATATTTTTTAAAGGTCATGAACATAAGGATTGATTGGATTCAAAACTAAAAAAAAAAACAATTTATTTACCTACTTATAATAATTACTAAATATCATATTTAATTTTGTCAAATATGTGTATAGTTTTTTATAGTTTTAACGAGCTGCAAATATTCCCATGTTATAACAGTTAACTCGTAAACTTTAGAAAACACAAATCATGCCATTTTTAAATTCTGCGGCTGGCTAATGCATTTTGATTGTCAATTTTGATAAATGTCTTTATTAATTCATTTAGCGCTTGGCCCGCGGCGATGCCAATAAAATGTTGAACAAAAAGCGTTGCCGTCAATGCATAAAACATATATTTGCAGAGCTGCAAACCTTTTGGGTCGAAATGGGCGACCACGTGTGTAAATTGGGGAAATAATTGCATTTTTGTGATTCTATTTGCAGGTCGTTTTGTTTGCAGTTTCGCTTAATTTATTTATCCGCCAGCCGCACTTTTGCTAAACGTTTGTTTTGGGGATTGGCTATTTCTGGCTGGCACGTGTTTAATCCTGGTGAGTATGCGCCACACCTCCAGGACGAAATCCCCCCGAAGTTGTCCCCTTCTCTCCTCGGAAACACGGTTGTCATAAAATGTTAAATATAAATTTATGGCAGACTGCGCGCTGCCGGCATACTAAGCACCGCATCAGGACTCCTCACGACTCCTCGGGAAAGTCGCAAAAAAGGAAATTCCGACGGAGAGTCGAGGCTTTCCCCGGTTGGCTAAGCACATTAGCAAAATGAAGCTGTTTCGATTACGATTACATTGGCTAGAGATTTGAGCTTTTGTTGCACTTTGTGCTGATTTTGTTGTCAGCACTTCAGCCACAGGACCTCCGTAGATTTCCCCTTCACTCCGAAGGACTCAGGTCCTCTTTAAGTGGGGTCAGCTTTTTAGGTTTGGCATACAAATTGAAATTTGCACAATGTGCGGCCGAAACTACAGATTTTATTGTAATTGCCCCCTTTAGTTTTGACATCTATAATCTGATTAAGGTGATAATTGTTAATTCGCTTATAGAATGGATTATGCAGATTTACCTTTATTGCAGCTAATTTGATTATTTGCTTTATTTTATAGTGATTTAATTGCTTAAATGCCAAGCGAAAAATGTAATTGAAAATAAATATATTAAAAGCTAGTTAAAAACTAATTTGAATGCAAATAAATTATAATAAAAAGCCAGATTAATAAGAGTTCGAATTAATTACCTTTAGAATTTATGGAAATTTCCTTTGTGTATTATAATGATTACATATTTAAGATATTAAAAATTCAAATTTTTTAATACAGTTAAATGGTTTTAAAGAAGATTCTTAATAAGAAAATTACTAGTTTTAATGCAAATAATTTAAAATAAATATTTTTGGGGGTGAGTATATGGAAATCACATTCATTTGTTTGTTCCATCACTTGAAAATTTCCAGCTTGTAAACAACGTACACATACATACATCTTATTAAACTTTAATTTTTTGAGCCTAGTTTAAAATGGCCGAACGGTATGATCGAGCTGTGACCATCTACTCACCCGATGGCCACCTTCTGCAGGTGGAATATGCCCAGGAGGCCGTTCGCCGGGGCTCCACTGTGGTAAGTCCCTGTCATTCCGGGCATTAAGCATTATTTAATCGGCCGGAACCCCGCGAAAGGTGGGTCTGCGCACCAACAACGCCATCGTGCTCGGCGTGGAGAAGAGGTCCGTGGGCGATTTGCAGGAGGAGCGAGTGGTGCGCAAGATTTGCATGCTCGACGACCACGTGGCGTTGACTTTTTCGGGGCTCACGGCGGATGCACGGATCCTGGTTAACCGCGCCCAAATGGAGTCCCAGAGTCATCGCTTGAATTTCGAGAAGCCCGTGTCCGTGGAGTACATAACCCGGTGAGGAAAAGTCCACAGATAACACAGTACAAAAAATATTGGGGGCTAAAGGGGATTTTAAGACACCCTATGGCTCTAAAAAACTAAGTAATATTTAGTATGTATTTATGGTATCTTCAAAATAGGGATTGATTCCACTTATAAAAGTGTGCTTTTAATGTTACCTTATCTTTCGGAGTGTGCTTATCGGCATTCTAGATTAAAAATATTTTTCATATTTTTAAACGCCTTTTTAAAGGTTTTTTAACTTAATATTGTAAGTCTTATTCTTGAATGCCTTGAAAATATTCCACAAACAGCAAGAGTTTTTCAATCTCATGGTTTTTTTTAAATGTCTAAAAGTATGCAATAAAAAATTGTACCTCATTTTTCTAAGGGTGTCCCGTGGTCTTCCAGATTTTAAATATATTGTTGCATACTTTCAGGTTTTAGGTTTTGAATTATTGTAGGAAATATCGTATATTACCTTTTATTAAGTAAAAGGATATTCTTGAATAGAAGATGCGAATATATCGATTTGATTCCTTTCAGTGCAGGCCACGGGGTGATTTGGCTTTTCCTTTTATCCCTTTCCCCTTCCCCACCCCTTCTACATTTTCCATTTTCCACTTTGCAGCTTCATAGCGCAGCTGAAGCAGAACTACACGCAGAGCAATGGCAGGCGGCCGTTCGGATTGTCCTGTTTGGTCGGCGGCTTCGACGAGGACGGCACTCCGCACCTGTTCCAAACGGAGCCCTCGGGCATCTACTACGAGTGGAGGGCCAGCACCACCGGTCGCTCCGGCCAGCCCGTTCGCGATTATATGGAGAAGCACGCGGAGGAGATTCTGGCCTCCGCCGACGAGCCCGCGGCCATCAGGCACATAGTCCGCACCCTGGTCGCCGTGTCCTCGCTGACGGCCAGCCAAATGGACGTGGCGGTGCTTAGGTTCGGGCAACCACTGCGTATGATTGATCGCAAAGTGCTGACCGATCTGGTGCGCTCCGTTCGCTCCGAATTGGAGGCCGAGGCGGAGGCCAGTAGGCTCAAGCGAGCTGCCTGATTTCTGGACATTGCCTCGGGCCTCGCATCGCACTTTCATGACCAATCAAAAGTTGATAACCAGTGCGTCTCCTCTTCTCGTATTTTCTCTTTTTTCTGGGCAATTCAATTTCGGACTGGGAGTTGGGGAAAAGTAATCAGCAGGAAAAATGTGTAAAGCGTGGGTAAATCACTTAATTTGTCTCGGGGGCGTATTTGTTTACTTTATATCTCGAGACGAGATGGCGCGTCCGCTCCTTGCAGGCCAACCAACTTAAAAACTTTTAAGTGAAAATGAGAATTGAATTTGCAGGCGAAAAATCAATAGAAGTGCGCGCACACATGCAGAAAAAATGAATTTTTGGGCAAACTTCATTTCGTTTGATAAATTTCTAGGATTCAAAGGGATGCCAAATTTGTCCTAGGAAATTAGGGTTGAGAAAACATCGATACTGGGACCCATCAATATTATCGATATTATCGATAATATAGGACAAATTACTAAAACGAAGGAAAACCCAAACCAACATTTATAAATTTAAATTTAAATTGTAAAACTTATTAAAACATTGTTTTTTTTACTGTGGGTTCCATTTAGGGTTTCCTCCTTCACTTTTGGTTCCCCAGGCTATCATATTGGACGTCAAAAGTTTACCACCTCTACTTATTTTTTAAACCAAGTGCTTTACTCAAATGTGGGCTTCAGAGGGTTAAGGCTGTGAGCTTTTATTGAGGTATTCTCAAATAATTTAAAATAAATATTTTTGGGGGTGAGTATATGGAAATCACATTCATTTGTTTGTTCCATCACTTGAAAATTTCCAGCTTGTAAACAACGTACACATACATACATCTTATTAAACTTTAATTTTTTGAGCCTAGTTTAAAATGGCCGAACGGTATGATCGAGCTGTGACCATCTACTCACCCGATGGCCACCTTCTGCAGGTGGAATATGCCCAGGAGGCCGTTCGCCGGGGCTCCACTGTGGTAAGTCCCTGTCATTCCGGGCATTAAGCATTATTTAATCGGCCGGAACCCCGCGAAAGGTGGGTCTGCGCACCAGCAACGCCATCGTGCTCGGCGTGGAGAAGAGGTCCGTGGGCGATTTGCAGGAGGAGCGAGTGGTGCGCAAGATTTGCATGCTCGACGACCACGTGGCGTTGACTTTTTCGGGGCTCACGGCGGATGCACGGATCCTGGTTAACCGCGCCCAAATGGAGTCCCAGAGTCATCGCTTGAATTTCGAGAAGCCCGTGTCCGTGGAGTACATAACCCGGTGAGGAAAAGTCCACAGATAACACAGTACAAAAAATATTGGGGGCTAAAGGCGAAGGAAAACCCAAACCAACATTTATAAATTTAAATTTAAATTGTAAAACTTATTAAAACATTGTTTTTTTTACTGTGGGTTCCATTTAGGGTTTCCTCCTTCACTTTTGGTTCCCCAGGCTATCATATTGGACGTCAAAAGTTTACCACCTCTACTTATTTTTTAAACCAAGTGCTTTACTCAAATGTGGGCTTCAGAGGGTTAAGGCTGTGAGCTTTTATTGAGGTATTCTCAACATTTAACCCTCTCTCATGCCGGCTTGCATTATTTCATCGGTGAGCAAAAGGTTGCCGGCAATAATGGATCAGGATTCCAGGATCTGTCGCCGGATGCAGAAGTTGTCTAGAATGCCGAAGGATATGGGGTCCACAGCCTCCCATTTTTAAACTCAAACAGCTCCTTGTGGGCTCTCATTTCGAAGGCCCCTGCACCTGGAACGACGCAAGTGACCTAGATGACATTCCGAAGGGCATGGAGAAAGATTCGCAGATTCGTATATATTTTGTGGAAAACAACAAAAATATATTTATTTTAGATGTTTAAAAAAAAAGTCACAGAAAATTGTAAGGTTTAGGGTTTACACTGGGTATCGATTATTTCCCTGTCGTTTTAAAGAACTTTTCTTGAAGGAAGCAATAGTGTTGTAAAGGTGAAAGCCCGTGTGTCATAGGAGGCCCTGACAGCAGATGTCATTTCATTCTGGCCTCACTTTCGTTCACTTTTTTCCGACTGCCTTGGCGAGATGTCGTGCTCGTAAGTACCGCTGGTTTTTCCAAAGGTAGATTTTTATCAGAAATAGAAGTAGATCCACCCCGTCTAGACACAGCAACGACTTGGTGGGAGATGGCAGCTGGATCGGCTGGTTCTTGGGGATCAAGGGCAACGATTTCCTGTGCCGCGTGCCCACCGACTACATCGAGGATAAGTTCAACTTGACGGGCCTGGAGTTCTTCAGCCAGACCTTGGACTTGGTCCTGGAACCGGAGTTCGAGATTCCGGGCTGGGACAATACGGTGGATACGTCGGACGCGGAGCAGCTGTACGGCATGATCCACGCCAGATATATCCTGACAGCGAGGGGCGTGGAGGATATGTGTCTGAAGTACGAGAGGGGTGACTTTGGCTCCTGTCCGCGGGTCTTCTGCAAGGGCCAAAGGACCCTGCCCGTCGGCCTCTCCGATCAGTGGAATCAGTCCCACGTGAAGATATATTGTCCCCGTTGCCAGGACATCTTTCAGCCCAGATCTCGTTGTGGATTGCTCGATGGAGCCATGTTTGGAACCGGTTTCCCACACATGTTTTTCATGCAACTCCCTAGCATGAGACCCCATCCTCCGAAGGAGAAGTACGTGGCCCGGTGAGTTATTATATCTTTAAAAAGTTATTTCATACTTATATGATCCCCTTGCAGTCTCTATGGCTTCAAGATCCATAAGCAGGCCCTGATGCCATATGAACCGGCTGAAGTGCTTCCCAAGAATCACGGATCTTCGACCAGCAAGTCCACCTTCTTGGCTTCCACAAATCCAATGACACTACCTAATCCTTCACGTCGCTCTATAAGAGGGCTGAATGTCTAAGTTGAACTCTAAACCAAGGGAAAGCACACACATGTTGGTCTGATGTCCTGTTGTTGCAATTAAACGGATTCTTGCTTAGTGGATTGATATGGCCATATATTCGAAAACTATACAAACACACACTCTACTCAATATGCCAAAACACTATGATATTCATATCTGGCCATATCAAACACTTGTAATGCTTAAATGAGTAGCAAAATAGAGGGTCCTTTTCATTTATTGGGGTAATCTTCTGGGTGTTTCGGAACTTGAGCAACTTTAAGCGGCCTTTTCATCCGCTTAGGGTTATATAGTTTGCACTGGCAGAAAAATTTGGTAAGATATATTAAAGCTTAGGTTATTTCAAAAGTCATTAAATAAATAGAATTTATGTTGCTTAATAGTCTAGTCACACTATGTGTGGTAACCTATCGAGTGAGCCAACAACCCGATTACTCAAAAAAAGTGTTTCCACTGGGTTAACTCCAAATATCGAGTAATGACCTCTAGTGTTTGTTGTTTGTGTTGTTTATTTGACTACAGATGGACCTTCACCGATAGGAAATAAATAAAAAATATACCGAATACTCCGAAATACCAAAGACCCTAAAAGTACCTCACTTTTGCCCACATCTAGTTGCCTATACACAGCCTATGTAAAAAAACATAACTCCACCGCAGTGTAAATAGACTATTAAAGCAAACCTGGTTCATAATCGCGGATTTGGCCTTGAGAATTTTTTCCATTTTCTAAAGATAAAAAAATTTCCAGATTTGTAAGAGTATGATTATATTTTATCTCGGTGTGCCTTGTGTTCGCTGGATTGCGCAATCAAAATCCACTTGCCGGCACAACCTGCTAAGCCGATAATGGGAATTATGCTGAGCCGAGCTAAGACGTCCTGCGATTCGCTGAGAGTCCTGCAAGTCCTGCGAGTCCTGGCAAAAGGAGTCGGCTCTCGTGTTCCTGTTCCACTGGCATCTCCAATAAGTCATGCCTTTATTATTATTTACTGCCGCCCTGGCGCTTTTCAGCTTTCAGTTTTCCCCGCCACTCGACGCCTTTCCTTCCTTTTCTCCTTCGCCTCTCGCACTTTTCACACTTAATTTCATTAAGTAATCTTTCATACTGCAGCTTTTATTGAGTTTTAAACTGGCAGACCGTATAATGAGTATGGCGGGTGTGGAAACTCGGAAAACTCGGGAAAATGGAGAAGCGGCGAGGGCTTTTCAAAAGGAAGAGAGCGTTTTGTTTTACATTACAATTGAGCTGGCAATGTGTTTTCTTATTGTCTGCGGATGGCTTTTCTCCGCGGCTCCTTAACCACCTGTTGATCCATTTATTCATGGCATTTCCCCCTCAGTTCCACTCCTATTTTTCATATATTTATCCAATTGCAAAGAGAAACACGTTAGTCCTGGGTGGATAAACAAATCCGAATGCTGTTCTAGTAAACAAAGTACTTGCATTCGATTGGAAACTCCGCTCCAAGCTGGCGTTTTCATTCTTTTTGCCAACTGTGTTTTCAAGAATGGTCGAATATTTGATTGTATCGCCGCAGGCTCCGCAATTTCTAGCCATCCCATCCCATCCACCCACCAAACTTGTTTTTCGGAATCCCGCAAAAAGCTTACCACGGAAATATTATTGTGTGCCGGCTTTCCAAAATATTTGGACTCCCTCTTCGCCGGACAAACAATAAATACAATTCGAGTTCGAAGCCCTAACATTTTCAATTTTATGAATGATTCACAGGCTATTGAAGGGGAGGGGAGAATGGTTTTAGTCCGATGTGAAATAGAAAATAAACAATAACATTTGCAAATTACTTTTGCAACCTTTCTCTTGCGTTTTGCATTTAACACAGTTTATTCATATTTAATCCAATATTTCTGTTTCTAAAATTTTAGTTAGGAGGAGGATTTTAGAAATGGATAATTTTTAAACACTGCTTGCCATTATATTTTGCGAACAAACCAAGCTCTTCTTTAGATTTTCCTCTGATGATTCCAATATCTGTTTTAAATGGGATAAACTAGAAATACTTATATAAATATTTTGTGAACTGAACCTACTTTTTTTATAAACTGTAAATAAATCTCCAAGTCATCTGTTCTATTTTTGATTTTTAACTAACTCTCTCTCAAATGAAGGTGATTAATACATTCTTTGTATTCCCCCGGTCCGATTTCCATTGAAATTAAAAACCATTGTTCCAAGCAGGCCAAATTCAGATTGTAAATGTTCCATTATCCTTTCGCTACACTTTTTAACCCCTCTTTTATGCAGTTGAAGTAATTGTTGGACTTTCTACGATGAACCCAAGGACTAAGCGATTCAGCAATTTATGGTTAATGGCACTAAATTGGTTAACTTTGGCAGGCGGCAACTTTTTCGAAACTTGCCAAAGGAGAGGAAGAAAGGCCGGTTCCGTTAATTTCGAGCTAAGCGGTCGACTGAGCCCAGAAAGACAGCTACAAAGTCGCCTGATTAACCCATTGGGAGCGGGTTAGGGAACGGATGGACGGATGGTTAAGCTGCTCCAGAAAGAGGACCGGCGTAATTATCCTGATGAGATTGGCCGGCAGTTTGGCGCTCCTTGGGGTTCATCAGCCTGGTTAGCTGGTTACCAGTTGAAATTAAGTTACGGGCGGTACGCCGGACATGTCTGCCCGGTAATAAGCTAAATGAAAACAAAAATGGATGTCACTCAGTGTCGCAAATTGATGAAGATGGAGATGGAAGTGGAATAGTGCACTTGAAAAAATAAAAATAAATATCTTTGTTATTTTATCAAAGATTCGTATTAAATATTTTAGTTAAATACAAAAATAATTAAAGGAATATTTAAGGAAAACACATTTAATATTAAATACGATTATTATTAATATTAAACATTTTATGTCACCAAAACAAATTGATTTCATATTAAAAATTTTAATTTAAAATTGTTAATTTAATTGTTAAAGTGTGAGAAGCAAAAAATATTAAAATGTTATAAAGAACCATTAGATTTTTTTATAAGTGTTGAAGGATCTGGTAACCCAATAACTTTGCCCACACATTAATTGGAATTTATGAAGCTGGCCACTCTGCTTCTTCAGCTTCTTCTGATTCTTCTGTGCTAAACAAAGCGCGAGATGTCAAGTGGAAAGTGGGAAAGTGTCACGGGAAAGGGTTACTAACCCAAGAAAATGGCAAAGGAAAAGTGCAAATGGAAATGGAAAACTGGCCGGGGTGAAGTCAACTGCTTGTGCGCCAAGTTTAAGTGCTTTTAAAAAACCATTAACGTCGTTTCCTCGACTGTCTGGCTGTCCATTCGATTTCTTTTCTTTTTCTTCTATGTATTTATCTTTAACAATAAGCTCTTGAAACGTAAATTTAGTTAAAATCAAATCAAAGTTACTTGGATTTCTTCTTGGCCGCCGGCTGCAGGGACCCGGATCCCCAGGTTCCAGTGGGATTGGGCACAGGTGCTGGGGTATCATTACCAGTGGGTGGTGGTTTCACCACCTTGGAACCCCGTTTCATTCTGGGCCTCACAGGAGGCTGGGATTTGGGTAGCTCGGGGGTTTTGGCTTCGGGTGGAGTGTTCTTGGCTGATTTAACAGGTGTAGGAGGTCCTTTGAGGCTGGTTCTGGACTCCTTGACAGTGGGAGTGGCCACTTCCGTTTGATTAAAGGTATTCATATTCATAACATCCCTCACAGCCTTGCGAAAGGAGGGAGGTTCCTTGGCTTCCACTAAATCCTTTGGCATGGGGGGCAGTTTCATGGACTGCTGGCTGATCTTCCTTTGGTTATCCAACGGATCATTGTGTATAACCTGCATGGGAATGGGACAGGCACCCACTGTTGGTGGATCCGTGTAGCAAACATGACGGGCATAGTCGAAGGATTCCCGGCTATCCGTAGCGGGCATTCCCCGACGATGGAAGCAATTGATGGGACAGGAGGCCACACAGGGCGAGTAGGGCTTCTCCACCTCCGCCAGCTTCTTGATCTTCACCGAGTTGCAGTAGATCTGATGGCGATCGGCCACCTGCTCCTCGCGGCACATCTCCCGCTGCTCGTACTTGCGGTAGGCCAGCTCCGCCTTGGAGAAGAATCCCGGCCAGCAGTAGTCGCGCAGGCGGCTCCTCTTCACCATCCTGCCCTCGGGTCGCATGTCCAGCTGGTTCTGCCGCTCGTAGCGATCCACGGCGGTGGCAATGGGATACAGAGGACGACCCACCTTGCGGGACTCCTCCATGATCTGCACCGCCTGCTCGAAGAACTTCTTGTCGTCCTCCAGGTAGGGATCCTCGTTGCAGGCGGCCAGGTTCATCAGCTCGGCGCGGCGCTTCTCGAGGAACTCCTCGCGTTGGCCAAAGAGCACCTGGCGCAGATCCTCCTTGACCTTGTCGCGCTTCCTCTTCTGCGAGGCCTCGAAGTAGCGATTCGCCTCCGCGTTCTTGAGACGACGCGCCACATGGAAGCGTTGCAGTTCCCTCTCCCGCCGCCGCTTCTCGGCATCCTGCTGCCGCTCCTCCAGCTGATAGGCCCGCCGCTGCTTGGCCAGGACCTCCAGCTCGCACTGCCGCCGGTTCTGGTCCACCTGCGTCTCGAAGGCGTGCCGGTCCTCCGCCTGCTCCTGCCGCTCCTCCAGCTTCCTCTGCAGCACCTGCTGCGCCTGGCTGACGCGCAGCGCCTGCTCCTCCCGCTCCAGCTGGCGCTTCTGGCGCAGCTGCTTCACGTGGCTGCCGTAGCGGGTGTCCAGGTTGCGGCTGGCCACGATGTAGACGCAGTTGCGCCGGTCGTCGATGGCCTCGCAGATCCTCTCATCTGTGGGGGTGGACCACTTATAATAAGATCCCTGAGCATATAGAGCAGTGGTGGCCAGCAGAGGGCAATTTCTCTGCCGCTGCGCTGCCAGCGTTCCGACGCTCACATACGCTGTTAACGCTGCTTCTGCTGGCCACCACTGATATAGAGATATTTTTCCATTATTCCCCACTACTCACGCTCCGCAATCTCGGCCTTCTCCTGGATGGCATCCCGATGGGCCTTGCGGTAGAAGGCGATCTTCCTGGCCTTCTTCTCCTTGAGCGCCCGCTCCTCCTTGTCCTGCAGGCACTTGTACTGCGCCCGCTCCACCTGCACCTCGAAGATCCGCTGCTCCCGCTCGGCCTCCCTGATCTTCTCGCGCTGCGCGATGTCCTCGCGCATCAGCTTGGCGTGCTCCTGGTTCCGCTCCGTCTGCCTGGCCACCTCCTCCTCCTCGGTGGCATGGCCGAAGGGCACCAGAGCCGCAGGACACAGCTCCTCGTCGGCCTGCTCCTGGGCTCGGGCCGCCTCGGCAATCTCCTCGTTAAGCGCCTCATTGTACCGCCTCTGGTGGATCATCTCGCTGTGGAGGAGGGCCTGGTGCAGGGCCCTCGGTCCCGGCTTCAGTTGCTCCAGCAGATTGTTGGCCCTCAGGATGCGCTGCTTGCGCAGACGCTCGTCGGCCAGCTTGGTGTCCACGTCCTTGACCACAGCCATGGCCTCCTTGCTCTTGGCCCTGGCCGACTTCTTGACCCTCGGCACATTGGGATCCGTGAACAGGCTGCACAGCAGATCGTTGCCGTCCTTCAGGTACTGCCTGTACCTACGCTCCTCCTCGACGGCCTCCAGCTGGGCGTGCTTCTCGTCCTGGCGAGAACGTCCTTGGATGGCCGCAAACCGCTTGGCCGAAATCACCACCGGGTGGCGAGTGAAGCGCTTCCTCACGAAAAGTCCATCCGGACCCACCTCCTTGGGCTTGCACACATTCATTTCGGCAGCGGGAACATGTAGTCCCAAAAATCTATGTGTGAAATGTTTGAGTGAAACTTTGAATATGAATAATTTCTTAGTCTACTGAGAGCTATCAACCGAATCGTAAAATTCGGCTACTTTGGTTGTAGTCTAATATTTTATGAAATTATCAGGGACCGTAAATAATCATTATTTCAGATTTTTATTTTAAAAGGCCTACTGAGGTTTTTACATATTTTAATCAACAATTTAACTGGTTTTTATGTACTTTATAGACATGAACAAATAACAGTTAATTTGCTTTCCAGATTTGTTGAAATGCATATACTTTGTGGACAAGAGTAAAAAGAACGTTATTTTTGACGTTTAAAACAAAATATCACAGTAGTCTTTTTAAAATAAAAATCTCAAATAATGATTATTTTCGGTCCCTGGAAATTATAAAGACATTAGCATTGTATCATTTTCTATTTGATTGCATTTTCGAATTTTTGCTGATAGGGCAATGTGTAAAAATGGTTTTTTAATAACCACTTAAGGGCCAACTGAAACTACCCAATAATCGGTAGTATTTCAGTGGAACTCGGCCAAAAGCTATGGATCATAGGTTTATAATAGTTGGCACGTCAGTGTTAGTTGCTTTTCTAGTTTGTACACTCAAAAAAAAATTTTAGAAAATCGCCTATGGATTTGCTTTACTGGCGATTTTTTTCTATATTTCTGGAATATTTCTTGAATTTAATGAATTTTGATTAATTGGAAGAAAATTTTCTTTACCAGTAGAAAATTTTTTTATTTTAAAGAAAAAAATCGCCAGTGAAGCAAATCCATAGGCGATTTTCTAAAATTCAGGGCGATTCATTTTCTGAGTGTAGTGTAAGACGACATTATAAGCATTGAATTAATTCCAAGACTAACTATTTATGAGTATTTAGGAGGCACCATTTGTTAAAATGACAAATACTGTCTGTAAGTCGTACAACAAATCGTGGGTTGCTGTTCACTATTGTCGTCTGAAGGCCTATTCCCGAAACAAAACCAGCCTGAATATAAATGCCACATTTATAGAGCCAGCCAATAATATATCCCTTCATATGAAGATGCTGAAGAAGGCCAGTGGCTATAAGCCCTTCCTTTTTGATTACACCTTCGATGCCTGCGAATTTATGAGGAGGAGAAACCAGCCCTTTGCCAAGATCATTTGGAACTTGATCAAGGATGTGTCCACTGTGAACCACACCTGTCCTTATGTGGTAAGATTACCTTTAAAAGCCCTCAAAAGGTTATCAAATATAGGATTCTACACTTCACAGGGCTTACAAATGGTAAGCGACTTTTATCGTATTGAAGTTCCTGTTGGTCTACCAACTGGAGAATACTTACTTTTACTGGATTGGATTTTCGATGCTAAGCCGCAGTTTGCTACAAATGTTTATTTCACATTTGTAGAGGATTTATTCCCTAAAAACTCAAGTCACAGGAGGAGGCTGTCCAAGTTCGCCTTTAAAAACCACTGATTTTCAAAATAAATTAGTTAATTTTCAAAAAAATATATTGTATTACTATCCATGGCTTAAATTATTTTAATATTACAAAATCTAGTTTGAAGGAAGTCATTATTTAAATCAATGCGGGCATTATATAAATGAATGCTAGTACTTATAATAATTAGCTGTTCATATCTGTATTTATAGCTTGTTGAAACCAAATAGTATTAGATATTACATCAAATTATAAATTTGGTGCTCATTAGTTCAACAAATTGTCATGATGGCGTAATAATGGTATTATAATTACTTGTCACCAAATCAATAAATCCACAAAAATTACTTATTTATGGGCAGTCGTTAACTAGAGCCTGTCCCATAGCTATGGATTATAAGTTAATAATTATTGGGGTCTCGCTGTCGGTCGCTTTGCTATTTTGCAGTGTGAGATAAGTATACCTTTTGGGAATGAAATTAGAGTAAACATTGTATATTTTCAGGGAACGCCCTCTGTAAAAATGACAAATGCAGTCTGTCGCTCGTATAACACGTCGTGGGTCGCAATTCATTACTGTCGCCTGAAGGCCTATTCGCGAAACAAGACTAGCCTGAATATAAATGCCACATTTATAGAGCCAGCCAATAAGGTAAACCTTCATATGAAGATGATGAAAAAGGCCAGTGGCTACAAGCCGTTTCTATTCGATTATAACTTCGATGCCTGCGAATTTATGAGGAGACGAAACCAGCCCTTCGCCAAGATCATCTGGAATATGATCAAGGATGTGTCCACGATCAACCACACTTGCCCTTATATGGTACACCCAAAAAAAAATGATCATAGAAACTAAACTATTTCTACATTAAAAGTAAACTATTGAGTGTCAAAAATTTCTCGATACTCTGAGTATTAAACTAATGGACTTCGAAAGTATAAAAATGAAACTTTCGAAGTTGTCAAGTTTAAACTAACGAGTGTACAGTTTATACTCACTCAGTGTACTGAAATTTAGGGTGCTAGTTTATTTCGTATACTATTTAGTATAATGCCAGTATAAATATTATACCCCGTATAAAAGAGACAAAATTCAAAAAATGTTGTTCTGTACTTTTCATATATTATTAAAAATATTTTTTACATTTTTATAAATTACTGAAGGTAATTTTTAATTTAACAAATAAACATAAATACAATACATGTACAAAATATGTACGTGTGTATGCATATTTGGGCAAATGCAGTTTTACCGCTTATGTCGCTGATCATCTCCAGAGTGGTCGCCGTCCAGATGAACACCGGAGTTTGGTCGGGGACGCTGATATTGAAGTAAACATTGCGCTGGCCGCGGTCAGAAAAAATGCAAGCCAATAGCAAGATCCTTAGTTTCCCGGCATCTGGAGCGCAATTCAAGGTGGTGTCAGTAAAAAGAAAAGAATTTACTCATTAGTTATGGACTAAGACACAATTTAAATGTACTTACATTTCAAATAAGCCCAAAATAAGCAAATATTAAAATTTTCACAAGTAATTTTCACAAACAAACCTTAAACAGACCGCAGCGTCGTTTACAAAATACACTAATGTAAAACCCTTAAAATACTAACGCGTCCGAATAGCATTAAAAAGCGGTAACACTTTTTCTGTTCGAAATGTCCAGGTTCCAAACCAGAGCATCCTGGCTTCACACCAGGAACGAAAACCGAAAACTTCGGTATAGAAATTAAACTCAGGACATAAACTTAACACTATTTAGTCTTAACTTAACACTATTGAGTCTGCTCCTTACATTATTTAGTTTTAAATTAATACTGACAGTTTGATACTAGCTGTAGTATACTTTTAATACAACGCGTATTAACTGTAAACTTTCGGTTTTTTTTTTGGGTGTAGGATCGTCCTTCAAAAGTACATTAATTTTTAGTAATGCACTTTTCAGGGCTTGCAATCACTAACTGATTTCTACCTTATTGAATTTCCCCTTCCTCTACCTTCCGGAGAATACTTGCTTTTATTAGACTGGCTCTTTGATGGGAAGCCGCAGTTCGCTACAAATGTTTATTTCACACTTGTCGAGGATTTTTAACAAATTAATTAACTAACAAATCCAAGACAATAATGTTTTAAAACCTAATTATTTCAATACAAAAGTACCATGGGTTATTATGTTATCAATTTGTATGCAAAATATTAATAATAATTATTTTTTTACTCTTCTTGAGGATTTGTAAACCAATACTTTCTAAGCACCACAATTTATACAACATTTCACCATACGCGTCGGCTTGGTGGTATTATACCAAATTACTTAATTATAATATTTTTTTAATAACATTTAATGTGTATCAAAGCGGAAAGGGAATGGGAAAACCCATTATATTGTCGCCGTTTTGACATATTAATTGGCGTTTTTATACCCTTGCAGAGGGTATTATGATTTCAGTCAGAAGTTTGCAACGCAGTGAAGGAGGCGTTTCCGACCCCATAAAGTATATATATTCTCGATCAGCATCACTAGACGAGTCGATCTAGCCATGTCCGTCTGTCCGTCTGTCCGTCTGTCCATCTGTCCGTCTGTCCGTCTGTCCGTCTGTCCGTCTGTCTGTTTCTACGCAAACTAGTCTCTCAGTTTTTGAGCTATCGGGATGAAACTTTCCCAAAAGTCTTCTTTCTATTGCAGGTAGTATATATGTCGGAGCCGACCGGATCGGACAACTATATCTTATAGCTCCCATAGGAACAATCGGAAAAAAAAACTTTAAAAAATTCTAGCTTCGGTGTTTTTTGAAATATTACCTTCTACTTTTGGGGATGTTATTTTTTAAATATTTCTGAATTTCGAATTAATAATTTAAAAAATCGGACTACTATATCATATAGCTGCCATAGGAACGATCGGAAAATTAATGGAAAAGAAATAGGAAATAAATTCTAGCTTCTTTGGTTTTTATTGTATTATCTTCTACTCTAGGATATGACTCTTTTTAAATATTTCCGAATTTCAATTTTAATTTAATCAAAATCGGACGACTATATCATATAGCTGCCATAGGAATGATCGGAAAATTAATGGAAAAGTAATAGGAAATAAATTCTAGCTTCTTTGGTTTTTATTGTATTGTCTTCTACTCTAGGATATGACTCTTTTTAAATATTTCCGAATTTCAATTTTAATTTAATCAAAATCGGACGACTATATCATATAGCTGCCATAGGAACGATCGGAAAATTAATGAGAAATATTAGAAAATTGAACATTTTTGCGATTTGTTAATTAATAGGAATGATCTGCAAGGGTATATAAGCTTCGGCTGGCCGAAGCTAGCTTCCTTTCTTGTTAGTTTTAGGGAACTATTCAACAAATTTGTATAATTTAGTCTTCAGTAAAGTTTTCAGCGCCAAGTTATGTATACCAAATATCTATTTTTCGGATTAATAGGAGCTTTTGCCTTTGTAATCTGCACTGTACGTTTTTTTTTATACCTCTATACATATTCTATTTTTAATTTGTATTAGGAGGCACCCTTCGTAAAAATGACAAATGCAGTTTGTGAGTCATACAACAAGTCGTGGGTAGTTTTCCATTATTGTCGACTGAAGGCCTACTCCCGAAACAAAACCAGCTTGAATGTAAATGCCACCTTTCTGCAGCCAGCTAATAATATACTTATCAAGTTAAAGATGATGAAGAAAGCAAATGGCTATAAGCCATTCCTTTTTGACATTGCCTTCGATGCCTGTGAATTTATGAGAAGGCGAAATCAGCCAGCAGTGAGGATTGTCTGGAATTTGATCAAGGATGTGTCCACTGTAAACCACACCTGTCCTTATGTGGTCAGAAAAATGTTTGATGTTTCGAAGACTTTATATTAATCGAATTTTTCAGGGCTTACAAACGGTAAGCGATTTTCATCACATTCATATTCCCCTTCCTTGGCCATCTGGAGACTACTTAATTTTAGGGGATTGGATTTTTGATGCTAAGCCACAATTCGCGACAAATGTTTATTTTACCTTTAAAGAGGATTTGTAATTGAAAAGTCATGGTTTTTAAACACATTTCGAAATCAATATTATTATTTTATTATCTAAAAATTTCGCAAAATGGTTTGGAAATTACTAACTTATATATCGTCACGGTTCCAAAAATAAAAAGTATAATCTGTTTTTTTGTGAACTTTGCAATTAATATTATCATTTAGTCTTTAGCAGAGGTTTCATGGCTAAACTATGGATTCAAAGTGCATATTTATTGGATTTATTGTGTCTTTCGCCTTTCTAATCTCCAGTGTAAGATTTTCTCGTTATTGTATTAAACTTGATTAAAAACTGTTCTACTTTTACTTAATTTTAAGAGGAGGCACCTTTTGTTAAAATGACGAATGCAGTTTGTGAGTCATACAACAAGTCGTGGGTGGTCTTTCATTATTGTCGACTGAAGGCCTACTCCCGAAACAAAACCAGCTTAAATATAAATGCCACATTTCTAGAGCCAGCTAACAATATATTTATTAAGTTGAGGATTACGAAGAAGGCCAATGGCTATAAGCCGTTTTTATTTGATTACACCTTCGATGCGTGCGAGTTTATGAGAAAGCGAAATAAACCCTTCACGAAGATCATATGGAATATGATCAAGGATGTGTCCACTGTTAATCATACATGTCCGTATGTGGTAAAAACGCTTCTTGGTGTTTTAAAGATAGGCTCTTAACCACTTGAAATTTTTTAGGGCTTACAATCGCTAAGCGATTTTCATCACATTTTTTTCCCCCTTCCGTGGCCATCTGGAGAATACTTACTTTTAATGGACTGGATTTTTGATGCCAAGCCGCAGTTCGCGACAAATGTTTATTTTACTTTTGTATACACAAAAAAAAAACTTGGTAAAATCAACTGTAATAATTGTCAAACAGGCCCCAACCAGCAAAATTGTCAATTCTACTAAGTAAATAGTCATTTCACAACAACAAAATACACACAATTAGCAAAGACACAAACCCAAAGCAAAAAAAAAATACACGTAACTATTTTAGTAGTTACGTAACTATCTTTGTTGGTCAATTTTACCAAGCAAATTTTTTTGTGTGTAGAGGATTTGATATGATATGTGTTCGCCACTTGCATTATTTCATATAATTCGAATATTATTTTATTGGTACAATATATATCATAACTGATTGGAAATTGCAAACTTGTTATATCGTCACGATTTCACACCGAAATACATGTTAGCTACTGTTTCCAGACCTTGCTCTGGAGGGAATTGCTAACAGCAATGTAGCCAAAGGATGAGTTAGGTTTCCAATATAGAACTCGTTTTCGTTGCGTTTTCAATAATTCACGTTGTTTCCAATTTATTTCCACGAGTAGAGTGGCCAGATATCGTTATTACAAAAAAGAGATCGCTTAGTAAGCTTTCTCTGGACCGCGGCGTTCATATTAAATACTAACATTTTTACTTAAAATGACGTTAACTTCAGATTTCAACCTTAGTCTATTCACAAACCAAAAGAACAGGGTGTTCCCCAAACATACTCCCCCGTTGCAGGATCTATGAGCTTTCAACTATTCCATTGGAAGAGGAGCAATTTTATGAATTGGGCGTTGCAGCACGTTCTTTGAAGTTTGTAGATCCACAACTCGAACCTTCCCGTCCTTTCCTGGGATTGCGGAAACGACGCGAGCGAGAATCCAATGTTGTGGTGGTGTGTTATCCTCATGTATGATGACAAGTTGGCCCGGTTTGATGTTTGCTTGTTGAGTATTCCATTTTCCTCGACGCTGTAGGGTGTGTATGTAATCCCGCTGCCACATACTCCAGAACTGCTGCTTGAGAAACGTTACCCTTTGCCATCGATCCAGATAACTTAGCTGGGTGGTGGACTGTGGTTTGAAGATGCGCTCGTCTGGAGCAGCCAACAGTGATGAACCAACCAGAAAATGAGCTGGCGTTAGAGCGATTCCGTCGTTAGGATCATCTGATTGAGGGGCAATTGGCCTGGAATTGAGAATTGCCTCTATTTCAGCAAACGTTGTCTCAAGCTCTTCGTATGTGAGATTGGCCTCCGATATGTTCTTCAGTAAAAGGGTTTTGGCTGACTTCACAGCGGCTTCCCAGAGCCCCCCCGAAATGTGGGGCTCGAGGCGGAATGAAGTTAAAGTCAAATCCTTTAACCGCACTGAAGGAGTGAAGATCGTCGATGACCTCTGTACTGAAAAACTGTTGCTTGAATTCGTCCATTTTCCTTGCTGCACCACAGAAATTGGTAGCATTATCGCAGTACAGTTTCGAAGGCAGGCCCCGACGTCCGATGAATCTTCGAAGACATAATAAAAATGCATTAGTTGATAACTCAGACACCACCTCAATGTGTACAGCTTTCGTAGCAAAGCAAATGAATATCGACGCATATGTTTTATATGGTCGCTTGCCACGTATTTTATAACACGTTTGAAATGGGCCACAGAAATCCACCCCTGCAATTGAAAAAGGGCGTTCCGCGTGAAGTCGGTCAGGAGGCAGATTCCCCATAATTTGTTGTGTAAGTCTTGGCTTGTAATGAAAACAATGCGTGCAGTTCCGGACGACCTGACGAGTTAGAACTCTGGCGTTGACAATCCATAACTTTTCTCGAGAAAGAGAAATGAGTATTTTTGAATTTGCATGTAGATTTTTCCTATGAAGGAATTCTATAAACAGCTGAATGAAACGATGGTTTCGTGGAACGATTGCTGGAAATTTTGCTTCAAATGACAACGCTGATCTTGCTAATCGCCCGCCTACCCTTACCACATTGACACTGACACTATCTAATTCCATCATATGAATAAATGGAGCGAGACCCTGTAAGTGTGGCTTTAGAGATTTATTTTTTGCTAGTAACTTCAATTCCTCATGAAAGGCTGACTGCTGTATGTGCCCTATAATACGCCAGAACGTAACGTTTAGCTCAGATGCAGATATATGCAAAATTTCCTTTACCTTGAGTTTACGATCTGGTACGACTCTGTTAAATGTTCTATAAATGTATGACAATACTCGTAGTATTCGAACGTACGATGAGGACTTGTTGATGACGTAGTCTATGATCGAATCTAAAACATCAGATTTTGAATTTACCTGTTCCTTAGAGCCATCAACGTTAACTTTTTGACTCCCAACTGACGTCCCTACATGGCAGGTAGATGGTTCGTTGCATATGACTAGTGCTCTTTTTCGTACTTCGATAGATGATGGTGCGGAAATACAGAGACTCGGCCATTCCTCGGATGGCAGTTTCAAAAATTCTGGGCCGGTTAACCAAGTGTTAGTTAACAGGTCAGAAGTGCGACAACCTCTCGAAACAATGTCCGCGGGGTTCTGTGCTGACGGTACATGTCTCCATTCGACATCTGCGCTGTGCTGCTGCAGCTCTGAAACTCTGTTTGCTACAAAACAGTTCAGTTTTGAAGCATGCATCGTCATCCATTGAAGAACGATCTTTGAGTCCGTCCAGAAGTAAATCTTGTTGACGTATGGAGAGAGCTTATTCTGAAATTTTCGAAACGTTGCATTTAGCAGGACTGCTGCACATAATTCTAGCTTTGGTAGAGATATAACGGTAATAGGAGCTACTTTGGATTTTCCGATAAGTAAATTTGTGTGAACTGTATTTCCTAATTTTACTCGAATGTATATACAGCAGCCATAAGCTCGCTCGGATGCGTCCGCGAATCCATGAACTTCGCACGGCTCTGACGGAGACGTGTGCATGTATCGAGGAAATTTCAGTTTGGGTGTATCTTTCAAATCGTTTCTTAAATCACTCCACAATTCATTTTGTGTATCCGGGAGTGGCTCGTCCCATCCAAGTTTGAGAATGTGCAGGTCTTGCAACAGGATTTTACATCGTATGGTTACGGGACTGAGTAATCCTAGTGCGTCAAAGAGACTTGCGATAGTAGACAAAACAATTCGCTTAGTAAACGTGTTGTCTGATGATAAGTCGTATCTGTATACGAAGTAGTCCTTTTGAGGCTGCCACGACAATCCAAGGGCTTTGGTGATTTCTTCTTCTTCAAACTTGATGGCGACTTCCGTTGCTGATAAGCCTCCGATGATGTGCGAGTTGCTGTTGAACTTCGACATGCTCATGTTTCCCTTCCTCAATATTTGTACGACCTGTCTTTTCTTTTCCAGTAATTCTTCTACCGTATCAGCACCTGTCAGGAGGTCGTCTACGTAAAGATCGTTGCACAAAACTGAAGCTCCTGCGGGAAATTCTGACCTTGATTCGCTTGCTAAATATTGTAAACTTCGGATAGCTAAAAACGGAGCTGATGATAGGCCGTATGTCACGGTGTTTAATTGGTATACTTTCATTGGATCTGTTGGGTTTTCCCTCCACAGGATTAGCTGGAATAATCGGTCACGGGGATCGATCATGAATTGGCGATACATTTTAGTGATATCACCGGTGAGAACGAACCGGTGTAGTCTAAAAGCTAAAACTGTGGTGATGAGATCCTGCTGAATTGTCGGTCCGCAGAGTAAAAGATCGTTTAGTGATTTGCCCGAGGTTGATTTTGCTGATCCGTCGAAGACAACGCGAAGTTTGGTCGATAGGCTTTGGGGTCTATGTACGCAATGATGCGGAATAAAAAAGTGTCGCATGTTGGAATCGAATGATTGAAGAGGCGACATGTGCCCCAAAGCCTCGTACTCTTTCATAAAGTTTACGTAGCCTTCCTTTAATTCGGGACAGCGGTTAAGTCTTCGCTCAAGCATTGAGAAACGATTCTGAGCCATGTTGAATGAATTACCCAAACCTGCACTTGAATTGCTGAATGGAAGGCGCACTTGAATCCGTCCGTCGACTAAAATGGATACGTTTTGTATGAAATGATCTTCACACGCTTGCTCTTCATCCGTAAATGTAGGAGGAGAGGTACAATAGTCTTCGATTTTCCAAAAACGATCTAAAATTGTGTCGGTGTCAGCGCGATTTTCGTGAAGTGTGCAATGAAAGGCTTTAAACACTGTTGGAGCTGATGTGATATTCCCTCCTACTACCCAACCGAATTCTGTATTGATTAAACTAGGCTTGCCAAACCCAAGAGAATGCTTTCCATTTTTTAATGCTTCGAAAAACCCTTCGGTACTGATAAGCATATGCACCTTGGTCGACTGGAAAAAGTGCGGGTCGGCTAGATTGACATTAGTTGGTAGCTTCCAATCTTGAATTCCAATGGTGCTGCTAGGTTGGTGCGTGCATATTGAATTTATTACCGCAAACGTGGAAGTCCATTCAAATTCAGAAAGGCGTGATTTTAGTGTCGCTATAACGTTATACTTAATGGGTTGACACGTATCTGAAATTCCGCAAACTTCTTGAGATACCTTGAATTTTTCCAAATTCAAAAGCTTGGCTGTTTCTTCAGTGATCAGATTGACTTCAGAACAGGAGTCAAGCATGGCGCGAATATAATGAAGTTCCCCGAGTTTGTCCTTGACTTGGACCACTGCTGTGGGAAGTATACCGAGTTTAGCTGCTCGCACCACTAATGAAAGGTGTGGCTGCACCGTTGACGGAGGCGATTCTCCCGTGCGATGGACCTGATCGCTGGATTGTGTTGAAACTCCAGGCGAAAAGTTGTGAAGAAGTGAATGATGAGCGGAGCGACAAATTTTACAGCGCGATTTCGACTGACACTGCTTTTTGTTGTGATTAGGACGCAAGCAGTTTAAACAAAGTCCCCGTTTCCTGACCCAATCTCTTCGCAGGTCCAAAAGAAGAACGGAAAACGTTTGACAATTCGATATGTAGTGATCGGATGCCCTGCAATATTCGCATTTTGCACTGGTTGTGATGTAAGCCTTCGATGTTTGAGTAGGCCTTTGTTTATGATTTGACTCGTGCGAGTCTGCTAGTTCCTTCCCTTTGGAACGGCTCTCCAAGAATTGGCACCTATGAGTTAAGAGTTTGCAGCAGGTTTCCCATGATGGCAAAGCCTCAAACGTCAGTTTTTCATCGTAATACAGTTTGGTATCAGAATCGACCTTGGAGAGTAGAATGTGAATAAAAATTGCGTTCATCACATCTTCTGCTGACCCTAATGACAGTAGAGAACCTCTTATAGCTGCGGCTGAATGTATAAGTCTTTGAAGCTGTGATGCATCTGGTTTCTTTAATGTGGATAAAGTGAAAAAACTAGAAATGTAGTCCAAAAAAATTAATACATCATTATCATATCGTGCCTTCAACTGGGTTAGGGCTTTTGGGTAGTTTTGTTCAGTGATTTGAAAAGGTTGAACAACTTCTAAAGCTGGGCCAGCCAGACAATTGAGGAGATAGTTAAATTTATCAATGGTGGCGATGCCTGAATCCTGATCAACAAGGTTGGAGAACGCGCTGATGAACCGTTTGTATTGAGAATAAGTCCCATCGAAACTGGGCAACTTGATGTTAGGTAATCGGCTGTGGTGCGTTGTGTTGCCAGTGGAGTTCAGAAAACTTGGATCGTCTCCAACGAGGCTGGTTTTACGCTTCTTATTTATGAGCTGTGTAATTGTTGATTTTGCATCAATGAAGATTTCCTCCACTTGCGCCCTCCCCGTGTCGATGCAGTAAATTTCCTCGATGTTTGACTGAATCTGACATAATGTACGAAAGTAATTTTCAACTATTTGCAAATTGCACTCCAGCACTGTGGGTTCAACGGATGCCCCAAGAGTGAGAACACGACCTTTAAGATTCTTGATATTGCGCTCTATCGTTGTCCGCTGAACTCGTAATTTAACAAGTTTTGCGTCATTGACTTCTACTTGGGATGGACCTGCTTCGTTGGGAATGCTTGCCTCAGCCTTATCCATTGTTCAATGCGTACACTCAAGATCGAGAACTGACTAGTTTAATTGAAACGTATGTTCGACCCCTAGCGGAGGCACCTGCAACTGAACTGAAGATAAAATGGGCAACAGCAAGAATCTCAGCCTTTCATAGAAATAGCTACTTGGCGCAACAATCTTTATAATTTTGTATATGTTCTACATGTATATGGGTACAGGTTACTTAGATATGTGTGTGTACTTGCGATGTGTAAGTGTGTGAAAGCTGCGTGTCTCGAAGTGTGGTTATGTTTGCCGAAATGTGATCCGCAGAAGTGAGGTTGTGGTTGACCGACGTGGAATCCACCAGCGAGGCTTTGGCCAACTGCTACTGATGAGTTGCTCCAACGAAGCCCTGGTTGACTTTCCGAGATGTCCAGTGAGGCTCTGACCAATTTGCGTTCGTTGAATTGGTCAGCGAAGCCCTGGCCGATGTGTGCTTGAATTGCAGTTCTATATTGACCCGATGAGAGATCCGCAATCGTACTTGCGCGTGTGACTTATCCTTTAGAGCTGTCCTGTCACGGTCGCCAAAATGTTTCCAGACCTTGCTCTGGAGGGAATTGCTAACAGCAATGTAGCCAAAGGATGAGTTAGGTTTCCAATATAGAACTCGTTTTCGTTGCGTTTTCAATAATTCACGTTGTTTCCAATTTATTTCCACGAGTAGAGTGGCCAGATATCGTTATTACAAAAAAGAGATCGCTTAGTAAGCTTTCTCTGGACCGCGGCGTTCATATTAAATACTAACATTTTTACTTAAAATGACGTTAACTTCAGATTTCAACCTTAGTCTATTCACAAACCAAAAGAACAGGGTGTTCCCCAAACAGCTACTATGCATAAAATATCATCATTTTGTATTCAGGAGAAGCTTCAACGCTAGCTCATGGATTGAAAGTGTATATTATTTAGAATAACCACAGCTTTTGCTTTTTAATCTTCACTGTTAAACAGATATTTCACTTCTAAACAGTTATTTTACTGGGAGGCATACCTTGTTAAAAATAAAAAACAATCTCGTTTAAAAAATTGTTATATTTTGCCGAAACCATAGTTTTAATGCCATAATAGTTCTTAAAAAGAGTCCGATATTTAAACCTATTATATCGTCAAGCTTCCAGTATCAAAATAAGTGGTGAATTATAATATTTACGGTACGAAGGAACACATATTGCTATCCAGTATTTAGTAGAGGTTTCAGTTTTTCAGTCATGTGTTCGAATTTAAAATTTTTTGGAGTTTTCGTAGCTGTAACGTTTCTACACTCATAAAAAAAAATCGAAGAATTTCCTTAAAATCTAGAAAATTCTTTCTTGAATTTTTGCCAAAGGCGACCTCACCTTTGTTTCAAGAAATGGTTTTTTTGAAAGGCACCATTAAAACAAGAAAAATATTTCTTGTTTTAAGAAATTAAATTTCTGAAAACAAGAAAGGGTTTTTTAGAAAGGCACCTTTTAAACAAGAAAAATTCTTTCTTGTTTAAATTTCCATTCAAAAAAATTTTATTTCTTGATTTAAGAAATAATATTTCTTGAAAGGAAGTTTTATCTTAACACTGAAACCCTAAAAATAAAATGTAACTTGGTTTTTTCTTTTGCATATTATATTTATTTACATTTAAAACATTTAACACTTAACATTTAAACATTTTTAAATAACACATTTTTGACTCAAGAAAACATTATTATTACCCAAGGTCTGTTGAACTTCATATGACCTAAGGTGATCCATTTTCTTCGCCTTTCCTCATCTATAAAAAAAGAGTTATTGGGATATCAATGATTTGTTTTTAGATAAACAACTTTTTTGAAATAATGTAATGTTAATAATAGCCAAAATACAAACACGTTGGACAGACGACCGAGAAAGAGGAGCAAGACGGGTAGAAAATTAAGGGTTGAAAATCGAATTTCAGAGAGAGAGAGGCACGGGAGACACACGTACATACATACATATATATTTACATACAGTCCTTTGCGCGAAGGGAGACCGAATGTAAGCAGGGCAGATCGTGTCAGTTTTAAGAAGGTGAAGAGAGAAACGTCGCGACGCGTAGGTCAAGCGAGCGAGAGAGAGGAGCAGAATATGAAAGGGTTGAAAATCGGGTTTCAGATCGGGTGAGCCGCGTACATGCATAGATATTTACATGCATACATAAGTATGTCAAACAAATACAACATATTTTTCTTACCTTAGAAGGTTTTAAAGCAAAATTACAGCTTCGACAAACAAATTATTTGGCTGATGCAACTGCAGGTATGTATTTTCACTCTGAAAAATAAATAAAATGCGAGTAATAAGATAAAGTTATTATAGAGCTGTACACCCACAAATTTATGTACAAATGTACATATGTATGTACGTAGCTCTTAGCTAAAAAACAATTCACCTAAATTGGTATACGCTTGGTAAAGAGATTTGAAATGTATCCTTTAATTACATACATACAATTGTACGCCCGCTATACAAAAAATTATATACATATTTACATACCTTTGAATATTCGGAAAAAGGCTTCACCTCTTATCCGCTTGAAAATCACGTCCATCACTCACGAATTTTTTTCACAACTGACGCTCGGGGGATCAGAGAAGTCGGTAGCCGGGTATTAGTCGGGCCGAGTAGGCCCTTCGTCCCACTTCGTTTTTCTTGTCGTTAACATTCGGCAGCCGAAGGAAGTCAATGGCTACTTTCCTATATTCTAGGGTCATTTCATTCATATATTCAAAGGTGATTTTGTCCTTAAATACGTACAAAAATGTTTTGGCTGCGACGGCAAAACAAACATATGAGATTTTCATTTTTCTATTTTTAAGAAAAATTCTTTCTTGAATTTTTTCCATCAAGAAAGGTTTTCTGTATTCAAAGGCCAATTTTCTAATAACAAGAAATTTTTTTTCTATTTTCAAAGGTAGGCCGATTCAATGGCGAGATTTCCAAAATTTAGAAATTAATTTTTATGAGTGTAGCCTGCAGTGTAAGTTTTGATCGATATTATTCTGAAATCAAATAAGACCAAACAAATATCAGGAGGCACCTTTTGCAAAACTGACCAATGCTGTCTGTGGGTCGTACAACAAGTCGTGGGTCTCTGTTCATTATTGTCGCCTGAAAGCCCATTCCCGAAATAAGACCAGCTTGAATGTAAATCTAACACTTTCTGAGCCAGCCTACAACATATCCCTTCATCTGAAAATGTTGAAGAAGGCCAGTGGGTACAAGCCGTTTCTATTCGACTATAACTTCGATGCTTGCGAATTTATGAGGAGGCGAAACCAACCGTTTGCCAAGATTGTCTGGAATATGATCAAGGATGTATCCACGGTTAACCACAGTTGTCCCTATATGGTAAGACAGTCTGCGAAAGTTACCCAAGTACTAAACATCCTATTTACTTATTTTAGGGCTTACAAGTGCTTTCTGATTTCCATTTAACTAAAATACCGCTTCCACTACCTACTGGAGAATATTTACTTTTATTCGATTGGATCTTCCATGGAAAACCGCAGTTCTATTCAAATGTTTATTTCGCATTTGTGGAGGATCTGATAACGGACACATCAAGACGTGGAAGATATAAAAATGGAACCTTGATCGGAAGATCATCCAAAAACTACGGTTTTGTTAAAAAATCATCGATTAAAAGTTAATGAATGCCCACCTTATTTGCCTCGGCAATTTGCGTGGATTTTTTTCATGATGAATAGATGGCCTGGAATATTATGAATGCTTCAAAATTGCGTGGAATATTCCATTCATGAATTTTTGTATTATTGCGAATCATCAACGCGATTATAATTTATATCATGGTACTTTCTATATCATTATTCTTATCAAAGCACTTTGGAATTTAAACACTTATTTTATCGACTTATTTGTATGTCAATTTTAAAATAAATTGCGATTTAATATCATTATTTAGTCTAGAGTTTACAGCCTTAAGTCATGCATTCAAATTTAACAATTTTCGGAGTATTTGTAATTTTTGCCTTTCTAGTCAGCAGTGTAAGATTTTCCCATAACTATCCTTAAATCCATCTAAAAATAAACCCTTAATTTTATCAGGAGGCCCCTTTTGTAAAAATGACAAATGCAGTTTGTGAGTCATTCAACAAGTCGTGGGTAGTTTTCCATTATTGTCGACTGAAGGCCTACTCCCGAAACAAAACCAGCTTGAATGTAAATGCCACCTTTCTGCAGCCAGCTAATAATATACTTATCAAGTTAAAGATGATGAAGAAAGCAAATGGCTATAAGCCATTCCTTTTTGACATTGCCTTCGATGCCTGTGAATTTATGAGAAGGCGAAATCAGCCAGCAGCGAGGATTGTCTGGAATTTGATCAAGGATGTGTCCACTGTGAATCATACATGTCCTTATGTGGTATGACATTTTTTTTGATGTTTCGAAGACTATCATATTAATTGTATTTTTTAGGGCTTACAAACGGTAAGCGATTTTCATGATATTCACATTCCACTTCCATGGCCTTCTGGAGACTACTTAATGTTAATGGAATGGATATTTGATACTAAGCCGCAATTCGCGACAAATGTTTATTTTACCTTTAAAGAGGATTTGTAATCGAAAAGTCATGGTTTTAAAACACACTCTAAATCAATATTATTATTTTATTATCTAAAAATGTAGCAAAATGGTTTGGAAATTACTAACTTATTATATCGTCACGGTTCCAAAATTAAAAAATATAATCTGTTTTTTTGTGAACTTTGCAATTAATATTATCATTTAGTCTTTAGCAGAGGTTTCATGGCTAAACTATGGATTCAAAGTGCATATTTATTGGATTTATTGTGTCTTTCGCCTTTCTAATCTCCAGTGTAAGATTTTCTCGTTATTGTATTAAACTTGATTAAAAGCTGTTCTACTTTTACTTAATTTTAATAGGAGGCACCTTTTGTTAAAATGACGAATGCAGTTTGTGAGTCATACAACAAGTCGTGGGTGGTCTTTCATTATTGTCGACTGAAGGCCTACTCCCGAAACAAAACCAGCTTGAATATAAATGCCACCTTTCTGCAGCCAGCTAATAATATATTTATTAAGTTGAGGATAATGAAGAAGGCCAATGGCTATAAGCCGTTTCTATTTGATTACACTTTCGATGCGTGCGAGTTTATGAGAAAGCGAAATAAACCCTTCACGAAGATCATATGGAATATGATCAAGGATGTATCCACCGTGAATCATACTTGCCCCTATGAGGTGAGAATATTGGTTGGTGGTTCGAATACCGCAATCCCTCTTCAATTTTTTGTAGGGCTTACAAACGGTGAGCGATTTCCATCATATCCATTTTCCTGTTCCTTGGCCATCTGGAGAGTATTTACTTTTGGCGGATTGGATTTTTTATGCTAAGCGGCAATTCGTTACAAATGTTTATTTTACATTTGTGGAGGATTTACTGACAAACAGTTCAAATTACGGGAAAAATAAATAACAAATCAAAATATATAATGTGGTATTTTCCATACAGAAACGTTTACCATTCATGGATAGTAAATATGTATTTGTGGAATACTTAAAGCTTTGTGTATTATAAGGTATTCTAAATTATTGCAATGTCATATAAAAAATATTATAGTTATTATTTATGGATTTTAGTTATGCTATTATTTTAAAAGCATTTAAAATCTATCAAAACGATTTCCAAAATGATTATATCGCAGTATAGCACGGTATAAGAAAAAAAATCCTATTTAATGTTTAAATCATAATTTAGTCAAAATTTAGTTTTCAGCGCAAGGCCATGGATTCCAAGCCTATAATGCTTGGAATAATCGGAGCTTTTGCTTTTCGGATCTCAACGTATGATTTTTGTTTCAAAACTATGAGAAAGTCATTGGATAATCCTCTAAATAACAACTTCTATTAGGAGGCACGTATTGAAACAAGGATAAATGTTATTTGTGAGTCATACAACAATACATTTTGACCGCTTCGTTTTATATATCATTTTACCATTTATATCATTTTTGCCGAATAATAGACTAAAAGTATAATATTGTTTTAATAACATTTAATATGTATCAAAACTGATTGTAAATGGCAAACCCCATTATATTGTCACGGTTCCAATATCATACAATAAACGGAACTATGCAACGAATTTGAATATTATTTTAGTCTACAGTTAAGTTTTCAGAGCTAAGTTATGGATTCAAAGTGGATATTTATGGCAATGCTTTTTGCTTTAGCCTTTTTAATCTGCACGGTAAGGATTCTGCGTAACTATACCATATCAATGAACACTACAACTATTTGTTATTTTTATTAGGAGGCACATTTTGTAAAAATGACTAATGCAGTATGTGAGTCATACAACAAGTCGTGGGTTGTCATTCATCATTGTCGATTGAAGGCCTATTCCCGAAATAAAACGAGCTTGAATATAAATGCAACTTTTCTGCAGCCAGCTTATAATATATTTATCAAACTGAAACTGATGAAGAAAGCCAATGGCTTCAAGCCCTTTTTGCTTGATGTCACCTTGGATGCCTGTAAATTTATGAGAAAACGACATCATCCCGCCGTAAAGATCATTTACAATTTGATCAAGGACGTATCCACCGTGAATCACACCTGTCCTTATGTGGTGAGACCGCTTCCTATTTGATAATAATATATTAGTATATAGGAATCATTTTATTTTTAGGGACTGCAAGCGGTAAGCGATTTCCATCGTGTTGAAATTCCCGTTCCTATGCCAAGTGGAGACTATCTACTTTTATGGGATTGGATTTTCAATGGTAAGAAGCAGTTCTGCACGAATGTATATTTTAACTTTGTAGAAGATGTATCATAAAATATCAAAGAAAAGCACAACGCATAGAAACATGAAATATATTGCAATTAAATAACATTATAATAAACCAAGCATTTTTAATACGATCTTTTAGTAATTTTCCAACGAGTCAAATCAGTATAATTTACCGGAGCTACGCTTCATTAGCCATTAAAATGAATAGGTAATAAAGAGTTGAACGGTTTCTCAACCATTTTTAAAATATTTTACTAAAACAACATTTTATTTTTTTAAATAATTTCTGTATGTATATTTCTTGTGATACTTCTGCCTTATTTTGAAACTGAAGCCTCTATAAAGTATGTAACTAATGTAAAAGTTGGTAATTCTTTTAAATGAAAAACAAAATGAAACTCCAACTTTTCCACCGTAGAATTATTCTTTTTTTCACGAAATTAATTTCCGCCATAAATCGTCTTTGAAGCCTGGAAACTGTTCCATTTGCAGCACATGATACTTTGGCCATCCGCAATTAGATGAACCCCAATTAGTGTTAATCAAATTGGGCAAAAACCAAGAGGCAAAGATTCGCGGGACCAAATGGTGCACAATCCAATTCCCGGCAGGCGTCAAATTATACAGAAAACTCAGATGGCGAACAAATGGGAATCAAGGAAGAAAAAGGAAAAGTTGACTTTCATGCGAAAAGTTTTTTCCATGGTTGTGGGGCGTGAATTCCTGCACCGAAAATTTTCAGGAGGTGGTGGTTGGGTTTTGGAAATATAGGGCGCTGTAGGCGTGGTCAGACGCCAAACACCGGCGATTATTGTTACAAAATGCAGCGGAGCGTGTAATTTTTCGGGCACGAAAGAAACGCAAAAGAATCTTCCTCCACATCCACATCCAGATTCAGTTTGAGATTCAAATTGCCAAAAGAAACCATTGCCCCTTGGGAAGAGGAAGAGAGAGGGAAACGCGGCTTCTGAAAATTGTTTTGCGAAAATTAGTTTTCAAACTTTTCTTGTTCGTTTATCTTGCATTTCTGTGTCGGTTTTTTCCTTTTTTCCTCGGTGGGCAAATGAAAATCTAAACGCAGTATGCGATATTAATTTGCATTTGGGCCTCGCTGTCATCTGGGGATTGGGATTCTGTGGCACAATAAAAATCAAATTTGAATAATTTTTAATTTATTTAAGAACGCTTCGGTCGAGTTTTGCCAGTGCTCTTGCTTGTAATTGGGCTTTCTGTTGTTGTAACTGCTTTTTTGGGATCCATTTATTGGCTTCCCTTTTAAACGATTCCAGCGTAATTGCCATGAAATTACCTTTTGAGTGGAGCCGGTGGAAAAAACAAACTTTATGCAAATCGTTTTAGTGATATTTATTTATTTTGATTTAAATCCTTTGTTTTTTTTGTTGTTGTTGCCTATTTATAATACTGTTTTTATTACACATCTCGCGATTTGATTAACTAAAATTAGACGTACTTAAACTGTAAATTTATTTGGCTTTAACTATTACATTACTTAGCTACAAATTAAAAATGATTCAACAATAATGTTCACATCAACCGACTTAAATTCTTGACAATCACAAAGTTAGGATTTGATTTTGATTCGTAGAACAGTGAGTAATTTGGTATACGACTCGAGAGCTATGGTACTAGAACTATGATTAACCACAACGCTTTAAGGTCCGCCAATATCAGATATCCTTAGTCCTTAAGTGGTAAAGAATGGGGGAGGGGAAATTTCGAGCGGGATGTTGAGAGGAAAGTCTGATATCTCTTTGTCTTCTTATATTCTTGGGAGCCAACCAAGTTGGCCAAAACCATTTACCGTACAAGTATATTCTACCTTTAATTTAGCCAATGCACAAACACACACACAACAGTTACGATTAATTTATCTATATATATATGTGTATTTTGGTTGGGAAACTCAGGGTATCACAAACATTGAATGAACACTTACTATGGTTAACGTCTGCTTAACTGTTGGCTGATTCCGATTGGAGGGGCGTTCCCAGATAGGGGATTTCCTATGCTATACAGAAGGCAAAAGCTTAAAGTAGAAAAAGGAACAGTCTAGCTAATGAGATCTATGAAATTCTCAAACCGAAAATAATTTATTTTGGGTCTTTGCAGGTTGTCACTTTCACAGATTTAAAATAAATTAAATTTTTGGTACCTGAAGATGAAACAGTTGTTTATTGGGTAATCTTACCCTAATAAGCCAATTTAAAAATATTTTTAAAAAGTTAAAATCAAAGGAATCTGCTTCTTACAACCTATGCTGACTTGATGTGACTTCTGTAGATCTTTAAAAATATCGACGTTTATTATTCCCCTAAAAAACATCGATATTATCGAAGCTATACTGTGAAAATATCGAAAACATCGATATTTTTCAAGCTCTAGTCTTCTGTGAAACTGAAAACCCGATTTTCGCCCCTATGATCTCCTAGTTCTTAGGCCTAAAAGACAACACACATATTATATGCTTTGCTCATGCGATATTATATAGACACTCACACGCACATACACCTAAGGAATCTTATAGATACTCGCTCAAGATCTCACTCCCTCGTAATCCTCGCGTGGTTAGACCTTACTTGCGGTACTCGTCCATCTGAAAGCCGGACTTCTCCGGCGGCGGACTGTGGCAGGCGGCTCGAATGCGACCGAATCGCAGACTGCCCGTGTGCGGATGACCCCGAATCCTGGCCTGCTGGTGCAGCGGATGGTGCGAGCACTTGGCCTGCCTGGCCAGCAGTTGGTTTTTGGCCAGGATCACATCCTCGGCGTACTAGATGTCCGGAATGCTGCGCCCGCAGGTCAGCTTGCTCGAGGACAGTTCCCCGTCCAGAGCTCCTCCTCCGATGGCGGCCGCCTTGCTCTTGGCACAGTTGACATCGTGGTGGAAGAGGTGCTCGCACAGCTTGGGCTCCGAGTTGGAGAACTTGCCCAGCTCGGCGGCCGTGGCTGCCTGGCTGAGGTTCAGATTCAGCTGGAGATCGCTGGCCTTGCTGAAGGAGGTGGTCTGCTGATGCTGCTGGTGGTGCTGCTGCGGCTGGTGGAGCTGGTGGACCAGGTGGTGGGCGGTGGTGGTCGTGTAGGGCAGGTGGGGCGGCAGACTGCTCTTCTGCATGGCACTCAGATTGCCCGAGCTGACGGTTCTCTCCAGGATCTCGCCCCAGTACTTCTCGGAGAGGCCCTCGATGTCGGGTCGCGTGGTAGAGAAGGCCTCCTGATGGCCGCCCCCGTGGATCCCCATCCCCAATCCAGTGCCCCGGATGTACTGGGAGGCACTGCGACTCAAACTGTTGGCCCTGGAGCGGGCGCAAATGCCCAGGACAGAGCCACCAATCGAACTGGCCACTCCACCAGTTGTGGAAGTCCCATTACCTCCTCCTCCTCCGCTGGATGAACCTCCACCTCCACCCCCAGGAGGTCGGGACGATGGCGGTTCCGGGGGAATCGGAAGCGTTGTGATTTCGAAATCGTTAGCATTGATGTGACAACAGCCTGATTTGTGCTCGGGCGTATCCTCGTGGGGGAAACACTGAAATGGCAGTGGAAAATGGACAAAATGGGCTGGGGGTCATCATAAATTTCGACTCGCACAAAAATTAATAAGAATTTTAAATTCGCATTTATTCCGGCAGCAGCAGCACAAGGTTGAGCCATAAATATTCCACAGACTGACCCCCAGTTCTCTGCGGAAGTAAATCATGCAACTTGACTGCGTTTACCCAAAATAGAATCAGGGATTTTTGGAATGGGTACAAGGGATAGGGGATTGTACACAGAAAGAAAATAGTTTTTAAATATAAATATCTTCAGAAGAAGATGAAATGAAATATTATCGTATTAAATATTATCGATAAAAATAATTTATATTTTCTAAAGAATTCGCGGTATTATTTGTTTCATAGTTTATTGTCAAACTTGCTCTGAAGAATTCGCGGTCTCACTAGAACTTTTTTTGTGTGCACAGGGGCTACGGGCATGCAAGTGCCGCTTTGGATTTGCTCTTTCATAATTCAAAATCACTTTGCAGGACCTGTTATTGTTGCTGCTGTGTCTGTTGATTGTTTACTTTGGCCGGGGAGCCAGTCTGCCAGCTTCCTGGAGCTTACACCTTCGGTTACGGATTTATGGGTGGATTTCGGGGGTCGCAGGGGGCAACAACTGTTTTTGTTCTCGCAAAGTTCGCAAAGTTGTGCAGCCCAGAAAATATGCGATGTGCAAGATGTGCACTTGGGTGAAATACCCGTATTTGGGATTCGGATGCGGATTCGGGGAGGTCAATGAATGGCTGCTCTGGGCTTTTGGGGTGTTTGAAGTAGGGATAAGCGAATCAATCAATCAGGGCTTATGACAGATTTGCAGCTGGAACAGACAGTGAACATCGCTCCAGATCAGAGATGCTGTAAATTAACCTAAACCCGACAAAAGGGGCAAGAAAAACTCACTTTGTTCGGCATGAGTTGGCGACTCAGTCGGCGGAAATCGGAGTTCAGCAGCCAGTACATGAAGGGGTTCCACAGACTATTGCTCAGCGCCGTCCAGGTGACCAGGAAATCGAGGAAAGGCGGCAGCTGTGGACAGAGATAGCACAAAATGTCACAAAATCAGAACTGATGAGCCGGACGTGGCCTCATTACGTATGCGCCGCGTGGTACGCAGCGAAAAGCGGGCTAAACAATAATCCAAAGGACAGTGGACAACTGACAATGGCATATGGATACTTGCCTTGGATCCTGTGCAGGCAGTGACTATCTCCTGGATCGTCCACGGAGTGACCATCACAATGAAGCCCAGCGAAATGGCAGCCATCGAACGTGAGGTGGATCCGCTGGAGTTCTTCTCCTGGATGGGAACAATCTGTTGGAATGTTTAAAAAATATTTATGAAAGGCTTAATAATCAAATATCACTAGCAGATTGTATAATTTGAATTAATTTGATTGGCTTTTATATTTATTAATATTTATAGACTGAGTAGTTAATATTAGAGGAATGTGATAATAAGAATATTTAGTTTAAAGTTCTGTAAAACTTTAGTTTAAATTAAAAATAAATTAAATAAATATGGAATAATAAATAAACTCCAGCAGATTCTATAATTTGGAGCAATATGTTAAACTTCTATATTTAAAATTTTATAAAATAAATTACGTTAAAAGAAAATAAAGCAATGTATCTCACAAACTCAAAATTTCTTCCATATACCATTTCTAAATACAGTACAGTAAAGTCCTCGAAGTAACTTTTCTATTGTGAGCCCTTTTTAAATGCGAAAACTTTCAGTTGAACTTTCTAAATTTAATTTAATAAGCTCGAAACGATATATGAAAATGGTAAAATAGCCCTGCCAAATGCTGAGTATTTTGTTCAGTCTTTTTTGGTTTTTCCGGATGCATACTGATAGCTTTAACAATTTGTTTGCCAATGCAGGCGAAGCAAATTCTATTTACTGCTAACTTAATCCCCAACTCGCTCGCTTGAACAAACTGTTTTTGGGAGCCCGGGATGGCAACCTCCTGACCACCTGGCCAACAACTCACCTTTTTGGTAATCTTGTTTGTCATGTTCGGCATGCCGGCCAGTCCCATGCTCATGGCCATGCTGAGATGGCCCAAATGGTGGTGGGGGTGGCTCGGATGGTGTGCGGGGTGTCCTGGGTGTCCCGGGTGATGTGGGTGGCTGGGGTGGTGCGAGTGTCCGTGGTAGAGGTGCGAGTGCATCCCCGCCTGCTGCTGCTGGTGGTGTTGATGCTGCTGATGCATCTGAAGCTGCTGGGCGGCGGAGGGCGGTGGGTGGTGATGCGGGTGGTGGGCGGCCGCGGTGAGGGGCATGGTCGGATCGTTCAGCCGGAAGCGGCTCATGTGGAAGCTGGAGCCGTAGCAATACATCAGCACCATCGTCGTGGGAAAGTAGAGGGCGCACGTCGACAATATCCTATACGAGGGTTTGCTGTAAAAGGGCTCGCAGGCCATTAGACCCGTATTGTTGAAGTAGTAACCTGTATAGCAGAGAGTATAGTAAAGTATGTAGTTTATAGTTTGACGTGTTCGAGGGCATATTGATATGGCAGGCTAATCACGAGCCAGCCGCTCCTCACCTTTGGGCAGCACCAGAAAGCCAAACACCGTCAGGCTGATAATCCAGGTTAAGCTCAGTATGGCCACACAACCCTGCAAAATGAATACACAATTAGTGGGGACAACATTTGCGACACATGTGGCTTGATTTATGACTGAAGGGGAAGCTGCCTATAAGCACGTTTCCTCTGCAATTCTAGAAATATCAATTATGGGCTACGGGCAGTCGAGGTATGGGAATACTAGGATAATTGTGGGATATTAGGTGTTTATTAAACTAAATTTAATTTTACTATTATTATTTATGTATCAATTTGGGCAAGAGGAAATCGATGAATAGCTGGTTATAGTATTCATTCAGCGAAATATGAATCTATTATAATTCTTTCCATATCATTTAAATTTTAGAAAATTAAATCAGCAAACTTTGGGAGCAGTCACAGTATTTTCACCCTAATTTGCAAAGATTCCATTTGTTTCACCATGCACCTTTCATCTGACAATCAACAACGCTGGCCCAAAAAGGCCAGAAATGGAATTACAAACTTTTGATTATGCCGAAAACACTTGGTGAAGGGTGCCGACCACAGAGGGAAAGCGATACTTCCGCTCTTTGGGAATGGAAAAGTGCTGCCACAATCGTAACGGACTGACTGACTGACTGGCTGAGTTACTAAATGCAGCATTCTGACAGGGTGAAATTCTGGAAATTCAGTCCTGTCCACCTGCAAAAAACGAAAATGGCCCCATTCAAAGTTGTGGCACTTTCGTAGCTGAAAAAAGCGGAGACACAACTTTTGTCTGTGTCTCTTTGAAACGCACCATGGCTGTGATTAATTTAATTTACGCTATTATGTTTAAAACTTTTACCAAGCGAAACAACAACGAGTCAGAGAGGCCAAACAATAAGGGAATATTTTTCGAAATGTAAATATTTTATTTAGCTGCAATGCAGGAGTTTTCGGCAGAGAGTTAAATTAATATGGCCCTGGCGAAAATGAATTTAATACAAATTGTGATTGGTACGAAAGTTTAGTTCATTTTATAACTTCCATAATTTATGAACTGCTCGTCATTACAAAGTAAGGAAAATAACACCGAATTCGAGATGAATTTTTCAAGACTGCATTTGAATTTATGGCACTTTCAAAAGTGAGCAAAAACGAAAGTCAAAAGTTCGCGATGCCATTACCAAGTTCCGCCGAGCATTGGTTTTTCTTGCACCCCAAGTATTTCACATTCAGCATCCATTTATTAATTTTCGACAGTGCGCACATCGCACATTACAAATGGGGGCGTGGCAGTGTGCCAATTTCGCCCACTGGCCCCATTTTGGTGGCCAGATGGCGGGGGATAAAAAATAAGAGGGAAAACCGAAATGGCGCCTTTTCGAAGCATAAAAAATAGCGGCGCAATTTTATGTAAATTTATTTTCCACTATTGGTATTTCTCGGTCTACCCATTGTTTTATTTTCGGCCTGATTGTATTTTCTTTTATTAGTTTAAGTTACAACTTTTCCAAAAACTCCGCGGCAGCAAAGAAAATTGAGAATTAATCCGGGCGGCAAAACGTTGATTAAATTTCGAGAGGTTTTTGGATTGCTCTTGCTTTATTTTTCAGGGTTTAAATTTAATGGAAAGAAAATGTTGGCGTGAAATGTGTTAAACCATATTGCAAACAATTTATATTCCATATTTGTAAACCGAAAATTAAATCTGAAAAACGTTAATTGTAAAAAGGTTTATTTAAAGTTTCCTTTAATTTATAAAAGAATTTAAGCCCAATAAAACTGAAATAAAATAACATAAAGTTATTCTTTAGGAAACTACTTTGTATGCTTTCTATTCTAATATTAAGGGTATACAAATTATAATGTTGCATACTTTTAGACACCTATTTTTATGTTTCTAAAACCCAGCTTATTTTATGCCCCTTATTTATATAATTGTTTTTTTAAAGATTATCCTAGTTGTAAGTGTTTTAACGCTTCTAAACCGAAAATGTACAATGTTGCTTGCACTTTCTATTAATAAATCATAAATAATTCCTATTCTATGCAGTTTGGCGGTTATTTGGGGCAAGGACATTCGCGCTTCGGTGTCCTTAGCCGGCTGCTGGCCTCCTAGTTCTCGTTTTGTTTACTGTCCGGGAGCCATAAATTACTTGGCCGGGGAACGGGATTGGGATTGGGAAATGGTAGATGGGAGATGGGAAATAGAGTTGGTGGCTCGTTTGCTGCTCCTTGGCCCTGCTTGCGGTTTCCGTGGGAGGTGCCGCTTCATTTGCCTGCCTTCGTCCTGCGAAAAAGGACTTTGCTGTGGTCGTCGCCCTTTCGCCGAAGTCATTGCGCGTAAAAAATCTCTAGGCCAACTTTTCCCTCCTCTCCCCTCCTTTTTTATCCCCATTTTTTACACTTTTCGAATGTCTATACGACTGGGGGCTCTCGTATTTTTTGTTGGTTTTTGCCAACTCTGCTTTTTCATTCTTCACGATTCAGGATGCTTTGTTTTGCACTTGCTCTTTGGCTCCTCAGTCCCACCCATTTTTTGTTCCTATTTTTTCTTGCCTGTTTAATGACTGTCAAGCGGCTTAAAGCCCATTATCCTTATTTATGCTTGCGTAATTGGCTCGTGGACAATATTGTGTAGTTGTTCCTCCCATTGTTATAGTCGATTTTTATTGGCGCGTGATTTCTTGTAATTACGCCAACGCTTTGTTTATTGTCCTTGCGCGAGCGTAAGAATAACAAGATAGAGATCTGCGTGGAGAGTGCCTTATCCGAGTAACCCAGAAATATTATTATATCACGAGATATATCTTACCTTCTTGCTGGAGTGCTGGTAGTAGCGCCGCGGATGCAGGGCACACATATACCTATCGACGGCCATGCAAACCAGGATGACGGCGCTCTGCTGGGAAAGCGCGCCGCGCAGCAGGGCCTGCGGAAAATGCGGAAAATTCGGAAAATGCGTTAGTGCTAGTTTAGAAGTTTATTATTTGCATTATGGCCGTTGAGCAAAAACTTTTCTGCCAACACAGGCGAAATGAAAAACTTGTAATGGAATTTTTTGCCGGCGTCGGAATAGAACGGCTAATACGGAGATTATTAATCGTCAGTATGTGTGGAATAGCAAGTGAGTTATGCGGCGAATGCGTGTATGTTTTATCAATAATCTTGGCAGGGCAATAAAAATATGCAATTACTTAAATGGGAACGGAGTTAGAGATGCCCGTCTGATAGGAGAAAAAGCTGTAAATTCTCAACTAAATGTTATTATGCTCCTTCTAATGGTGTTATTTCATTGCCAATAACATAAATTATATCCATTTTAATACACATTAAATACTCCCGCAATATTCCTTTTAATAACCATTATAAACATTAGTTAAGTAACCATATTTCAGGGGTTAGCCGTCTACTTATCGCACCTCCTGCAACTGAAACGCCCAGCCACTTAATCCTTCGCACACTTGACCATGTTAACATTAGCATTACACATTGTTCCGGCCGTTAATCGGGATATTCCCGTTACCATCTCCGCCGCTTGTGTCCTTTAATTACCGTGCATTGTGAAGAGAGTTAATTGACCGCAATGGCAAAACAGCCACAAACGGGAAGCCGGCGTTCTACAACAAATTATCGCATATCCGTGCTCCACCTGTTGACCTGAGCCACCCTAAACCCACTCTAGACCCACTCACCTGTATCTGACAGAAGATCTCTCCGTACGGCCAGCAGTGAAACAATGCCGGCATTAGACCGAATGGTGTAATTAACAGACCAATTGTCAGGTCATTCAGAGCCAGCGAGGTGAGCAGATAGCGGGGCTGCCGGGGATAAATACAAGGTGTAAAAGGGGTTGGGGTTTTCCAAGCCAGAGAGTGACTCCTCTCACCTGTTGGTGGATGTAGGCCGCATAGCGGCGGTTGTTGATGACGAAGATGACCAGGCAGTTGGCCCCAATGACGCCCAGTGTCAGGACCAGGATGAGCACCGCCTCGATCGTCTCGGCAATCCCGATGTGGGCGATGAAGTTGTGGCCCGAGTAGCGCGGGTGCGAGCAACTGGAGTTCTTCACGGCGGGCGCTACGAGGAGTGAGCCAGTCTTTAGATCCATGGCAGGGCTGCAAGAGAGGATACAGAAGCAATAATGTAGAAAATTTAATATAAACAATATATTTTTTTCATTTCGTATATATATTTAAGTGATATTAAAACCAGGAGAAATGCGAGTGTCTCAAATTACTTTAAATGGGAATTTTAAATTAATTATAAAGGTGAGAAAAAGTATGCAACAATATATTTTATTTCCCAATGATGATGTAATTTTTTACTGCATACATTTTGACGGTGATTGGCAGCTCCCTATATTTTACATCCTATTTAAAGACCAGCAGAAATAAAAATTCGATAACTAATTGAAATCGATAGTTAATTTAAATAAAAAAGGTGTGTTAAAGTGTGCAACAATGTAGTTTTATTCCAAAAGTATCCCTTTTTTGCTGCCTTTTCAGACAGCTTTATGCGAGATTTCAAACCCGCAGTGATTCCTGCGTCTCCCCCATTTATTATTCGCTCTAGATAAGACCCCTTGACAATGTTGATGCGACTTTCCACCCTGCGCAAGACATGTGTAAAAAACGAGCGGCAATTGTCTATTTGCCCCGTGACTCTTCCACAGTCCGGCCACAAAGACCCAGTGCGCCGTTTCTTTTCGGATATGCCTTCCGTTCCATTTCCGTTTCCGTTTCCACAACGAGCAATGCAAAATGCCGACGATTTGTAACGCCATAATGAAGTCAGAGCAAGTGAAGGGGAAGCCGCGTTGACGATTTATCAGAGGGAGTAGGATGACAGTAGGATGCCGCCGAAACCGCAGTGTTGTCACTCCGAGGATTCTATGCTCCAAGCTCTGCATAGAGACAATGGCGCAACAATGGCCCAATATGGCGGCACATCCGGTCGCCGTTGTCTTCGCCCCGAAATAGCACAGTGACATAATGAAAGTTAACAGTATAATTGGAAGCGTCTGGCATTCGCCCTTCCCCTGCCATCCGCACGATAAATCAAAATACTCGGGGACCCTGACGTTGATATCTCTCTTAGGCGATCCAAAGAGCGGTGAAAAATATCCCGTGCAGCGGCATCACTTTAAAGAGTTTTCCGCTTTTCCGTCGCCGTCGCCTGTGCCGTCTGTCTATCTGTATCATTTGTTTGTTGTCGCATCTCTTATTAAGTTTCGCCACGCATACCATATACCATATACCATATATATCCCCGAGCTCCCGGATCTGCGCCTTGATTTATCGTGGCCCGTCCAAAGTCGCCAGAGAGTCGGGTTGTCGCCGGGCCGCTTGGTTTTATGCTAAGTCTACAAATCACCGCATGATATATAGAACCGAACGGCAATGGCGCAACATTAAGCTCACCCAATCCCAATGCTCTAGATTTAGTACGCTAATGTGTGTGTCCCGTCCCAGAACTTCAGGTTGAGGTTCTCTGGCTCTCGATTTTTCATTAACAAAACGATGTGCAGGCGGTGGCAATAAATCCCCAACTTTGGCTGAATCAATTAGGATCTGGTGACCCACCATCATGTGTGTGTTTCGGTTTCAGTTGGGTTAAAAAACCAATTTCAATTTCCAAGTAATGAAAAGAGGAAATTCGCTTAATTCCTCGCATTGTTAAGTCTGGCGTAATCGGAGAGTTGCAACTGCAGAGCAGCAGAACTACAGAGCAGAGACAAAGTAGAAAAAAGGGATACCGAAGCCAGACGCAAATGCGAAACCGCGTAATTGTTTTAAAATGCACAACGAAAATGGCAATAAACGGCAGATCCAACTGGTAACTGGTAACTGGATTCAAACCGGTTCATGGGGCAATGCCATTAAAATAAACGAAATTTCCATGCCAAATTTTAGGGACTATCGAAGCGCGGGGATTCCAGAGGAATTCTGAAACAGTCATCACCAACGACCGCAGTTCGCAACCCAATTCGATGACATTCGCCAAAGACAAATGCTGAATAAATAATATAGCTGCCGGATTAGAGGGCCGCAATCCGCTTTTGAATTTACACTCAAGTAACTGCCATTAGTGGCGAACTATTGCATATCATTAGGCGCCACCGCAATGTATCTGAATCTGAATCTGAATCGGCGACTGCAACTGCAACTGCCATTTCAACAGTCGCCCCCAATCAGCGGCCATTGTGCATCCGCCCTAATCCGCAGCGAAAAGTTATTGCAGTTACTTGGCACTGGATTTGGCTTTGGCCAGGATGAAAATAACAACTCGCAACGCACTCGCTTCGAACGCTTTTTGCCAGCAGCCAAATGGCTAAGAAATACGCAACCGTTTCACGGCAAACTGGTGACCAGGTTATATTCTCTGCACTGCGAAATTAATAGTGACCTAAAATTATGGGAAATTATATTCGTTTTATTTGGAATTCCCTACCAATTTAGTTTGGAAATTGCAAAGGTAGTTCGCAAAAGGGAAAAAGATATTTCACGTTCAAATGTTCTTACTTTTTTACTTCGTTTTTGTTTTATTTCTAAATATTTCCGAAAGCATTTCAAATTTTGTAAATAAATTGATATTTTTTCATTTTATGTGGGTAATCAGTTGAGTAATCAGTCAAATCAGTGGCGGATCCAGGATCCAAAACAAATTTATTATTGCTTGCTTTTTGAATACCGCATTTGTTTTAATTTGTTCCCATGTGTGGGAGATTTTTCCCCCATATCTGAACATTTCTTCAATTCAAATATATTTTTAAGAAAATGCTAAAGGACTAGTATTTTTAATGTAAAAACTTTAATTTCAAAACCTTATTTCTTATGATATTATTTAAAACCCGATCTTCGAGCAGTGTATTCGCCCCCGAAAAGGGCACTGGGTCTGAGCGCCGAAAAAAGGACACCCCGAAATGGCTGGGCATAAAAAACAATGCCACAGGAGCAGAACGGCAGAGCGGCAAGGACCAGAACGGAAGAGGGTGGTGCAGGGGTAACCGGAAGTGGTTCCAGGGCGAGGAAGGGGAAAGGAAGGCGGTAGGAAGGGGAAGGGAAGGGGCAGAGCACACAAATTTCACATTCACAGTGCGTTTTGTCCTCCCAAAGGACACCCATGTGTGAATGTGTGTGTCTCTGTGTTTTGGCCCTCTGTGCGTGCGTGTTAATGCACGAAACCGTAACGCCAGACGAAGACAGAGGACGAAAAAAAGCTGAACCCATCCTGACGATGCATTTCATGCACATTTACACTGCGGTACTGCAAAAGTTGCCCCAGCACAGAGATCCTGGTCTTAAGCCAATGCTGACATGCCAGAAAGTGAGTGTGTGCGTGGCAGCATTTCACATGCAAATTTGCTGGGAAAGTATCCACTTTTTTCTCTAGCTCTCCCTGGCTTATTTATAAGACCTTCTTTTGAGGCCACTCACTTTGCACATGGCTCGAAGCTGATTTCGTTTGACAAAATGCCCTCGTTGACTGATTGCCACGCCCAGCTGCCCGAAACGCCCACCAGTTTGGAACATGGCAAGTGCTTAAGTGGGAGATTCTTATGTGGATTTGTGTGAGCTCAGCTAAAGAAGATGCTGCTGCTGCTCCAAATTGACTAGTTAGGGAAACAGATTTTCCAAATTGCTCGTCATTGTCAAATGGTTTCGCTTAACTAATTCACCATTGATTGAGTCAGGAAACCTGGAGATGCGTTAATTAATATCATGCAGATGCCACCGAAAACTTCAGAGTTTCATCTGCCATCCGGCCAACGTGTCGTATGCGCAATCAACACAAGAAAAGGCAAATTAATTATGAAATGAGTTTGTCACTCCGTTGTGTTGTGTCAAGATGTGTTTACTTTTAAATAATAACTGGATATTCTAGACTCACGTCAAGATGTTGCCAAAAGAGATAAGTTTGTAAAACATGAAATGAATAATTTGTGGCCACTTTAAGAGCTCTCGGCAAACATTACTGTTTAAAGCTTAAGTAATTAAGTATAAAATGCAAAATATACACCACGTTTTTAATGCCTATTCAAGGTGCACATTTTGCCGACCGTTGATGGAATTTCATTTGCCCCGCTCAATATGCAAATTGAAACTTGTTTCGAGCACTTCCTTTGTAGTGCGTTTCCACGCAACCGAATTAAATCACATTACCTCTTGATAATGGGGTTACGTGTCCAAAATTTGTCTGCCTGATGCGTGCAAAAATCAGTAGCATATTAAATCATTGATTCAGCGATGAGCCAAATAACAAACACTAAAAATATTTAGCTGATATAGATTTGATTGGCATGCAAAGAGCTTTTTTTACTCCCATTCAACAAAAAAAAAAAAAGGAAAACAAGTAACATTCACGTATTTAGGGCGGATACGAAAGTTTTCAAGCCAAAACGGTGCAAACGGAATTTAATAAATACGTGCAAGGCATTTGTAATTTTTCGTTCGCACTCGCAAAGGTTTTTCCCCATTGCCTTGAAAGCTAAAAAACTTGCCGGAATAATCACCCGCTTGGCTGCAATTAAAGAGCTCCCCGCAGCCATAAAGTGAATCCCCTAAGAACACACACTGAATGTGTGTCTTTTGGGTGTGTATTTTTCGGGTATTCCCGGGTACAACTTTGCGTTTGCCATGCGTGGTCACGTACACGTGAAAATGGCGTAAATGTTTTAAAAGTTGCATCAAACTTGTTATGAAGTATTTGCCCCCCAGAAATGAAAGGAGCAGCCAGTGGACCCCCGGTTACCTACCCACCTATTCCCCCCAAAAAAGTCTCCGAAATTTGCCAAGGAATTGCAATGCATGTGCGACCGTCTAAAGAAATTAGCAGCAACATTTGCGAGCTTCAAGTGGGGAGCTTAGACTTTTTGTGTTAATGGGAAAGTGGCAAAAGTCTCAAAGAGGTTGGTAGTGCCATGGGAACTCCAGTTGCATCGGTAGATAAATGATTCTATTTAAATTGAAACTTAGAAATAAGTACATGTAGAAAGTGTATAGAAAATATATAGAAAGCATGTAGAATTTACAAAAAACTGGATTGATCGATTGTATATTCCCCTTTTACTAAAATCTCTTTAATTTTCCCATTATTTACCAAAAGCTACTTTCAAAGGAGCCAAGTTCAATGAAATCATTTGAAAAGCTTCTGATTTACATGCACTTACTTACGCATACTTAATTACGACTTTTCAATACATGTTTTGAGTGATAAAGCCCCAACGCAAAACAGACATTTTCCTCAACTAACAAGCCGGCTTAAATTATTTTCCTGATGTAATTATTCAAAATTTTCCACTGCGCTGTCAGGATGTACTTTCCGTATAGGGAAAATGCAGGGGTAGGCTAGGAAAATCGTCAACCGCAACGCAAAACACATTGTACAAAGTTATCTTTGGCTCCGGGTATTGGGCTCATGTTAGTTTTCAAGTACGAAATAAGCAGAGTTTTCCGAGCCCTCGGCGGCAGGTGGTTGGAAATGGCGATGGAAATTCGTTGTGTCGAGGATGTTTCTCTCTTAAAGCCACTGCATGCAATTAAAGCCTATCCTTTGGCGCTTTTTTCGATATTCCACTGCCTTTGCCAGACTTTTGTGGGCGGCAGATTATGGCTCCCGCAACCGAAAGTTAAAGTTAATTACTGCCTGAATCGGAAGTCATTTTCCCCCTCACCGATTTCTTGGCCCTATAGCCTTATGATATTAATGCCCGACATGTGTTTTCATTAATTAAGTCGGCAGATTGCATTCTGCACTTCAGATCTCTTTTTGCAAAGCGACTGCCTAATGATGATTTCGCTGGATTTGATTGCACATATATCCTCTTACTTATTTCCCAAGGACTTAAGAACCTCGTTTAATTGAGGCTTAATTGGAAAGTAATTAAAACGAAAGATTCCTTAAAGCCAGTGGTCCTTTGTTCTCCGCGAGAACAATGAGGCCCCTACATTTTCTCTGTCCCAGCAAACAATGCAAATAGTTTAATTCCAGCGGTCGTCGTTATAATTTTCAGGCAGTCAATATAAATAATATTTAAATTGCTATCGGCATCGCGCTGTGTTGTGGACTATAATTTTTAAATTTATGCATTCAATAAATATTGCACGGTGCACAGTTCATAACGCTCTCTGATTGATTTGATTTCGCCTGACAAATTGGACAAGTAAGGCAATCAGTGTCAAACCATATATGCATTTAATTTATTAAATGCCGAAATACGAAATGCGAAATTCGAAATCCGACTGATGAGCTCTGCTCCTCCATAAATGCTCCCTTATTTTCCCCACTCGGCATCATTTTTAATCCTGCCCTTTCCAACCCGAAAAGGGCTCAAATGGCACTAATTAAGGGCAACAGCACATGTTGGATTGGCTGGCAAGATGAATGTCCGCAAAATGCGGCAAAAGGGAAGACCATTAGTCATGGGAATGTGTTGTTGCCTGGCCAAAAACAAGGACATGGAATTCAGGAGGTGAGGTGGAGAAACCCCTGATGGAGTCCACTTAACAGATCATTTATTCAGCCAGCTGCAATATTCATATTTCTAAGGCTTTAGTTTGGCATTATGGAATAAATTCAGGCAAACGTGTATTGTTTCAATTACACTGCGTTACAAAATTGAAGCTTAATTTATTTACCTTGATTCGGAAAATGCCGTTTAACTTAATATTTGGATCGACATTATAGGCAATAGATTAAAACATTTGAAAAGTTCTACTCTTTATCTTTTGAACCCCAAAATATGGGATTTTTAAGGACTTTTTAAGCCCTTTAAAAGAAGACGCGAAACTACGCCCTTAAAAAATCATAAATTAGTAATGTTACATACTGTTATTTGCAATAATTACAAAGAGTTCGCTTTGTGTACACACCATTAATAAATACAGTTTGTAATCGGCTTTGGCTGGCCGACAGATAAACAGAAACGTTAGGCTTCCACTTCTGGTGGCGAAAATCGTTTCATCTGCCCAAAGGCTTTTTGATGGTATTCAAGTGACTCCATCGTCGTCGTCGTCTGGCCAAATGGCCCTTAACCTTTCGGAATTATATTCGCTTGTACGCAATTTCACGACTCATCGCGCCCCAGACGACGGAATTATTTGGATTCCGCATCCTTCGGGGCAAATCGAGTGTTTTCGATTGACGGCGGGAGATTTTCGCCCCCGACTTAAAGGGAAGAACTCTTTAAATGCGGCTGGTAATTAAAACGGCAGTCGCTCACACTTCAACGGAGTGGCCGATGTAAATTCCCCCCTTTTACATTATTAATAACTCTCGAATATTCATTGAAAGTCAATGCATTCCGTATGCTGAAATACTGAAATTCTGAACTGCTGAACTGCTGCATTCGACTCTCCTCTGATCGAATCGAATAAATTAAATGTCAACATGTGTCGAATGCTCTGCAGTTTGGTCACTTAATCACGTCGAGCGATTTCCCAATCGACTCCTTGAACTCCTTTGGCAAAATGATGAATGCGGCCTTTCAACACGACCCGTAATCTGATGGCATAATCCCTCCCCCAGCGAAACCTATTCATAAAGTATGCTTTCCATTTTTTCTTTTTGGTAAATAACACATTTGCGTTTAGCCGATTTAGGTTTTCGGATTTGGTATTCGGTGACAGACAAACCATAAATATTTGCACCACATTGAATAATGAAACAGCCGGCACCAAAACAATGAAACACATGTATCCTGGGAGCTTAAACGGCGGCAAAATACACAGAATACACACGTTAAGCCCCTGGACAAATGCCACTGCCCTTGTGCCAACAACAGGTTGAATAAATACGCGCAATTTGAAACTAAAACAATGCCGAATTATTGGCCGAACAATGGGCGCACACAAAGGCAAACCAAATTTCATTGTCGCTCTATGCCATTTCCTGCCCCGTGGGACAATTTGACTTTTATTTTATAAATTAAGCTAGGCAAACTGTACCAGATTCTATGTATACAAATATATTGATTGGGAATCGCTGAATAAATTCATCATTGTGAATTAGATTTAATTCCTTGATTATACAAAGCACACTGGGCCAGAAAGTTAATTTTTTGGCCAAAAATCTGTAATTTCTTTCCTAGGACAGTTAGAAGGATGCAGTTTTTTGCGATTTTTTTTTAAAAGATTGAACTTTCCAACGAACTAAAAGTAAAATTTCTTGGAATTTTATATGATATAGATAATCCAGACCAAAGTCGGAAAATTTTACGTACTTTTCGGTTTTTTCTTTTTAAAAAAATAACTAGAAGACGCACTTCTTTCATTTTCGAAAACAATAAAGTTTGAGATAAAACAAACTAAAAAAAATTGACATCACTAAAAAATATTATGCCATTTAAGATTTATGGACCGTTAAAAAGTGCAACTTTCGGAGGCTTCCACATCAACGTTTATCAAACAATCGATTTAAAAAAAATTTCTATTTTTTTGTTCTTGTTACCTTTTAAGTTTTATATAATCAAATTATATAAAAAAAATTGTTTAAAAATATTGTTTTTTGATTTGTTTAATGTTAATTTGACATATTCTGAAGTCATCACAAAAGTATGCTACATTTTTATTTGCATAGTCATGATTAAATAGATAGATATAGGTTTGGAAAATACCATAATCGATTAGTGTACGTAAAAAGTAGATTTTAGATGTTCGTCACACTAAAATCAAATTTTTGAGCGCAAAATGTTCACCAAAACCTGAAGAAATAAAGTATGGCATACTCTTGGGCTCTCTTAGCTAAGCTCTTCAAAATAGCTCGACTTCGAGTTAAGCCTTCAATTAAAACTTAAATTACCGAAAACTAAGGCAAAACCGCATCGAGTCGGTGGGCTACGCTTTTAGTAAATTGATCAACGAATTTTTTTTTGAAGGAATGAACTAATTTGGGGATGGCACTCGAAGGCACTCGAAAAGCAAAGTACTCATTTGCTGAAAAAAAGCGTAAAAATTAACAATTACATTTATTTTAGCAAACAAGTAAGACATACGAGCTATATTATATTTTTTACTTGTTGAAAATAATCCCTTCTGCAAGTTTCGGAAAGAAGTCGAACAGCAACATCAGCATCTTTGACTTCTAAATTTTTTTTCATTTCCATCAATATTTTATGAATTTTTCACTTTGAAAATATGGTAAAAGAAAACTACTTGCCCGAATTCTTTGAAACTTTGGCATAAATTAGTTTAATGTATTATAAAAAGGATCCCAAACTCAATTTGGTCATTTTCTTAAAAAAGAAAAACGTATTTTTGGCCAAAAATCTGATCGGCTGGCCCAGTGTGCAAAGGAGCAACGGAAATCACTTATAATTGCGCCTAAAAGTATGCAATAAAAAGGAACAACCACTTTTGCGAACTTGAAATAAAGTGTTGCATACTTTTAAACACCTTTATAAGGGAATCAAAATCCTTTATGTTAAAAGCTTATAAGTATTAAGTATTATATTAAATTAACCACGTGGTTTTTAATTCTCTGTACTTTGTATTACACAAATATATCCTACCAGAGTAATTCAAGTCTTGTTTTTGTGTATGCCTTGTCGAAATAAATGAATAAAGCCAACTGAGGCCAGAACCAACAGTTTAACATAAGGCACGTTGTGAGACGTGCGAAATGTAATTGCCATTATCTTTTAATTTTTCCCGAAATCTGTTGCTGTTCGGCGCGTAGTTGGATGTGTTTTTGCCGGACTGACAGCCAGCGTGATTGGGTTTTAATGAAGCTACCAAAAGGCCAAAAGCCAAAGGCCGGGAAAGATTAATGAGTGTGGTGGAACCAATTGAGAGATCGCTGAATTCAAAGCCCCAGAACAGCGAAGCCAGCCCAAAAATCAACTGACATATCCCCGTATGCCGTGCTAATTGCCGCTTTGATGCATTTTCCGGATTTGCAAGCGCTGCATAAACGGATTAGTTTGCTCTGCTTTCGCAGGGCTTTCCCCGAATTTCCCTGGAAAACAATTTGGACCTCGTCTCATTTGCCATAATTGCATCGAATTTAATTTTTAGTGGATCGACAAGGGTACACTGCAATTAACTTCCGCACACAAACGCACGCAACGCAATAGTGAATTATTTTATAGTGCCGAACTTCTTCTGAGCTTCCGTAGTTTTTGCACTATAATCAAAATAAAATCGGTGCCCAGTGTCATGTGAATTTCACCAATATTGGATCGAATCCGCATGAATGTTATGTCATTCGAGGGATCCAAGTCCCTCACCACATTGCGGGCCATAAAGAGAAGAGGCTTCAGATTGGTGACATAGTGAAAAGTGCGTCTCTGACTGCAAGTGGATCGCAGGGGAACGCCAAGACTGTCCAAAATCATGATGTCTCGAGCCCCGCGATGACCAAAGAGATTGACGAATGCATCCCCATCATATGATCTATTGCGACTGCAGGAATTATGCATTATACATATTCCAGATATTTTACAATATAACTTACGGCGCAGGTTTCTTTAAAACCTGTGTTGGCTTCTGCGATTTACGCAGATTTTCTGCCGTTGATGGTCTTGAACTTCTCGACATTTTGAGAATTTGTATAAGAGCAATAAGGAGTAGAGTTGTGTTTTTGCAGACAAATTGTTTTATATTCAACTGTCTTTCTGACAAATCTAGCTAAGCTTGCTATTTAAATACAAAATCTGATTAATTTGCGCGAAAGAAAACGATCTGGATTTTGGTTAAAAATATATTTTTCTCAATTTTTCTCAAATGCATCCCAAATCGAAAAGACGCGGTGTTTATTATAGCTTATAACCCAATATATTAAATCAAACTATAATTTACATTTAATAGTATAAAGACAAGGCCGTCCATTTATTTTACAATACTTTGAAATTTCAATTGAACACAGTAATCATCTTGCGATTTATATGGGAATGCGGGTGCGCAGGTAGCTTAACACCGCCTGGGTTCCCATCGATAGGATCTGGTGACGCGGCTGGCGGAAGGGATTGCCCCAGAGCCCCAGATTCTCGAGCTTCCTCATATTTCCCAGGACTGGCGGCACCACCTGAATATCGTTGTTCGACAGATTCAGATTATGCAGTTCCCGCAGGCCACCGAGACCCTTTTCGCTGGCATCGATGCCCTTGATACGATTGTCGTGGGCCGACAGGGATTCCAGGCACTTCAGCTCGTAAATGCAGGTGGGAAGGCGCTGAAAACGGTTGTGCGAGATATCCAGTTCGCGGAGCAACTGAAGACCACCCAATTCCATGGGCAGATCGCACAGCAGATTACCCGAAAGATTGAGCACCCACAACTTGGAGTACTGCGAGATGTTGGTGGGTATGTAGGATATCTGGTTTAGGTTGAGGGTCAACTGGGTGAGATGCTCGGCCAGCAGGTTCAGATCCTTGGGAACTTCGCGCAGCAAGTTATCATCCAGGCTCACGATGTTGACCATCTCCCGTTGAGCTGCTTCGAGGACCTCCATGGGCACCTCGCGGATTTGGGCATTTGAGGCCCTGAGAATCCGGGTATTACGCATGAGGTATTTGTCTGGGAAAGGCGACCGATTTTCGCCAGCATCACCTGTTCCGTCGTGCCCCCTTGGACTATTCAGGCCGTCATGAACCACAATCATATCGAGGAATGCTCTAATGTTCAAGAGGTTAATTGTTGTAACTTGAGGGATAAAGTATAAACTTACTGAATTTTAGAAAAATATAGAAGCTTATGAGTTGCTTCCACTGATTCGAATATGAAACTGTGAAATACGTATAGATTGACAGGGATCACTGTATTTGACAGTGACAGTATTTTCAAAGGTATTGTGATTCGTTTTTCTTTAAATATCCTGGCTAAATTGTTTCCATATCTTTATGTAGGTGTTTTGAATTTATACGGTTTAATATTATAGAAAAAATGCCATACTAAGACCTGCCAATTAAGTTCATAAAAATATTCCTTATTAAAAAATACATCTTTATTGTTATTGTTCAAATATAACTTAAAAATTTGTATTTACTTTTCTAGTTTTCTCTAGATAAGGATCTTTATCCTTGCTACCAGTAGTATCACTAGTAGATCCCAATTATCTACGAGGAATTTAAGCCTTTATTCCACCACTCCGCAGTCCGTGAGCCGGATCATGTTGTGGCCCATGGGCAGGTGGCCGATGGCGCCCTGAATCCTCTCCAGCAGCTGCATGCCCTTCCTCACCTTCCCGAAGGCGATCCTCCGGCCGTTCAAAATGGACAGCGGCTTGAAGCTGATGGTGAAGTTCACCGCCGACGTCCTGGCGTTTCCTCTGACATAACGACTGGGGAAGGAGAGGATCCCAGCATCCACGCCGTGGTTAAGCACCTCGAAGTCGTGCTCGATGTTGGTCAGAGGTTCACCGCTCCTCCTCCGATCCATGGCCAGACGTCCCTCCATCCAGATGGGCGCCAAAGCCCGGGTGAAGACGATCGCCTGGCTCTTGTTCTGGGTGCAGATCCTCATGAACTCCAGCACCACCTGGGGACAGGCCTCGGTGAACAGTTGGATGGTCAGTCTGCCCTGGAGGCGGGCCTCTCGCACCTCCAAGTCCAGGTAGATCTGCGGTCGCAGCAGCTTGCACAGGATGCCCACTTCGCACTGGTCCATCAGGCTCTCGTAGCGATGCAGGACATGGAGGGGAATCTCGCAGCTAAAGGATCCCGAGGACCTGGGCTTGTTCTTCTTGGACTTTCCCAGCTGCGGATCGAAGAGCTCGCCGCCCTTGTGGAACTCCTTGTTCTTCTCAAGCTGCCGACGCTCCTTTTCCCGGGCAACATTCGCATTTCGCCATCGGCCAGCCGCCAATCTTTCCGGGGACTTGGTGAAGGTGCGCAGGGTGTTGTTGCTCTTCTTGTAGAGAGCCGTCAGCATCTCCATGTAGGACAGCTCCATGTTGTTGCCCTCGATCTTGACTTTCGGTGGCGGAAGGTAGGTGTTCACCTTGCCCCTGATATTGGACATTCGCTCGCGATGCTGGCGGTACAACTCCCGCTGCTCATTCATCACCATGTGGGTTCGTGTCTTAGGCATCCCTGTCCTCTTGGAAGTAGCCACTGGAATCAGTCGCTGATGATGGCGATAGTTATTCGCCAGGTCATCCTTCTTCACATTGAAGGTGTGCTTGGGTTGGGCCCCAGCCTCCACCTGACCATCAAAGGCCACCAGATTGGGATTGCCACTGTTGTAAACCGGATTAGTCATCGTATAGGGTCCCCTCTTCACCGTCGCCACATAGGGAGTCATGGAGCTGGGGATCTGGGGAATCTTGCCCCGGGAACTACGAGGCACATCACCGCGAATGAACATATTAAATCACTACGAAAATATAGGTAAAACTTTATACTTGAATTTTTGAAATACGTTTCGTGCGTTAGAAAACTTTGACTGAAGGGATTCAGAGAGGAGTGAAGTCGATTTAACTGGCAGAGGTCACCTAGTTCGATCGAAAAAAACATAATTATCTACCTAATGCTAATTTCATTAACTGAAAATGCGTGCCATGTGGCTTTTGCATATTCTTTGATGCGGAAAACAACATGAAATTGCCCATTTTTCCGACATCAATTATTTATTTCATATATAAATGAGAGCGAGCCCGTGAAAGTATGGAGTTCAATTTAATTATTTTCAACTATTTTGAACGGAATTAACACTGCGGTGGCCTCATAAATGCAAACTTGTATTCTCGCGTAATTAGTGATTTAATTAAAATCAGCAAATATGCACGTCATTAAAACCGAAATATTTGCATAGTTTGCGAGCGAAACTATGCACTTCTAATTCGCATTGTTTTCGTTATTTGGCGGAAATAGTTACAGCTAGTTAGTTCCTTTACAACTGATTATTATGGTTAGTTTTTTAAGTGCTTCGTTTATTTTCGCTGGTCATTTATTCATTCAATCCGGCTTTGGTTTTATTTTCATTTTTATTTCATTTCCCGCTCTTTTGACTTTTTGTAATCGGCCATTAAATGGGGCAGAAAATGGTTTTGACGGGTTTTGTCACTGGCAATTGGTAGTTCGCATTTTATAAGCCCATTGAACCGACGAACCAAATGGACAATTAGCGGCCATAACACTTGAATAATTGTGTGACACAGTCTGAATAAATTGAGGCTCTCACTTCAAAACTAACAATAAAATTAACTAATTTGTGCGAGCTTTTATGGTTTTTCATAAACCTAATAAATATGCTCGTTTTTTTCCTATTCAAAGCTTCATTAAATCAATAGCAGAGCTTTCACTGATTTACTTTTGTTCGGAACGGATTAAATGATATTAATACCATATGGTGCTCATATGCAGATAGCGGGATAAAAAACCTATTCGAATAGCATTAATTGATTGTTAATATGGTAGGGCTTTTGCGGTCACAATTAAATGATTAATGCGATTGAGTGCGGTATATATGGGCTTGGGTGAATTAAAGATAAATACGTGGGTAGTCAGGATAATCTGATGCATTAATGGTCTCCACTCAGCCGATTATGAGGACATCAACTGAAGGACATCGCTTCTCCTTCCCAGCGAAAGTGTCATTAGGGCAACGCTCTTATCGCTCTCAACAATCAACGTCAACGTGGATGGATGGAAGGATGGTTTGATAGCTGGATGGGTTGATGGGTGGCTCTTTAGACATTGAACCACTTAAGCGTTTTTTGTTCTCAAGTGTCACACCCACAGATGCATCAGCATGGCATGGTATCATCATCCTAGTCCCCAGTCTCATCATCCCACGGTCCCTCTCAACTTTCACCTCCACTTTCACGACGTGTTTTGTACTTTCTCTAGTGCCGTGCCACGACATTCATATTTGGTATTCATATTTCAGGGTACATCTTAAAAATGTGTCAACAATAAACCCACACACCCGTGCGGACAAGTGACTGCAATTTGATCAAGTACAAATACAAATACACATGCGTTGCATCCCAGCTGTTGTATTTTATTTTATTTTATTTTTTTCCATTTTATTTTCTTTATTTAACCCACAATGCCCTGTGACAAATATTCCGAGCGGAATGCCTGACATCTTCAATAAACCACCGTTCGCATATTCGCATTGGAATGTCGGTCTGAGGTCTGCTTATATTTGAAATGCCTCGGCTATCAATTCTTTAATATTTGCAATGCTTTAATGCAATACAATTTACATTTCTTCTGTTTTTAAATGTGGCACTTCTTAAATATAATAGATGAATATTTTTTTTGAAACTGAAAATCCAATTTAATCTACAATCATCAGGCAATAAAGTAGTCTTAAGTATAAACATTATCTTAATAGTAAAATTAAATTTAGTATGAGTGTGGCAAATAAAACTGACAATCATGCCATAAAATACTCTTGAATACACATTTTCTCTTTGACCTTGTGGGCTTTCTCAAAATATATCTGTTTCTAGGTGCTTATTTATAGTATTTATTTTTAATGGGTGCTGCAGATAAAACTAAAAATCTAATTAAATCTATAATCATCAGGCGATAAAATACTCCCAAATATATAAATATTTTTGTGACCTTGTGGCCATTGCCCGCATATTCCCCTATTATATTCTCTGCCATTTTTTATGGGCGAAAACAAAAGCCGGAGCCGTTAGTTAAGAGCATAATGGATCATAAATGCTTTGGCTGGGAAAATGTGATTTTATTCTGTCTGCTCCGACGCGTCCTTTGCCTCCATTATCCCGGCATCTGGCTTATGGATATGGAACCTGTCTTATTGCTGCCCCTGCCCCGGATTATACGTAAAGATATGTACACACACGCCGCAAGTAAGTGTGTATTTTTATGACATTCTGTTTTTGCTCAGCTCATCGTCTGCAGCACTTTGTGTTTGTCATATTTTCTTACCGCCGAGATGTCGGGGGAAATGCCAGGGAAAATGGTAGGAGAAGGGGGGGATTTTGGTAGAACAGACGGAAACATGTAAATGAAATACGTAAGTATTTAAGCTGAGATTTAAGCGGAGTAAAAGTCATGGTTTGGTCAGCGGTTTTAAAAAGTAGGTACTTGGAAAGGCATTAAAAATGTTCTGCATTAAAGTATTCCGTCAATTGCCATCCAGTCCATTTAATCAGCCTCTAATTAGCCCACTGCCTCGGCTTAAATGCCATCAATTTCGGTCCTCCTACTTTGGCTTGTATTTGGGATAGTCGACAGTCGTTGAGTGTCTGAATTGGCTAAGCCCTGAAGCCATCAGTTAATTAATGCCATTAATGTCTTAGCAGTGGCTCTCTAAGCCAGTAATTAACCGAGTTGACAAATCAAGTTTGCCCCAAAGGACGACGACGAGGTATAAAGGATTATATCAGTTAGCAAGCGGGCTTAATTAACAATAAGCTGAGGTGTTAATAGCCCGACGACAGCAAAGCCCAAAAGTTCGCTCCCCGAAAATGTCATTCCGCCCCGAAAAACATTTAATCCAATTCGGAGACGAAAGTGGAGGCACTGAACCATCGCCAAACCCCACACACATTAAAAAACCATTTCAAAGGCTTAGGTTTTGGGTCTACAGCCTTTTACCATCCTTAATTTGGCACTCATCGCAGAGTTGCTTACCTTTTGCCAAAGCCAAAAAGGTAGACGTAAAAAGTTGTCGTGCCGAAGATGAAAATGCTGAGATACAATTTTAAGTATCCATGTAATCCCCGAACAATTTATTAGGAGCAGTGGAAGAGAAGAAGCCAATTAGGTTAATGTGTCGAAAGAAATCGAAAGGTTCAACTCGTGTAAGCGGCTGGCTTTTAAATAATTTCCAAAAATAGCTCTTTCATTAATTTAATCTTTAATTTACACAGGTTTGTTTTACATTACCATTGAAAATTTGAACATTTATAGTTTATAGTTTGAATAAGTGTGAGTGTATTAAACATATGCAATCATTCCCTAGAAAGTAGCGCCATCTAGCAGAAAATTTAGTTTTCCTTATCAACGAGTAACGGGTATATTATTATAAAACTTACTAAATTGATAAAGAATTGTATTAAATTAAACTAAAAGCCGGTTTCTAAAGGATTTGTAGATAATACTTTAATTAAATGCATAAAAACGGACCACACACTTCATTGGTTCGGGGGCAAAACCATTTAAATGCGGACATCTGGAGAATGCAAACGTGAGGGTGCAATTTGGGGTTAGAATGCAGGGCTTTTTGCTTTTTGCTCCTCCTGCAATAGCAATTTTGCGAGCAAACTCCGCCTGGCAGGGGGCAAGGCAAAAGCAAAGGCAAGAGTGTTCCTGAGACACTCACAAAGGGTTTGGCATGCTCTCAGAAACCGGGGGCTTACATACGCTTTCCCCTTTCGCTGGGAAATGGGGAAAATGGAGGGACAGGAAAATGGCCACAGAGTTGGCTCTGAAAAGCCATTTATCAAGACATTGCATAACAATGGCGCCCTGCGCGTGGCCATAAAGGATATTCAAAGCGAGTTAAGCTTTATGATTTGAACACGTGTTAACAACACATAAAAGCAAGCAACGATTTTGCCAAAGGCAAAGCGAGCAGATTCCAACTAAATAACACTGAATCCTAGATGGATTTAGTGAGGCAGAAATAACTGAATCGCTGCTGTTCAGATTCAGATTCAGATTCAAGATCCAAAGAGCAAAAGAGTAAAATAAATAAATGCTTTTTGCAGGGTGAACTGGTCCAGTGAAAACACTTTCATAATTTATACCGCTGCACAACAAACAAAATAACTTTTGAATGGGCGAAAATATTGCCGCTGGGCATGCGCCTGAATGCAGCTCGCAAATTGCACGGATCATAAATTAGAATCAAGAGCAAAGAGACCATAAAAGGAAAAGATTTTTTTAACTTATTGTAGAGGTGAGGTGGTTTAACTTTAAGATATGGTTCTTATCTTTATTTATTTTTGAGTTATGGTTATTTAATTCACTTTGGTCTATTATAGTGATAATATGTTATGAAGCGTAAGAAACCAGTAAAAAGAGTTAATAGATTTAGTATATTTTTTAATCATCATAATTATTTTGAAAAATTCTGAAAAAATAAAAATTTATTATAAGCTAAACGTAGTTTAATTTTGGTGAAAAAACTCATTGACTGGAAAATTAGAGGAATTTTGTAAAAATCTACCCATTTCTTGTTTTTTCTCGTTTTGTTGCATTCGTCGTACATTTCATACTCAAAATTCCCCATTAAAAACGACAGTTCTTAAACATCCGCCTCATATGCCACGAAACCAGCTTCCTCCGCCTGTTGCGGATGTATCCGCAGGAAAGTAATATACCCATCAGCCAACGAGTACCGGGTGAAGAAGAAGAAGACACCGACCGACACACTCATACACATGGCGAAAAGTCAAGTGCATGCAGGAGCGACTGGAATGAAAAGCCGAGGAAAAGTGGAAGCTGACTGCCACAAAGCAGCTGTAAAATAGTTTTAATA